GTGCAGAGTGTGTGTTTTCACACACCACTGCTCCGATACAACGGGAGCCACTTTTTTCGCCTCCCTTCCTTCTCCCCTTCCTTTGTGCTTCCTCATCTTTTTCCTCCCCCTCCTCCTCCTCCTCCTCGTCTTCTGTCTCTCTCTCTTTCTATTTCCCCCTTTTTCCTCATCTGTTCTTGAAATCCGTCCCTGCCTCCTCCTCCTTATTCTCTTCTTCCTCCACCTTTTTACCTCCTCCTCATCGTCACCCTTTCCTCTCATCTAAACCTGCAGCACTGGAGTGTTTGTTGCCTTGGGTAAATGTGAAGAACAGATACATTCGGAAAGTGAAAACATTCACACTCAACTGCTGCTTCCCATTTAAGCCTCAGCCTTGATTAATCAAGTTTTTTTGTGGTGACGGTAGCCCAAAAACTTGTTTCTTTGTTAAGAGCTGGGCTTAGCTTTATGTGTATCTATAATAGGAGTTTAAAAAAAAACATATTAAGCCACCTCAATCAATTCAGGCAAATGTTTAATACCTATCAAATGAAGGAACAGGCAGAGAGAGAGAAAATGGAGATGGAAAATTTAAAAAGTGTGAAAAGTCAACAGGTAGGCCTATTTGTTTGTGTGTGGAGGCAGAGGTAATTCCCTTCAGATGGTAGCACTAAGTTGATGAGGCTTCCACTGCGGCCGGCCAGAGGATGAGATTATCGACCAGCCAGAGTCGGGCTGTGGTATTGATTCCAGGCCAGAGTCTGTGAGGGAGACGAAGGGAGAGAGGAAGAGGTAGAGGTTGGGAGGAAGACAAGAAAGGGAGATACTAGGGGAAGAACATGAGGGACAATGCCAGGATTGGTTATTCGGACATCAGGTCACAACTTCCTCCTTTTTTTTATCCTGTCCTCTTTTTGTGTCGCTCCTTTTATTATTTACACACTGTAAGAAATGTTCTTCTTACCAGGTCACCATTAGTCACGTATTCTTCAAATATAACTGTTATTTCAATAAAATTATTCTGTCAAAGGGATATTTTCAACATCCAAGGTTTTCTTGGCTTTTAAAAAGCGCACCGCAACTTCACTTCTCAATATGAAAAATCTAATTCAAATACATAGTAACCACAGCTATCCAGTGAAAAGTATGTCACTTCAAATTCAATTCAAAAAGTCATTGTCATGATTATATTTATATAATATATATATATATATATATATATGTGTGTGTGTGTGTGTGTGTGTATAAAATCATGCAACACTGCAAAGATTTAAACACTGAGTTAATTATTTTATGGAGTGACATGTAGAAAATGCAAAATGATTTAATTTAATTGTAAAGATTTTGTGTCATTATTTATCCATTCTCACACTCTTTTTCTTCTTTTTTGTTTTTTCTTACATATGATTAATCAGTTGTCTCATTTTGACCAGGACAACTTTAGCATTTTAGTTGTGTTTAAAAAACAAACAAAACAAATTTATCAAATCCCTGAATGCATAAATAATGCATAGAAATAAATACAATAAGATAAAGTAAGAAATGTAAAAATATACAATTATTAAAGTGAGAAGAGAGAAAAAGGAGCAGGGCAAGAGCGGGTTCAAAGAGCAAAATAACAATGGAAGGTAATGAAGGAGCAGCATGGAGGAGGAGAGGAGAGAAAATGAGATGGGGGAGAGAGAAATTATAAGCAGAGAGGGAGGAAGGATGGTGGAAGGGTAGGTGTTGTGTGTGTGGGGGGGGGGTGAGGAGCATTTGAGGATTCATCTCTTGCTGGATAATTCCCAGGAGGATCTCTCTCGAACACTTGAAAGCTGTGAAGTGTGCGGTTCTGCTCATACTCCTCCTGGTAATTGGAAGAGGAGAGGGGGGGAGGGAGAGAAGAGAGGGAGAGCAGGGCCAGGTAAAGGAGGGAGAAATGGAGGTAAGAAAGGAAGGGGGGGTGAAGCAGGGGAAGATTTGGGGACGGAGGAACAGGCGGAGAGGTAAAAGTAACGAGGGGGTAAAGAGGAAGAGAGAAAAAGGAACGACCTGACTTGTGCCATCTTTCTTCAATCCCCCGTTTTTTTTCCTCCAACCTGGCTTATATCTCTTTTATTTTTGCTCATTAGCTCACACGTCTTTATTCTCTCTCTCTCTATCACTGTCCTCATCCCTCCCTCCGTCCCTCCCTTTGCCGGCGATGGCGTGTCTGTGGTTGCAGGCGGTTTCTGAAACATGGCCGCAGGCGTTTAATCATTGATGGAGTTTTTTCCTCCACGCAGGCAGGCCAGCGGGCAGCCCCGACTCACTCACATGCGTCAGGACCTGCTGATTCACTCTCTGGGGCCTTCAAGCACACACACACACACACACACACACACACACACACACACACACACACTTGCACACAGGCATGAATACAAAGGCAAACAGAGATGCACACACAAACACAGATAAAATGTAGCCTGAATGTGTGTGAGGCTATCCACATGTGTGCCTGTCTAGTTTATCCCACCAGGGATTGTGAGGCCCAATCAGCAGCAGTGAGCCCAAATAAAAGCAGTGAAGATAAAAGCAATTTATTTGACCAGAACATGGAGACAAAACCGTGTTTGCATTGGCTCCAGGCCTGCACGATACATATGTCTCTACAGCTTTATACGTCCTTCTGCTAGACTCAGTACACATCTGTCTGTGTTGTTCTTAAAAAAGTAAATACATTTATATACTGTATGCTCATCTGCTGTCATTCTCTTTGTCTACTGTAGTCTAGTCCACTGGTTCTCAAACCATCTGAAACAGCCTAGTGCACATTTCACGATCCGAATTTGAACACTCAAATAAAATGGCGGGGCGGTTAATACAGTGCACTATGGTGGTAATTATTAGGTAATGATTTCAGACAGTCTTGAACATGCTAAACTACGATGGTGGACATAAAGGTAATACCTGCTAAACATCACTGCTGTGCTCAAAGACTGCTAGCATTATTGTCTTAGCCTATTTAAAATTATAGGGACTACATTTTGGGACGTGTTGGATTTAAAGTAATATTTTATAAATGTTGGATAAAAGTAAAAATGTTGCACCATTTCAGTTCAACGGATGGGCTTATACTAGTTTGATGGACAGAAGAATTTGAAGAATATATTGATACTACCGCTACTACTAATAAAGATCTTCCTCATCCCCTGACATGCTTATACAGAATTCAGTATCAGCATATCAATTATCATTTCAGCTATATGAAAGACCGCACTGACTTTCTGATGATTTTTAATAAAGGGGGAAAAAATAGGCCAGGACATATCTGCCTAACCCTCGCCAACGCATCGGCCTGATGATGTGCAGGTAATTTTTTTTTTATAATGAAACTCTCATCCTTTGAAAAAGCTGACACCAGCAAGATCTCATAATATTATCACTGGCAAAAGAGATTATTGAGAATTATGAGGATGGAGCCATCTGTGTTGAAATGGTGAATTTAAGGTTGTAGGCCCGCTTTAGAACCCACTCAGTGCAGTATATCCACATACATTCAATACGTAGCACACTGATCCTTGTATACATTCCAGTAATGAGTCTATTTTGAGTACATTTGATTGTTATTTTCATCAATCAACCAACTCTAGCTGATACAGTAGTCACAGTATAGTTGATAGCCTCTTGCTCATATTTTTTGCGTACTCCTGTTGAATTCTGCAGTAGCAGGTACAGCTTATCATCCCCACCTCCCCCCGTTCTCTGTCTGTCTGTCTGTCTGTCTGTCTGTCTTTCTGTGTGTCTCTCATCCTGATCAGAGAGTTTTTTTTATTATTTTTTTTTATTTCTCTGAGGATTAAAGCCAGACCCTGTGGAGTAGAAACCCAATCTCTCTCACTCCTCCTTCCCTTCTCGCCCTCTTTTCCATCAAATTCACCCCCCCTCCTCCCCTTCCAGCCAAACAAGACTCCACCCTGAAATGGATGGATTAATGACCTCTCTCTGTCTCTCATATGAACACCTACAGCACTGTCTGTCTGCGTGCCTGTGTGTGCTTATCTTTTGTCTTTCTGTGGGATGAACACCGTTCTGTGCGTGCCTATATGTACGTGTGTGAGTGTGTAATCCACTCTATTGTATTCACTGATGCTCTGTCCTGCCTGGTGAGTCATAGTGAAGGACCTGTCCAGAGCATTACATCTTAGAGAAGAAAGCGCACATACAAAATGGTCTGCAGTGGTTATGTGATTGCTTCCATTAAAGTGATTATGCAATCAACAGCAGTAAGTCAGGAAGACAGACCAACAGTCAGTCAGACAGACAGACAAGGGGGGAGTAGACATGGATGGCACACACATACACACACATATATACGCAGCACTCAGGCAGGCAGGGGGAATTTCTCTCTTGTTAATAATCATTATGAAACGGCTTCACATGGAGCACTTGCCTCTCCGCGCTCAGCATGGCGGCAGGTCTGTCCCGGCAACCTCCCCACGCACACACATTCACTCACAACTCTGCCGCCTTTCTTTACTTCCTCCCCCTCTTCTTCTACCACCTCCACTGCTGACAATATTCACTAAACCCCAGGCCGGGGCTCCCAGTGGACGCCCCTCTCTGTGCCCCCCACTTCCACTTCCTGGGTGAGCCGGGGTTTGGTGAGTCCCAGGCTCCATCGCAGGCCTGCACCTCTGCTTGTTTTTACCAAAGTAAACAGATGGAAGAAGAGAGAGAGATAGACAGAGCATTGTGCCCAGCTGGGATAGTGTGCAGTCTGGCAACAGGGACCGTTACAGATCTCCTTTCTACTTCTTTGTTTTACACCTCAACATTTTACCTCTAATCACTCTCTGTCAGTGCAGCACTCCACCGAGCATCTTTTCACTTTTACAGTCTTTCCCTCTCTATATAGATTGATACATCTCCTTTACTTCGGGGCAGCATTTCACAACACTGACTTATGTTTTAATATTTTGCTCTCCAAGAACCCGGGCAGGAGCAAACTGAAGTCCCACTCTTCACCTGCTTCTCTTTTCTTTTTCTTCTTCCAGCCAAGAAAGCACCAGACGGCTCAGTGATCGCCAACGGCTACTGCGACTTCTGCCTCGGAGGCTCGAAGAAGACCGGCTGTCCTGAAGACCTTATCTCCTGTGCGGACTGCGGACGCTCAGGTAGGGCTCCGCTGAAGGGGATGATTGGCAGGAGGAAGGCGGTCCTCTGTTGATGCACAGTTTTGAAATGTTTCATTTGTTGAGTATAGATTTGGTATTTACTATAAATGCAAGTTTTAATTGCTGTTACGCTTACAATGGATGGACCATACCAGTGTTTTTTGTTTTTGCCAATCTACTACAAATCATGTACGACATACTTAACATTATTCATAGCTGTTTGCTGTAATGTTTTACATTTTTGAGGTATTTTTCTCACCTTCCAGGCAGCCTTTGGCTTACATTTTTTTACTACAGTTTGAAGACCAATTTGCAGAGGCTTGAAACTGATTGCACTTTCTTAAACTATGGTGGCCCTGAAGGACAAAATATACAGTGAAAGCATAAACGTTCCTGAAGGTTCTCCAAATAAAAATGCAAATATCAAAACATATACATACAGAAGTAGTTAAGTAACATCGATAAATCTTCCTCACTAACGTTGGCTAACAAGATAGCATGACTTCACACTATCTGGGACTTTAAGCAATTAGTGCTGGTGTGGTATTTGTAAAGTTTTAATTGGTTATTAAAGGTGTTACTTTGTTGACTTATTGTCCTTAAAGGCCACAGTACATACATATAAATGAAGTTCATGTCTGATTATATTCGTGTGTATGTGTTTGTAGTATTTGTAAGTGCAGGTTAATTGGAAAAGTCAGCACTGCATTACCATTCACCAGTATAGGGGTACATTGCCCTTTTCTTCACTTATTCTCTGCAAGTTGATTTTCCTTCTGTATGGAAAGTAATAAAAATGCATGGCTGCCTGAAAGTCAGACAACACATTAAAACGTCTTAAACAATATGACATGCTTTGGAACACAGTGGCTATAATGTGAAATGTACTAAAATCTTCTGTGCAAGAAGAATTTATCATTCATCAAACACACTTCTATTGCTGCTTGAGAGGTGTAAGTGGCAGACATTGAAATCCACTGTTTAAGCTTGAAAGCATCAACATCAATATTAGTAAAATGGTTTTCTATATATAATTATCATTTTCTCATGAATGATGATGAACACTTTAAACATAGTTGGGAACAGGATTTTGTAAAGTTTTGTACGATAACAAGAATATCAAATAGATGAGATAAATCACATAAAATACAATTTAAGATATTTAGCAAATTGCATGTAGCTCTCAGTGTATGCAATAAAGTTGATGATACATGCTCTGCACTATGCCATGCAAATACTAAGTGCAAAAACACACTGGCGTGTCCTGTCAAACTACTGTTCCCAAGCTTAGGAATGAACTTTTTCTCTCTACCTGGCACTTATTTTCATATAATGTGGTCTCGTCCATTGACCACGATGTTGTCAAGCAAAGACATTTCTTGGCTTTAAAATATGAATGGATTCAATGAAATGTAATCTTGGTGTGACCTTATTGTCTGGCCAAAAAACACAAAATTGTCTGCTGCACGCCTTTCAATCCTTTACATTTGTGATATTATAAACCATTGTCTATTTCTTCTTTTGAGACCGTGTCCCATGTGCAACAAGGAACTTAGATGAGTTTGTGAGAGAATGGTTTACCCCAGTATGTATTTTGGTTGTGAATGACCAATTTTATCGCCGTAGAGTTCAAGTATGATTTTTTATATATGGTTGTATTATTTTTTTCCCCCCATTATAAGTCCCTTTGTTTTGGTATGGGATGTGTTTGTATATTCTGGTTATATGTATACATGCAGAGATTGCAGTGTATATGGTGCAGAATTTGTGTATTTATTACTTGATTGCATGTACTGTATATATTTCCCCACATGTTTCTTTTCATCTGAAAATAAAAAAGCAGAACTAAAAAGATGTACGTGATTTGTAGTGAATGGGCTGCAGCATGCAAAACATTGGTATGGTCCTCTTCTTTATAACCACCCACAAAGAAGACAAATGAAGGTCAGGAAATGAGGATGACGTATAATTTCTTTTGTTATGATCATGTAACAGCAAGTAGCAGGAAGACATTAAATAACAGGCTAAGAATAGATATAGAATATGTTTTAAGTGGTAGAGAACTGGACTGCAGTGGAAAAGGATATGTAATTTTTCTGGTAAACTTGCAAATTGTTCATCACCACTTTTGTTTAATATTTTTCATAGTTTTTTATAGATCGAATCAAAAGTAAGTTTATGGTAGATTTTTTCTGAGATGACTGAAGTAAAAGTTATGTTACTTTACTTTTACTAAATTCTAGACTTTCAATGTAAATACAAGAAAACAAATATTTCAGCAATCTCAAGTAAAGCAATGTTCACATCTATGAAACACCACTGTGGAATTCCCCTTCAGAAATAAATAAATCACTCATATGAAGCAAACAGACTGATGGGTGGATAGAATAGTAGATGATGGATGGCTGTCCTCAAAATACAGGAAGAGATGGTGAAAAAAAAAACGTTGGGGTGTGCTTGTGTGTGTGTGCGTGTGTGTGTGTGTGTGCACCCAGGCCACCCGTCCTGTCTGCAGTTCACAGTGAACATGACGGCTGCGGTGAGGACTTATCGCTGGCAGTGCATCGAGTGCAAGTCCTGCAGTCTGTGTGGCACCTCTGAGAACGACGTAGGATTTTACTTTATACAACATCTTAACACATGTGGCTGCACACAGACACGCACACACACACACACACACACACACACACACACACACACACACACACACACACACACACACACACACACACACACACACACACACTAGTTTACTGTACATACATACTGTAGTACATAATAATGGAAAACATTATAACTTATTGTTTGAATTCAGGTTTTATGCAGTCTTTTATAGGTAGTGCAAGTTCAGGGGCTTTATCCACCTTCTGAACAGTGATCCAGGAGCTAGCTCAGATTCACAGGCTTGCTTATAGACTTAAGTGCATGAAGGTTTGATCCCTTGGATTGATTTCTAACCACTGGGCTTACTGTTGCCCAGTTAGTCTCACTGGGATGAAACCCATGAGAGAATATGTGACAACCTGGGATAAATGCTGTTTTAAAAAAAAACCCTAAAGAGTAAGCAGGTATTTTTACTTACAAAATATAGTCCAGATAATAAAGTCACAGTGCAGGTTATTATTATTAACTATTTCTATGAAGGGAAGATAATGATTCTCAAGGTTTCTCAACTTAAAAGTAACAAAGACGTGTATCACGCACAACCCCTTATACATATTAATATATGCACATTAAGTTAATGTTCTTGTGTCCTCAGCTTTTCAAACCTGCCCCCACACTTATGTTTACTTGAACATTCTCCTCTGTTCCAGGACCAGCTGTTGTTCTGTGATGATTGTGACAGAGGCTACCACATGTACTGCCTGAGCCCTCCCATGTCTGAACCACCAGAGGGTATGTATGAATGACTAATGGCTATAAGAAGAATGTATTGTAATCAAGAGATACTGCATACCTGGAGTTCATATCAAGGACTTCTGAATTCACAGACAAGTGTGTGATCAGAGAGCCTAAATGAAACTCATCTAAGAACAGTTTTGTTGTTTGCACAGAATGATGTAACTGTCTGTACTGCAGGTGGGGAGACGGTCAAAACAGTCAGACTGTCCCTGCGCTGACTTTTAGGTCCCATCATTGTAATAGGGACATCTAGGTACATCTATTCTAATTAAACTGTTGTTTGCCATCTACACATAAGATGGCTGCCTTAGGATGTTTGATGGTGTTGTCATGGAAATGAGTAGTAGAAGAGATAATCTGTTTCCATGGCAAAAGTGTCACTTGTCTGAACATACAGTAGCAGTGCCACTTGTGTTCAACACTCACTAACAGTGTCATGCTCTGCCCACACATGCAACGCTTTTGATTTGCAAGAAACCAGCAGCAGTCAGTTATTTTAGATTTACTCTCAAGAAGAGTAACAACATATATTTTTATGCTGTGCTAAATGCTCACAGAACACATTACGGCATGATACAGCAGGGTCTACATTCACTTTGAAGTATAAAGGTTGAGAGTTGCATTTTAACATCCATCTCAAGTTGGTTAAAATGTTTAATTAATGTCACAAATCCCTTGCTCAAATCTGAACCAAACTAGTTGTCAAATCCCCTGCATCTGTCAAGCACAGCCACAGCATGTGGTGTTTTAACATGGAGCTTTAATTTACAGTGTAACTTAACGCTCTGTCTAAAATGAAGGATTAATCCACAAGGCTTTACAATAGCGGTGATTGAACTTCCGATTTGTGATGTACTCTGTGTGTGTGTGTGTGTGTATGTGTGTGTGTGTGTGTGTGTGTGTGTTGTACAGGGAGCTGGAGCTGTCATCTGTGTCTGAGACAACTGAAGGAGAAGGCCTCAGCCTACATCACCCTCACTTAATCTGCGGAGCTGCGCCTCATCCTCTTGGCCCTTCATCCTCTCCCAAACCACCTCTCCGTCACCCCTCTCTGTGCCTGCCTCAGCTGCCCTCACCCCCCTCCTCCTTTGATCCATTCGCTGCCACTTCCTCTACAATCCGTCCCAGTGACCTTTGACATGACTGAGCACACAGCACCCGCAGCGCTGCACCCATTCTTGAACGTCTGTCCAGCGGCGAGCCAACCTCCGTCTTTTTGTGTCACTCACATTCCCTGATGTGCTTGACCTGACCCCCCTTCCCCTCTCTCCTGCTCTGTCTCAACAGAGGAATTCATCAGCTGGCAATAAGTTTGCTAGCGAGACACACACTCCAGCCTGCCAAGGGCACTTCAGAGGCATACTACTCCACAGGAACCCTCTTAAGGGCCCTCGGAAGAGCCCTAATGATCTTCAGCTGCAACTCAGTCAAGTAGTGAGTGGGAATTAATAAGATGGATAGGTGTTAGGCCGAGGACAGGGCATGGAAGACCCTGGATAACCATGGAGCAGTATGTTTCGGTGTTAGCCAACTGTGAAATATACACCTAACCAAAATTTCATTTACTCCCTCTGTCCTTTACCGTGTACGGCAGAGCTGAGACGTTGAACTCTGCTCCGTTACTTGTCTGCGGGGCTTTCTGCCCTGTGCAGTTTCAAAGGGGAGTGAATTGTACAGAATTCAGACTGATTCTCTATCTACGCACTCTTGCAGACTCCCCTCACTGTCAAACAATGAGCGTCTGGTCAGGAACTCAGACCATCTTTGACCTCACCGTGTCCTCTCTCCTTGCATGTGGTTTCCACAAATTAATGATGCATTTTGGGATTGACACTGAGGATTTTAGTGTTCTGACGTGATCCTCGGATAAGAGAGAGATGGATTTTTCTCTAATCAGCTATCTCTGATCAAACAATGTATTTAAAAATGACAACTTAGGCTTAGCATCTCTCACAAATCCTTAACCTGACCTTTATCTGCCCTTCCCCTCTCAAACAATGACTGTGAAGCCAATGCGAGACTGAAACGCTCCTGGTGCTTGGTGTGTATTATCCGTGTGTTAAGAATGTAGGATTGATGTGTGGACAATGCAGATCTTTGTCTGGCCCATAGAGAGGCCTAAAAACTTATTTTATATGATTCCTTTTTTATTTATTTTTTTCATTTGCATGTTGTTATTTCAATTGTTTTTAAAGACTTTTGATTGAAATTGAAAAGAAAGCACACTTAAATTCGCAATAATGTGTTTGTGATATGAACTATTTTGGCCAAACTGGGTGTGTTTTAAACTTTGTGTGTGTCTGTGTGTCTGTTTGTGTGAGTTTTACTGAGCACTACAGTAATTGTAGTCAGCTCCATGCTAGGTGGCATCTGTGAGAGGATTCCAGTAGTAGTAGTTGATGTGAATGTAAGGAAAGTCTGTGTTTTGCAAGTCACAAGTCTCAAATCTTCTAAATTAAGTCAAGACCAACAAGTGTTAAAGACAGAGTTTGAAATTTTGGGAAATAGATACAAAAATCAGAGTGTAAAAAAGTTGGTTATACGGGCTTTATGTGCTAGACTGTTTCTTGGCAGTAACTCCAGGAAGTCACTGCTCCCAGCCAAGAAATAATCTGGCACATAATCCATCGTAACACTATAACGTGTCACTTTACTCTTTGTATTTTAAACAGAATAAACAAACAAGATATAATATCTTAATTTATCAGCTCTTGCTGTGCTGGTAGGTGGATTTTGTTACATTTTGCAAAATGCTAAGCTAGGCTAACCATCTCCTAGCTGTAGCTCCGTATTCATCAGACAGATATGAGGGTATTATCTCTTCTAACTCTCTTTCCCAAAATTTCAAATTAACATCAAGTCCATTTACTAAACAGTTGATGTTACAACAGAGTAACATGTGCATTTTATCTATTCCGAAGCGTGAAACGTCTCAGATGAGTATCTGTTTTCCCCTCGTTCTTCTCTCTCAGCTCTCTGATTTTACTACACAACATGGAGGAGAACGAATATTGGATTAATATCACCACAACACACTGACTGTGTCAAGGGTCATTGATTTTATGTTTGCAGAGACGCTAAGCTCTTTGTTACTATCTTAAACCGATACTCAACCCAAAATATTTCCATTTAGGATCAAACACTCAATACTTTTGAACGGTGGCTTTTAACAGTCACTAAACCACTCCTGTACCTTAATCCACTTCTCAACTTTATATTGAGATTGAAACAGTACACTGCTTCTGTTTGACACGTGCTAACGTGGACACTCAAGTGACATAGAAGCATTAGCTTTAATAACATAATTTCCTATCTTTGGTCTTGGTGGTACAAAAGGAAGTCACAAGTCATTGGTGCTGAAGTTTAAGTCAAGTGGCATGTTGAATTGGCTTTCTAGCTTGCCCGTTCTGTTTCTCACCAAGTGAAACAAGTTCTTTTCATCGTCTTTGTGTCCTGCAAAACATGAGGCCAGCTGTTTTGTGTGATCAGTGCGACATTGGTGAGAGAAGATGTTGCTCTGCTATCTGCCAGTCTGCTCTGCACGTTACAAGCCAGTATAATAAATCAGTGCTTAAAGACCAAGCTGAAATGTTAAGGCTGAGTTTGTCATTATGGGATTAATCAGCCAGCATGCATTTTTGAGCTTGCACAGAGAAAAATCTCTCTTTTTTTCCTTTTAACTCAAATGCCCATTATGTTATCCTTGACCAGTTTAACTGGACTTGGCAAGGCAAGTTTAATGGGCACATTACGATAGCAGAAAGCGCTGATTTAGGAGGTTGTTTTCAACATTACTGAATTGTTTGTTTGTAAAAAAGAAGGCATCCATCCGGTGATCTGTGAGCGTTAAGCTTGGAGACAATAGCTGTAAATAAGGGATTGAATTAAGGGCAACAATTCCATTTCATACAGTGTTTCATATTCTTGTGTACATATCAAAGTATGTAACAGGTCAAATTCAGCTGGTTTTGGTTTGAATGACCATCTCATTTTTAATGCTGCATCATGTCTCTAAAACAAAACTCGCAAGATCAGATGGCTTGTGAGAATGTAACTGAACTGTAATTGTGTTTGCCATCTGATACAGATAGACGTTAGGTGCAAATACTGTGGTACCCCTCAATTCAGTGTAACTCCACTGATGCATGAATGACATCTGAAATGTTTCTGATTTCATATTTTGATATTGTCAGTATTGCTTTTTTAAAACTAATGATGAGAAATAACCTTTAACTTATGTTCATTTCCTGTTGGTTTCCTTGTTCGGTTTGGTAATTGTGTCTTTTTACATTTTGCACAGCGTGGCTGCATCTGCTCCCCAAGTGTGTTTATGCCTCTGTGTGTGTGTGTGTGTGTGTGTGTGTGTGTGTGTGTGTGTGTGTGTGTGTGTGTGTGTGTGTGTGTATAACCACTTATGATAACTGGAAGGTCAGAGAAAAGAAAAAAACGAACCAAAATAGCGAATTATTAGACATTTTCTTCTCAGCGGAACCACTTGCATGGCACAGCACTGCTAGAGGATTGTAATGTTGAGTACAGATTACAACAAAAGTGTACTTGAGTGTACACATTTCTCACAAGGCACTTGGATGAAGCTGAATTAATTCTTCAGTGTGTTAAGTGTTATATTTGCCAACAAAGGCAGTAGCATCCAATCAAAATGTTTTTATTTCCATGAACCAATGAGAGCTAACATCTAGATTTGAAGTGTGTTTGAGTGGAAATAGTTTGATGATGAAATGGATGCCGAGGAAGATCATTATATTTAATATATAATGGAAATGTTTATGTGGTGGATGGACGATGATGATGATATTGATGGTGACTGAAAAGCCTTTATATTGGGAGCTTTCCTGGCACTTAATAGGAGAAGCATGGTGGAGTCAAACTAATTTTGATTGTACTATCTGGGGAGGGTGGGGAAGCCATGTTGGGGTTTTGGAAGGGTATCATTGTGATTATTTAATGAAACTTGAGCCTTCCCTTTGTACAAATGGACAAACCAAGGTGGTGGGGGAGGGGTCGAACAAGTTGATGCCATTACCCCCACCTCCCCCCATTTTAGGCTGATGGGGTGGCTCGGTCGGAGGGTTGAGACTTTGGGCCACTCTAGGCCTCTCTTGTAAATTGTCGTTCTGTGATCTTGCTTGCACTTTTGTTTTTCATTTCCCAAAAACAAGAAACTAATTGTAAGTGTGTATGTGTGTGAGTGCGGGTTTTTATTTTTAATCTTTGCATTTTTTTCAACGTGATTGTCTGTTGTAAACAACACTGGATAAAAGATGAGTTTTTAATTTGTATTTTTTACCTTGAGAGGAAGATGAAATCTTCTTGGACATTTTTTAACCCCCACCTGCTCCCTTCCTCCCCCTTTCCTCTCTCTCTCTCTCTTTCTCTGTCTGGTACCTGGGAATGCTTTGAAACGTGGACTGTGACCGCACTGCTGTCATCACTGCTGTCAGTCATTCTCTGTGAATTCATCCGACTTTCTCAATTTACCCAGTTTTTTCTCTCTTCCCTTGACTCATTTTTTTCCATTAAAAAGATGAGATTGAAAAATGACCTCTACCTTTGTGTTGACATTGTGTGTGTGTGTGTGTGTGTGTGTGTGTGTGTGTGTGTGTGTGTGTGTGTGTGTGTGGCATTTATTTGCTCTACTTCCGGCTATATAAATCACTGAATATTTGTGTGTACTTGGACAGTAGTCAGTCAGTCTGTCTGCTTGTCTGTATTGTTGCCAACTAGGGCAGCTTACTAGTCAGTTTAACCAGTCAGGTGGTGAGGACTTTCTAGCTCACACATGGCAAAAACCAACCATTCTTTCCTCCTTTTCACTGGGGCGGATAACAATCTATCAAAGCAGTGTGTTCAAAGTCAGATTTCAAAACCTGAATAACTAATTATCATTTCCAATTTAAATACACTTTGCGGCTAAAACACATTGACAAGAATCTTTTTCTTTTTTTGCGTAGCACTCCAAAAATATTCTAACCTTTTCATGTGTATAAAATAGGAACAAATTGGCTATGAACTGACAAAAGATTAAGGGACAGCATTGTTTTGCTGTAGCTGCCCTGAAAAAAAACTGGGAATGGGGGACAAAAGAGCCCCACTGTCTGGAATTGTTTTCAAACAACACTGCAGAAGAGAATACATTTTGCTATTCAGGGCAGGTACAGTTTTGCTATTTGTGATGTATTCCTGGAGATGAGACATTCATCATAGCTGCTGTGTTGGCCAGACCTGGCTGAGCAACAGCAGCAGGGTGAAGTCAAGCTGATCAACAATTCCATTTTTTTCCCCTTACCTGCTTCCCTCCAGAAGCAAGAAAACCGAAAACCAGTGCACACTTGGTTCCTTTGGGGAATATAGGTATTTTTAACAATATGCTCTGAAAAAACTCCTCCATCCATCCTTTGGCAGAGCTCCAACCTTATCCAAAATCCTGCACAGCACCCCAACCCCCGCCATCCTGTGCATACAGAAACCCACACACAAACGCCTGTGTGCCACACACACTCAGACATGCGTGCACACAAACATGCACTTTCACCCACATACTGTACAGTATGCACATACACACACTGCCTAGAGCTCCCATCTTCTTATGAGCTTCATTACTCTGACCCCAGTCTCCCTTTCATATCTCTAAGGATGTTTGTGTAGTGTATGTGTGTGTGTATGTGTGTTTTCCATTCAATACCCAATAGAATATGAGTATGTATATTTATTTAGGCCCAGAGTAAGCACAAGTGTGTTTATGTGTGTGTGTGTGTGTGTGTGTGTGTGTGTGTGTGTGTACATGTGCAAAAATGTGTATTCTGTATGTCAATGTGTGAATACTCTACTACGTGTATGGAGTGTGTGTGTGTGTGTGTGTGTGCGTGTGTGTGTGTGTGTGTGTGTGTGTGTGTGTGCGCATGTGTGTGTGTGTGTGTGTGCGTGTGTACATGTGTGTGTATGACTTCCCAGCCAATTACCACATCTCCCAGACAGACTGAGACTGCCTAGGCCCTGCCAGCCAATCAGAGAGGGGCTGCGCACTGCCGGGCCGGAGGTGGTTGCTATGGTAACCAGGAGGCCTGTTTGCATGGTGGCTGATGGAAGAGTGATGGATTACAGTAATGGGATGGAGGGAGGGAAGAAGGGAGGAAGATAGGGAAGGAGGAAGGAAGAAAGAATAAGGGAGGTGTAGGAAGAGGATGAGGATGGGAGGAAGAGAAAGAAAGAAAATAGGAGGAGGAGGAGGAGGAGGGAAGGGATGGACAAGGGGAGGTGAGGAGGAGGAAGAAGGGAGGGAGACAGGCTCATACATAAAGATATTGGAAATGTATGAATGCATCTGAAATGAAGCGCCTTAAAAAGATGAAAAAAAGAATGAGAGAAAATGATAAAGGGAGAGTGGGGGAGGAGTGGAGGGGGAGAAGATATTGAGAAATGGGGTTGGGGTGGTGGGGGGGTTGGAGGGGTGCTCTGTAGTGTTTGATTGAATTCCTCTCTTTCCCTCTTCTGTCTGGGCTGAGATGTGTGTCTGGCCATCTGTCCTTGGAGCAGACAGAGAGGTAAATGTGTGGAAAGATGCAGTCTCACCTTTTTGCCTCCTCAGCAGCACTGCAGTCACACTGTACCAGAACTACTTCAGTGTTTCCACCCAGTCCCCCCAACCTGCTCCAGCTGAAACTATAATGCGAAGGCCGAGCTAATGCACTTCATTGCATATAGAGTCTTGATAAAACTGTGCTTGATAAATGTTTCTGTGTTAGTGAAAATCTTAATGTGAAAAGTTACAAACCAGTGTTAAACTGAATTGCAGGAACCTTTTCACTCTCCCAAAAAAAAAAAAACTTTACTTGATCCAATTGATCAGCACCCCTTGTATTTTGTTGGCACTGGCTTTTCTTCCTCCTTGTTTGGGGCCCCACAGACTATTATTGTATGTGTGCAAATAAAAGCCAGTATCAGCCAAAGCGTATAATACACACACTGGTCACGGTTCAAAACATTTCAAAATAAAGCTCAGTTATACCTGATAAGTCAACATTGACTTTTGGTTTCACATAAACAGCACTCAAACAGCAGTCTTCCAGTTAAAGTCTGTATTTGTCTGACCCATTCATCCACCCAACATCCTCCATATGTGGACATTTGTCACATGCGTTCTTCAAATGTCTAGATGGGGCAAAACGAGACACGGTATCCTCTAGTGGATCAGCGGGTCTATTACACGGTTTGGAGTGAGACTGGGCTAGTAAAATTATAATAATAGATAAATCTGCATTTTTTGACCTGTAATTATTGTTTTGCTTTTCTTCTGGCCTTATCATGCAAAAAAGTATTGAAGTCGTTACACTTCACTTTGCAACAAAATGGGCTTGCATATTTGATGACAAAATAAAGAAATTACCATAAAGTATGGCAGTTATGGAGGTGTAACAGATTGTTATAAAACTCCTGTGACAGAAATCCAAATGGACCCACTGTATTAGGATATGGGAGGGCGGTGTACATAAAAGTACTGTCAATACAAACCACACATATAGAGCTCTATGAAAATCAATTGTATCTAACCGTATTTACAGCTGAGGTCTCTGAGTACCCCAAACAGGAGTAATACATTCTTCTCAATAGGGCACTTCTGAAACAAATTTGGGAAAGTCATGAAGTATCAAGCTGATAAAAGTTTTTGAGCAGTTAAAGAGGGCTCTAGGACCCCAGTCGGAACATTAGCATTAATGCTTTTGTCCATGTACAGCGACAAATAAAAATTCGGACTACTTAACATATTCACCCAATAACAATAATCTTCATTATCCACACTGGATCTATAGAACCAGAGAGCCAAAAGGTAATTAACAATCCAATTGCTTAATTAACAGTCTAACTAGATAATCAATCAAGTGAACAGGATAAATGTAAATCAAAGCATGTGGTTTCCTTGAGAGGAAAGGTGAGTTCAGAAAATTGCTCATGAGTGGGATTTAACAGACTTTAAACAGTGATATTTGCTTCCTGGTCTCACACACATACAGTTTTCCTGATGAACCATACCATGTTCACTCTTACTGACAGACAGCGACTGAGGATGCTTTTGAGTCAAGGATTAGACTAAATCTGTGTCTGGGGAACCCAACTCCCTGTGATCTTTTTAAGCGACAAAGCACTATTCAAGTCAATTAAAGATGCAGTCCACTCAAATTAACTGCTGGGCCAAATCAAAAACATAAAAGACGTTACTCAAATCCATCATAGTGGAGGTTCAATACGTTCTCTTGTCATTCAGATTGTCACTTTTAATGATTATCTGCCACAATCCTCGCTTTGAAGGTTGTGTTATGGCTTTGATGCAGTCTATTGAGACAAAACTGTAATTTACTTGTTTTGAGTGTTGATAATACAGCCTATCAATGGCTGGATCATCAGTTTGCAGAATTTGTATTTTCCAGGTAGATGAACACTTGAATAATCTGCAGTGCAATAGTGTTCAAAAGAAAGAAACACAGACTTCAAAGATGTTGTACTTGAAATCATAATTCAACACTGCAACCTAGAGGCAGGCTTTAGCAATAACATCTGTGTTACATGCAAAAAAAGAAAGTATTTACCTGTGCAACATCAGTCGGCCAATCACCTGCATGCACAGAGAAAGGAGGAATTCACTAATTCAGTCTAAATGACAAGAGAAAGCAAACAAATTAACAGATACATAAAAGCATGGAAGAGTGGAGGGAGAAAAACTGCTCATTGTTGTGATTTTCTATGTGCTTTATTTGTTTGATTGCTGCTGTTTTCTTTTTTTAATTTGCAGACTTTCAACAAATAAAGTCATATAAATAAAATGCTTTGGATTGGGTTCCATTTGTCAGTCACTATCTGAGTTTGGCTGCTATCTTTTCCCTCTTTGGATGTTTACACGACTTACATCTGAAATTACACAGACAACCAAGTGGTATGGATCATTAAGTACGACGTTCATTTATTTCCTTTAATATTGGAGGAATTAACCAGAACAAACACGGTTACAACATTGTGTAATGTCGTGTACTGTCTTGCAGTCATGTACTGTGAGATTTACACAGATTGGTTAATGTGAAAAATGAACGTCAGCAGAGTAATGGGAAAATACAAGGCTGATTAAATAAAGCCTCACTCTCTTTATCTTATCCCTAATGTTTTCTCTGGCATCCACCAGCGTCTGTGGCTTTATTATTCCACCTTCAATTGGCCACTTTTCATCTGAAAAGGTTTTAATGATTGACAATAACTTTATTAATTATGTTAAAATTCAAGCTAGCTCAGATTTTAAGTGGTTTCCAATTTTCTAAGTAGAACTTTAGATTCTATCTAGAATTTGAATTTAGTTTTTGTTGCATGGCAGCAGCATCACTTTTCACATTAAGGCATTATTTTAAGTGTCAGGGTGGCATTACTGATCATGTCTCAACTTCAGGGTAAATGTTTACAGTCAAGTTGTGCTTTATACTACAAGTTATCTAATGTATGTATGTATTTGTTTATTTGATAGGCACAGAGCATGTTAATAAACATCAATATAAAAATAAAAGATAAAACATAACTTGGTAAACATGCCGGAGTAGGCAAAAAGTTATAAGTTACATCTGTAGTCCCTAGGCAGGTAACAGAAACAAAAACATTATAAATACCAACATACAGATACACATATACAGTTAAGTAAAAAAGGAGAGAATGCATTATGATGCTGATTATAAGTGATGCTGGATTTTTGACCTCTTTAAACATTAAAGTCCCCAAAGGAATTTCTAAGAAATACTAAACCTGAATGAACCTAATAGTGAGTGAACCGATTTCGTCTCTTTGTAAAAATGGTAAAAATTGTATTCATGTATTATTATTTCTGGATGTTTATTTGTTGAATTACTGTGCTGTCATAGGAATGAGCATTTTGTTATATTTCCTATGATGTTTTTACAATTATATTTCCACAACATACTTATGTGTGGGTGAAGTCATGTGTCATGTCATGTGCTGTAATGTGCCTTGGATCGAAGTCAAATTTGAATTGTTGTGGCCACAGTATATTATTTGTATTGCTTGGAGCTGTCTATGTTTATGTGTAAAATTACAATAACAAATATAGTTTTAAAAAAGCACTGGCACATTTTATAGAAAGATTAAACCTGTGCAGACAAACAAATTACCATTCACATTAACATTCATTAAAAAGACTAATTTTACAGTCATGGTACACTCTGAGTCTCAGCTAAACAGAAATCTTCAGTAATTATCCCAATTCCAGAAAAGGAAATTATATAATTAGGTGTGTAATGTTAGTGTTACACAAAAGGTGACATTTAATGTGACGGACTGTCGAAAGCAATGGGCTATGCATTTGTTGTTTTCCTCCACATGAACTGTTATGAAAAATATACATTATTAATCTTATTACCGAATGTAAAATATCAGAAAGAAGCATGGTATGCATTCAGTACTCATTATTCAGAGGTGTACTGTGGCTCCCTGGACCCCCTTTTGGCAGCTCCAAGTAAAAGTCCTGCATTTAAAAACGTACTCAAGTAAGAGTAAGTATAATCAGGAAAATGTAATTTAAAGTATCAAAAGTAGAAATATTCACTGTATTTTGTATAGGCCTGTGACTAACTTATCATCATGGATTAATTTTCTGATTATTTTCTCCAATAATTCATTAACGGTTTGGTTTGTAAATTTTTTTAAAGAGTGATAACTGCCGTCACTATTACTCACAGTGCAGAGACACTTTCACAATGCTTGTTTTATGCAACCATGGTGCCAACCTCAAAATAAAAAGTAAAAGCTACATAATTAAAAGGAAAAGCAGCAAATCTTCACATTTGAGAAGTTGGAACTGGGAAATGTTTGGCATTGAGTGAAACAATAATTAAAATGCCAAACCTAACGTCCATTTCAGCTGTAAATGTATACTGTTATATATATGCTGTTGGATAGTACGGAAGCCGACAACGGCCATGGATTCTTTCTTTTTTTGATGCGCTGTTACTGGCTGTAGCTGTAACCTGTCGGTAAGTTACACTTTACATTAGTTTGTTTACTTGACTGGAAGCCGTTCGTGGCAGCTCTTGTAGGTTGAAATCAAGACGAACACATTATTAATTAATTAGTTATCACGAGAAAACGATCTTTGAGATAACAAAATAATTAATTTGTTATCTCGACATAACAAACTTTGTTATATCGAGATAACGAGATAATGAGTCGTTATCACGAGATAACAGTGCATTAAAAACAAAAAAAAGGTGTATATGGTAACAAATCATTGTATTCATTAAAAAAAATTAATCATCCAGTCTCCTCCATTAAGTATATAACAACTGAGATGGCATTTCTGTCAAAGAAAGAGTGTGATCTAGAGAAGTTTCTCCTTGAGAAGAAGTTCTCACATTTGGAGTAGTTTTGTGTTAAGTGAGTTAGAGAACTGAGAGTCCACATGTGACGTTCACACATAGACTGTGCTGTGATCGTGGGAAAAACAACACATGAACAGATATCTTGGTGTTACCTAACCAAGAGCTGGCTGTAGGAGGTTGTGAGTGAATCTGCCAAATGCACATGTTGTAAATATTCCAGAAAGTGATCCTGATATCAGATAACAGGAATGTTTTTGTGGTATCAGAACTCATAAATTAAACGCCCATTCAGCTTAAATTTATCAATCTCACCATCATCAAAAGCTGTAAATTCCTCTCTGACTTACAGTTACTGTGTAAACTGATCTTGTTTCCAAGAAATTGGAAAGTAGCTAAAAATAGACAGCTATGTATTGGAAATGTGCATGATTTCATACAGTATTAGGCAAGAAATGACTTGCACAGCAGGCTTTAAATCTAAGGGTGAAAGAAGTACACACAGCAATGCCACAGTGTAGAAATATTTTACTTGATAAAAGTATAAACAGTATTAGCATCAAAATATTTGTATTATTATTCATCTCAATCTACAAAGTAACAGGTAACTAATGTTAACAAATAAATGCAGTTAAAAAAAGTAAGTAACAGAAAATGGAAATACTCAAGTAAAACACAAACACCCCAAAAGTACAATACTTGGATAACATGAAATATTGTCATATAGTAACAACACCTGAAAATGATCTCACAAATTCCACTGGGACTCATACCATAGTGGTGCTAAAATTGGCATTTACTATATCATTGTTCCAGTTTTACACACCTACACTTAGTCACATCCACATCTCATTTGTTGGCCAAATTCTTGTTCATCCCACACAAACATCACATGTTAACAGGAGGTCAGATAAAAGGAGAGGACAAACCAGGTGAAAGGTGAAGAGAAGTCATATATAAAAGCCAGTTTGTGCTAAGGGCGGACTGTGGCAGCAGGTGAGTGGAAATACACGCATACAAACACAGACAGTACAAACAAACTGATCCTTGTGCATGTGCAGGCTTAAGCTGTTACTGCATACCATACACTGCCTTGTTGAGTATTTATTTTATTATTTATTATTTAACTCTACAGGACAGTCAAGTATCTGAGGTTGTGTCCAGGATGGAAACCTTGGTGACTTTGTGCACTCTACTCTCATTCCTCTTTTCTGCTCATGCAGATGTTGTGGGACGCTTCGAGGTTTGTGTGCTTATTCCAGTTTATTCAAAAACTTTAAGGAACATTAAATCTGTGTGTGTTTGTTCAGCATGTGTATTTTGTCTCAGGATGCACCAGAATGCATGAAGTACTTCTATAAAGAGAAGGTGCCAGAGTGGGGGGCTTCAACACCTGGTGCTGCCCGTCTTTGTCACCGCTTTGTCAACAGGTAGTGGTAGGGTGGGAAGTGGGATTTGGACCTCTACTACAGCCCAGCTCGCTATAATGTTCATTCATTACAACTGATCCCTCGAATCTCAGAAATCTTACTGCATAGTATTTTTCATCACTAAATGTTTCTTAGACCTCAATTGTCCATTGCAACATTTCTGAGCTCCAAATCAGTATACTTCATCTTTCCACCACCAGGTACCACTTTGCCACACTGTATGACACCAACCATCGTATTGCTGTCTACTCTGCCTATCAGTTCCAGCCCAGCAATGGAGGTGGCAGGGAGAGAAGGTGGTTTGTTGAGCCTCAGGTTGGTGCCACATGTCTATACTGTACACATGCATCCACAGCATTGATGTAGTCAAACTCATCAGCATGTGTGGCATACATATCAAGTAAGCAGAGTACTAATGAACTGCTAGGGCTGTTCTGTTAGTAAAGAATCAGTACGGGTGCTTGCACTTGTGTGTTTAAATCTAAGAATTTTTATGTGCCTTATAGCTAGTAGACATTACCTGGCAAGCAGGGATGAAGGATGGATACTGGCTGGGAAAAGACCACCCTGGGGTCTACCTTGGAGAGAGACAGGCTCTGAATGAGGACTACACACACTCTGGCTTCGACCGTGGTCACCTCAACCCCAACGGACACCATGCAGGTAATAAAGGCTGAACATAGGGGGTTTTTGGAAGAGAGGTCAGTAGGCGGCAATAGCCACTAGGTGTCATAGCAGCATGGCCTTATGTCATTGCTGATTGTAGATGTTCACTTACTTCATATACTTATATTATATATACTTCATACTACTGATTTTACTAAGACATTTATTTATTTGCACTATTCTGCTGAGATACATGGAAGCATGGAAGGGTGAATTGCTTTATGGGCAGCTATATGAATATTATTTCTAACCAAATTAATCCGTAATCTGTTTCCACTAAATATTTCATGATCTCAAGTGTGTTTTAATTAGATAAAATAAAAATGATGAACATCAAAAAAAATATATCTTTTTAATGTCTCCCTGGCCTTCCACATTTTGGACCTTTGGAAATGTTGTGATCAAATATCAAATATTGATCAAATATTAAGCATGTAGTAGCAGTCCTCTGATTAACTTTAAATATAGGCACGTGTGTAGAAACCATGAACGACTAACAACCATTCAATATTACAGACCTTATCGTCATTCAGTTGTGTTAGCCTTGGATTTCAGCCGTCTCTAATGGTGCCTACAGCTAATAATTTATCAATTTATTTTTTATTTAAATATTTTTGGGAGGTTTTTTTGCCTTTATTGATAGTGGCAGCTGAAGAGTGACAGGTAGGGTGAGAGAGAGAGAAATGACGCGCAGCAAAGGGCCACAGGTTGGATTTGAACCCTGGGCCGCTGCAGCAGGGACACGGCCTTGGTACATGGGGAGCCAGCTCACCAGGTGAGCTATCCGGGTGCCCCATAACTCAACTTAAAGAATAATTTTGGTGAAACTTTCAAACATGGTAGAATGAGACTGATTCAGCTACTAGATACATCTTGGTCTTTGTCTCTCTCTCTCTCCATTCTCTACCACTCTCTGCCTCCTACCAAGTCACCTTTGCAATACATAACTTTATTTAACTTTATTACAACCCACAAACAACCTTGCTGTACGTTAACCCTCCATTCCTCTCTCTTACAGTCCCTAGCCGCAATGCCACTTTCACTCTGACCAATGTGGTTCCTCAGAACCCCAAGCTGAACCAAAATGCCTGGAGGATCCATGAGTCCCAGCTCACTGACCTTTTCCGGGACAAGTGCTCTAAGGCCTATGTGCTGGTTGGTGCAGTTCCCTCTGCAGACAACTGGATTGTCAAAAACAATGTGAAGCGTGTCAACATCCCAGATTACTTGTGGAATGCCTACTGCTGTGTGGACAACAATGACAGTCCCATTCAGAGTGGTGCTGCCACAGCGAGGAACACAGAGGACAACTGGGTGGAAAGGCTCTCTCTGGATGAGCTGGGAGAATTCCTGCAGCAGTTCTCCAATCAACCAGTAGGGGAGTTGTTTTACAACAACTGCAGGGCATGAAAGATAACAGAGGGACGATGAAAACACAGATCAGTTGCCATTGCCCTTTAATTGCCCTTTAGAGTTGTAAATCCACAAAAAGCAAATATTCATAATAATTCAAGAGTGGTAAAACTGTAAAAACAAATTTCACAATGTTGTCAATATGGTGCATGTTACCATGTAACATTAAAAGACTAATAGTTCTCATTAAACCACAAACAGATGAATAAAAATAAGTAGCAGAGGGATAAATTGACTCTTTACTTGTGTCTTTTTCATTGACAGTAAAGGAAAATATCAACATACAAACATAGTGTCTGTCTTGTAACACACGTCATTTATTGTAACAAAGACAAATAAATTTAATTAATTTCCATGTCCACCCCTTCAGGATTACAGTGAAAACGCAGTCCAAGTAGCAATTACAGAAATGTATACATCATTTTTGTATTAATATATAAAATAGGAACTTTCAACATATAAGTGTTATGAATCTGAATCTCAAGTCAACCATTATTATTTTGCCCTGTGGGATGACCCTAACCTGACACAAGATACAGTGTAAGCCCACTTTAGTTTATGGCAAATTCTTGCTGAGTTGTTATGGTTGCTGAAAAACATTTAAAGCTGCTATAGTCAAAATTTTAATTTGAAAGGAGTTGCTCATAGGGATGAACTCTCATAGAGTGATCACCTTACTCTACCGTTTCCCCTCAGCTTTACAGAGTGCTTGTGTCAGCTCATAGTTGTGATTTTACAGCTATTTATAGCCCAAACAGCAGAATTATATATTGCTTTAAGCTGCAGATGTACTTTTAGCAGAATGGTCATTTTTTAGGGCCTTCTTGAATATACCTAGTCATGGACCTATCTATGCTTAGAAGATTAATAGGTTTTTATTTTGACAACATATGTGTACTTTCTTGTTACAAAAATAAAATTGTACTCCCAGTAGTTATTGTTTTCTTCCCCCATTTCTTTACAGTAGAAAATTCTATTTTAAATATTTTTTCCATCATATGGAGGAAAATTTTGCTTAGGAGTGATCATCATCTAGCTGTCAATTTTAGCATCCTCAGATTAATTATTTCAGAGTAAGGAGTAAATGTGAGGAGGTATGTGAGCACTTTTGTTGCTCATGTTGGCAATTCTATTATGTAAATAATATTTTACTTTACAATCTTCGTGTGAACTGAATGATTTCATCTTTCTAGGCCATTAACTCAATGTTGTTCTTTAGCCAACTTGCTCATAAACTGTTAATCAATTATTTTTCTTATCTTAACAAATTATTTCCTGTTTTCTTGGGAAATCACTTCTTAAATAATAAAAATCAACCCAGAGTCGACCAATTCATTGCTGATTATAAACACCCATCATCAGCAGTTTTAGCAGTCTAAAGTTTAATCATAGTGGACCATCGGGTGGTCAGTCCAGGGAGGAAGGTACGAGAGTTTCTCCTCAGTATCTCTTCCTATGGGCCAACCCCAGCACTTAAAGAATCCAGCCAGGTTCATTCCCACAGTCTGGGAGAAAGTCTCAGCATACAGGTTCATCTTTCCTTTGTTGTCCTTTGGAAAGTTGAACATCTCGTGGTAGGCAGCAAACACCTTCTTAAAGGCATCCCAGCCAAACTTTTCTTGGAGCTACATGGAAGGAGACAGGTAAAGGGAAATGTGAATTGATACAATGTGGTGGGTTTATATGGAATTAAATTTGTGCCAAAAGAATCAAACAAAAATAGGAATTTGAGAGTACATAAAACTAATTTAAAAAAATCCTATTTTTGTTTGTTTCTAAAAAATTCTATTCTTAAGGTTAGGGATTTTAATTTAAGTCTAATGTATGTTTAATGTATTTTTTGTATTTTGTATGCTACTGGATACTTGAATTTCCCTCGGGATAAATAAAGTATCTATCTATCTATCTATCTATCTATCTATCTATCTATCTATCTATCTATCTATCTATCTATCTATCTATCTATCTATCTATCTATCTATCTATCTATCTATCTATCTATCTTATCTTATCTTATCTTATCTTATCTAGCTTATCCATCTTCTCTCCGTTAGCACGCCAGCTACCTACACATAACTTCTGGGGCACTGAGCCTACTGAGCTGTGTCGCTCAAAAACAAATTAGCCAATTGGGACGCTCTGCTGAAAAAGCCCGCCTGCCCGAGAGGTTTGTGCCAAAACTCCAAACAAAAGATCAGGGAGCGCAAACAAGAGAGAACAGCAGATAGACCGCAAAGCAGAGAGTCAGTGCAAAGGTCCGAGCTTAAGAAGCAGAGGGAACCGTAAACAAAATAATGTCAATATTTTACACTATTTGACAAATTATTTGATTGCAAGTTATAAGTTTTATTTTTGAAATTAGTTTTATGTTCTCTTAAATTCCTATTTTTGTTTGTTTCTTTTGGCACAAATCTAATTCCATAGGTTTATGGAGGGACAAAAGTATATGAGAAGAAATGAACTACAATGAACTAGAGAGGTTATGAAAACTGTAACCACTGGGATCTTTAGATATGATTTTGTTCATTTTGTGTGATTTAAGGCTAAGTGTAGCTAAAGCTGAGCAAGTACAGTTGGAGCTATAGAGCTGATGCTGTAAAATTAAATCAAAAACTGACAAAGGTCAGTTGAGCTTCATGAAGTGCTAGTAATGCTGAGGAATCTTGTTGACTGTCAAGAGGATAAACCAGTTCAAATTAATACATTTAACAGATCAAACTTTGCATTTGGTGCCCTGATAGAAAATAGCTAAATTGTTTCTGCTTTTGTCACTAAACACTTTTATTAACTATTGTTCCTACAGTGTTGTAGGGACTGTAGCAGAGCTATAGACTATCAGCCTCGCATTTTTGGCCAGTTTAAGGTAACAATTCTGGATAAAAACTGATGTTTATGTTCTAGTGTTTCCAGTGTGATATTTTCTGTATAGAATGTAAAATATAGTCATTCTCTTTCACCTGCATGTATGTCTCCAGGGCCAGCCACACTTCCCAATCCTTGAGTTTCCTGCCCCCCTTAACATACTCCTCTACACAGCTCTTCCGATTTGTTAAGGTCATATTCGGATGAGCCTGCATGGAAGAAATTACACTCATCATATTATAACGTTAACCATGAGGAAATAACAGGAGGAACAATGTGATCACAATAATAAGATAAAAAATGGTTCAGCTGTTAATGGGAATTTATTGGTGCTTTGTCCGAGATAACTGTTTTACTCCACCTGTGCCCTGTTGAGCCCCAGCACCTCTTCGTGCACATACACTGACCACAGGTTGCATGTACACTCTGTGGTGTGTGGAGGGAACTCCCAACAGCTTCTCTGTTGGTTGTGTCCCAGTTCATGAATTTCTCCCCACAGGCCTACAGTCCTGGCATCATCTAGACTGACCAACTCAGCTGCTATAGATGAGTGCATCATGATAGGATAGCCTGAATGCATCCAACCTGAAAGGAGAGAAATTAGTTACGCAGTTAGTGCTGCATGAATCTTTTAGTTCCCATAGCTGTGTAACGCACTTTAAGGGATGCACACCAGTCACTGGGATGAGCTCACTATTAGAGTACAAGTGCAAACATATCTTACATTAAACCATTTACTGTTTATATATCACACATGCAGCAGAGAAAATATTTGATTGAATATGTGACAGCAAAACACACTTACCATGGGAAATCTGCACATCTGCTACAATGCGTTCTTTACGTTCAAATTTGTGTGGGATGGCAGCCAGATCTGCGACACCCTTCATGATGTCATTCCAAAGCGCTGCCACCTCATCAGAGCGCTCAAGGTCTCGAACAACATGTGATGGTACAGTAAGGATGATGTTGTCAAACTCCAGCTCTGCCCAGGGTGAGGGAGCTTTACGCAGCGACAACCAATCAGCTGCTGTTGTCACACCTGAAAGAAACAAAGGGATGGATGGAGTGAAAGCTCTATTGTAGGCAGAGTTCAGTTAAAGTATGAAGACCTCATCTCCAAAACCCTTTTTAAAAAAGTGGCTTTCAGTAAAAGTGCTTCCAGCAGCCCTAAGGTTTTGAATGCTAAAATATATGTTCATGTGGCTGTATGTAAGTTTAGCTGCCAACAAAATAACATATTAAGTATCAAAGTTAATACAGCTGTGGGATCATGCAGCTGTGAATCTACTGAAAAAAAACATGCAAATACACTAGACCAGACAGTTCATTATCAGGCAGCAAGCAGCTTTATAAGCGCTGCATGATTTGCATTACATTCCCCACAGAGTTAAACATTAACAGTCAGTGACACACACTCACCACACTTGTAATAAGGAGCAGGTGTAGCTGTCTGCACCATGATCTCTGCCCCTTCCACCTTTGTGTTAGGTGGGGCCACCAGGTAGATGAGCCCCCCCCATAGGTTTGACACCTGCATCTTCTCTGTGGTAACAGGAAATCGCTCACAAACACACGGTGCTCTTTTCAACTCTTCAGCATTCAGCTTGTCTGTTTGACAGCCTACCTGGATCTGAGGGAGAGATTTTACTGCTTTGAAACGCCTCATTTTTTCATTAGATGCATATATAGTATAGGTCAATGGGAACAAAATGGACATAACATGTATAAATAAATGTACACATGAAAGTATGTGAGAATATTATTCGAAATTACAACTATATTCATAGATGCTACAGTTCCCAACAAATTCTTTAGTCTTCATTTTAAAAGAAAATGTAAACTTATATATCTTGCAAACATTCTAATATTGTATCAGAGTACAGCGTCAACTTGCCTTATTAAGGTAAAACAGATAATGTTAGCCTTAAAGGCATACTGAGTAGAATTTTTCTAAAAACAATGTATGCACTCAAAATAATCCCTTTCACTCGTCACTTATGTCCCACTAGAAGTGTGGACCTGACTTGACTTTGTAGTGTGCATTAGCAGACTAACATTAACACTGACAAAAACACAATGAACTCTGATTATCTGATTTTGTGTACTGTTACCGTCCATCTCTTGTTGACGATCTCTGCTGGTATGATTATCTCGGTCTTCATTCCAGGAGACAGGTACAGACCAGTACTAAGCCACTCTTTCATTCCTGATACACACATACATATACAGAGCGGCAAACCTTACACTTGGAGATGCATGCAAAACAGAAAGAAAAGCGATTTTACCTTGTACACGTTAATGCAAACACATTACTGTGACATATAACATTGTACAGAGACAAAGTACTGGTCTGCATGTTTATCTCATAGTTATGTCAGACCACAATGTGATCTTACCTGCCGTGTTAGCATTTATCCTGATCCTTTGGTTATAGACAAAAGGCATAATAGGATCTTGCTTGATGAGGTAAGGTAGGAGGGCATCAGGATTGGGGGAAACATTATATAAATCTGCCCCCAAACTGAGGAGTAGGTAGTCTTTTGGACTCTTCACAGGATTCTTTTCACTCACCTTGAAATAAAGTGAATATGAATTATTATAAAACTGATCTCTGCAGCACAACCTGATAATCACAATTATGCTTTCTTACCATGCAATCACAGTGAGAGCTCTGTATAAAATCTCTTTCATTGTGTTGTACCGTCATTTCGGACAATTTTTCTTATAAGATAGACATAATGCAAATTTCTGTTTCAGAGCACAAATGATCTCTCATTCAGAGTTCATTCAAGCTCAAATATGTTGTTACCCTTAAAGTTACAAATCTTACTAAAGCTGACTTGCATATAGTCTATATTGCTCAAAGTAATCTCCATTACCTTAAGCCAGCTCATACTTGTATTATACAGTAATTGTTACATATAGATAGATAGATTTACTATCAATAGCAGACTTTCCATAACTCATGAACTTGTAAACTCATGAAACTTAATAGATTTAGTCACAGACTATAGAGCCATTCACTGCCCACCTGTGGCATGCCGGACTTCTTCATTATGTCAGTGAGGATGGAAAACACCTGCATGTAGGAGTAGCTGTAATAAGCCTTCATGGACAAGTAGTCGGCACAGTCCTGACCCAGTTTTTTAAGGCGTTCCTCCTCATGCTCTCTGAGTTTTTCACCCTGGGCGACATGACCAGCCAGGAGGTGTAGAAGATTGCGGAAGTGGTAGGTGTGTTTCATGGCCTGGCTGGGCACAGGGGCCTTGTAGGAACCTCCACTAATTGTGGCCTTCAACAGGCTCATGCCCATTTTGTTCAGGATCTTGTTTCCTGAAACACAGTTTAACAAACCTGACTTGATTTACTGTTATGTAGGTCTGTTTAGAGTTAAGGTGTCCCAGAGTAGTAGACTTTGCAGGTGAATCTGAAACCGACTTGAGAAAAACTTGATGTACATAAATTTACATCTAAAGAGACCCAAGACAGAATCCAAAATGCAAACACAAAAATTCAGTACACTTAGCATAATAGGCGAAATATGAATCATACTTCATCATGCTAGTGAGTTGAAATGGTAATCACAGAATAAAAATCTTGCTGTGCCTTGTCATACCTGAGAAATCTGTCAATGGGTTTTGCCCTTTGTGTGTATGTGCCCAGTACCAGGCATGTCCACCAATCAGCAGGCCTCCTCCCTCTGCTACAAAGTCTTGGATTTCAGCCACATGATCATCAATGTACGCTGTACACACGAATACACTCAGGTCTTTCTTGAACACCGTCTTCTCGCACTTTAACCCTAACTCGCTGAGACTGAGATCTGGTACAACACCAATGACCCCCTGCCGGCCTTGGTCCAACCAATCAATGGCATTGTTCCAAAAAGAAGCTAGTGTCTGTAATGAAGGGAGTTATTCATTAGTTAATCATGTAAAATGATTTGGCAGAACAATATTTAACAATATTTAACAATATTTAGCACACTGCAGGTAAACAAATACTAGTGGCCTTCAGTTATGCTCTAGCAAAAGAAATGGCATACTGTATTTCATATCTATAGACACAAACCACATGCTTAGTTTAACTTATGAAGATATTCGAAGACCATTAATTCAGACTGCACCTTTCTTCCCAGATATGCTTCATGTGTCACCACAATGACCCGTCCCTGCCCATAGTAGGCTCCTGCCAGGAATGCCTGTCCATCCTTAGTGGTACCAATAGGGAAGGCTAGTGGGCCATGGACAAGAACCTCAGAAGGTACTGATTCACCTTGGAGGTCAAACTCTGAAACGTTCTGGAGTAAGAATTCCAGGTCATCTTCAAAATCCTTACCAAGTCTGTGTTAGGGGAAAGAGGAGGGGGAGAGAGACACAGAGGGAGATGGGTGGAGCAAGAGAAGAAATTTAACTTAAATTTAAATTTAACTTAAAGGGTGTGCCCAGCATTGGTACTGTAAAATTAACTTTTCAGGACTTTGTTTTATATCTCATTGAAATAGCCAAAAGCAGAAAACGAATTTGAATGAGATGATGTTTTTTTGCAGTATCTTTGATTGCAAGCTGACTTTAATTCAAGAAAATCATGTTCTTAGTAATGTTCCCTGTAAGTAGACCGACTAATGTTAGATAAATCAATAAAATGTGTTGTATTATGATAATGCAGTGGATTATGGGTTAGTACATAACTGGCTCGCCAGACAGAACATAGAAATGACCTCTCTGTGAAACTCTATGATGCATTAAATGAGACATGGACATTAAAGTAAACTGCTTCAAGCTGTAAACACAAGTATTAATGTTATATAACCAAAAGGAGGTATACTCTTACTTTATAGTCATCCATGATGATGGGATCTGAGGGTAGACAGGCAGGATCTCTACCTTCCCATAATGCGTAGTACAGTAGATCCCAGCCACCCCAGACACTTTATTCCCTGGAAATTGTAGGATGGCGTTCTCCTTAGGGTGGTTTACAGCCCAGTGCCATGCCTGCCCCGCTATCAGCACTCCTCCTCCAGCTTTCAGAAATGCCACCAGGTCCTTTGGGTCTGCACCCACGCTGTAGGCATCAGTCACATACACACCAACCTCCAGATCATTACTAAAGGAACCCACAACTTTGGCTTGGAAGATAGATCTGCTGAGGTTATCAGCCACTGCCTTTATGTTTTTGTGGACCCCCACAGACAAGTTGTCAGACCCATCCCCTCTCAGCCAGGTCAGAGCGTTCTCTACCAGAGCAGGAAAGGCAGTCAGGTAGCCTTCATGACCCAGGACAACAATCCTTCCACGGCCATACAGAGAGGCAGCCATCAGGACCTGGCCTTTGCTGTTCATTGCTAAAGGAAAGGCATGATCTCCAATCAGATAAAGCTCACTGGGAACACAGGGGCCCTGGAGGTCCAGCTCTCTCAAGCCACGCATCAGGGACATGTAGGCCCCTTCATGGTAGGAGAGGGCGGACATGGTGAGACAGATCGATGCTCTGAAGGCTAAATGAAGAGGGCAGGATGGCAGAAGGTGTGCTGAGTCAGGTGTGAGCTGTGTCAGTAAGTGAGGTTTAACAGTTGTACCAAGATAGCGGTGTGTTGTGTCAGTCAGGCTGTCCTGTGGAAATAAAAGTGATAACAGAGTTTAAAATAAAATGTTTTACACATATATAGCAATAATTTTTTCAGAGATTAAAGTAAGATCAGTCCGCTATCTGTTACTAACATGGTCCCATCACTCAAGAGTTTACAGGTTTTAATAAAAGCCCAAAAAATATACTTAAAAAAAAAAAAAAAAGAGTTTACAGGTTTTAATTTCATCCCAACACAAAGAAAAAAATGAACTTTACCTGAAAGTTAATTTGCTTCTTCTGGTTATATAATTTGATCAAGGCACAGCAGAACACTGTCTGATAGGACGAAAGAGAAAGTATAAAGGAGTGAGAGCAGGGCAGACTGCCTTTACTATTTATAGACAAAGGAAAAGAGGAGGGACTTCAGTGAGCACCACCCATGCTATAAATACAAACTCTGCTATGGCTACTCTTCACATTACTTCACACTTCATTATTTCCCTGCTACATTTCCAAGGAAGACTATGGACACATATCTTCCCACACAAATATCACTTATCACGAAAATGAAAGTAAAAGGAAGGGGTAGGCTATGGGGGAATTTTCTGCAGGAAATCTATTCACAAATGTGCACAAACCCACACTTATTTTCTTTTTTTTTGTATAACTGGAAAGAACCAGCACTTTGAACCGATCAACAATAAATTAAATGTAAGAAGACAAAAATAAAAATATGGAGCTGCAAACGCATGGAAGATACAGACAATATGGTTTCTGTTCTTCAGTGAAGCTCAGTTTTATATTAGAGTAAAAACTAGAGTTTAAGTAATAACATGTAACATACTTCAACATTCAAGCAAGCAGACAGATTTTTAGACAACAGCCATGTCTGAAATCGGACTCTAGAATTGCTCAAACTGATCAGACAACAAAATATTCTGACATGATCCAATCCAACCGATCATGCGAGAGCCAGATTGTTGATCATTCACATGATTAATCAGAAATTTGTTTTTCAATCCATACAGTATCTGCCCATCTTAACAGTATTAGCTTTCTGGCCATAATGAGCCACAACATGCTTGCATTAGTGTAATAAATAAAGTATAGTAATAGAGTATTTAATTAACTTGATTATCCATTCCCATCCCCACAAATAACCTCATGTACAAATGATGTTAGTAGTTCCAGTGGCTACAGTAAAAGAGGAGTGACCTCAGTGAGCAACCTCATTGTCAGTGAAGTGTTTATGAATATGGAAGAAATCAGATACATAGGTAAAAAGACTAACCTACAGACAGTACTTAACAGTTACAGTGCTAATATTTAATTAAAAATTAATGAAATGAAATGAAATTACATTTTTAATTTTTCTGGCATGTTTGACATGACTCTGAATCTGCGCTCACACTAGTTATTTCCTGGCATTGTTTGACATGTTTATCCGTAACAGAGGGGACAATGCAAATGACGTGAACCATGGCTTAGAATGTGCTTCCCGAAACCCCCTGCTGACCAGCCGAGTTACATTGACATGGGTTTAGATATGGTACAATACAAAAACAACAAAAAAGAAAATAAAGTCAGTTAATTTCATTCCCCACCATACAATACATTTCTTGCATTTACGTTATCATACCTGAGAAATCTGTCATTGAGTTTTGCCCTTTGTGTGTATGTGCCCAGTACCAGGCATGTCCACCAATCAGCAGGCCTCCTCCCTCTGCCACAAAGTCCTGGATTTCCTCCAGATGTTCATCGCTGTATGCTGTACAGGCAAATACACTGAGGTTCTTCCTGAAGTTTGTCTTCTCACAATTAAACTCTGACTTGCTGAAGAGTTTAAAGGTTTGGTCAAGGTCTGGTGCTACGCCAACAATGCCCTGTCCGCCTTCATCCAGCCAACGAATGGCATTGTTCCAAAGTGGAGCCAGTGTCTGTGATAAAGGTTGTTTGTTAATCACATACAAAATATTTGGCAGATTAAAACAACAACAACAACAACAACAAAAACAACAACAACTTTCAGAGACTAGTAGTACTGCTCCTAATAAGAAAGTTGTACAATGTCCTCTGTGGCTCAAGAGCTTTGCCAAGTCAGAGGAGATAAACCCCCTGCTGACCAGCCGAGTTACATTGACATGGGTTTAGAGACTATGTGTGATACACCAATACATTAGAACTCACTCACTATTGGGGCATCCAGGGTATATCTGAATGCAGTTTTTTTTTTTAACTACTATACTGTACAACAGGACTGTAACAAGAAAAAAACAACTTCACCTGCTATTAGGGAACCTGCACATTGTGAATATAAAGTGCAGTACTGTGTGTAGCTAATGCTCTTACATAGTAGTTGTAGTCTCTACAATATCAACATAAAAACATTAAAGAGGACCTATTATACTGCTGCCTTGTTACTTATGACTTATTTTCTTTTCTTGTATAACTAGAAAGAACCAGACACCACTGAATAAACCACACCTGATCTGGTTGTTTTACACACTTTTTCTGTCCCTTATCAAACCTAAGTGTGCATCCCACTAAACCCAGACATTGTAACGTTACTTATTTCCCAATGTACTGAAAGTCTAGCATGTGTAATTCAACAGATAAATTACAATCTTTTGTCACACTGAGTGGAGAAGCAAGTGAACTGGCAGAATTCTTCATTGAAGATATTTTCACAACAGCTGCCGTACATATAAAGGGTGAAGTGAATGTGTATTGGCATCTTTTTCATTGACAGTAAAGGCTAATATCAGTGTATTAAGAAGGAGAATTTGAGCAAATGATGTACCACGGAAAGACACAGCATACCGATTCACACAAGAAAACAGAACAGGCCACAACCTGCAACTTTCATGGTCACACTTTATGGATCAATTGACCGTCGGTGTGGCGCTCACACTGAATGTACAATACAGTAAACAGCACGTCCTCATTTTTGATGAAAAGATGGTTCTGCTATGAATGGAATGTTAACAAAAATATGCAGCAGTAGACATCTGGAAGATACAGACAATGTGGTTTCTGTGATTCAGTGAAGCTCAATTTTATATTACAGCAGTGAAAACTAGTAAAACTAGAGTTTTAGCAACAACATGTAGTCTAACATACTTCAACAGTAACATTCAAACAGGCTAACAGATTTTAAGACAGCAGCTATATGGGAAATCTAGAACTGCTCAAACTGCTCAGATGACAAAAAATTCTGATGATCATATGGGAGCCAGATTGTTGATCATTCACATGATTAATCAGGCAGGATTCTAAAATTGTGTTGAATCCATGTCTGCCCATCTTAACAGGTTACAGTGCTAATGTTCATTTAATGACCTCTTGGTTTTTTAGTATTTTGGTTTTGAAGTATGTAACAACTGCCCTGCTGTCTTTCTTTCAATTGGAGTTAATGAATTTAAAAAGCTGGTCAACTATGTAACTCCTATTGTTTTTTTTTAAATATTATATTAAATATGGTACAATACAAAAACAACAAAAAAAGAAAATAAAGTCAGTTAATTTCATTCCCCACTAAACAGTTAATGTCAAGAGTTTAAATAAATACATGTTATATTAACATGGCTTGAAATTTTCCACATACAATACATTTCTTGCATTTACGTTATCATACCTGAGAAATCTGTCATTGAGTTTTGCCCTTTGTGTGTATGTGCCCAGTACCAGGCATGTCCACCAATCAGCAGGCCTCCTCCCTCTGCCACAAAGTCCTGGATTTCCTCCAGATGTTCATCGCTGTATGCTGTACAGGCAAATACACTGAGGTTCTTCCTGAAGTTTGTCTTCTCACAATTAAACTCTGACTTGCTGAAGAGTTTAAAGGTTTGGTCGAGGTCTGGTGCTACGCCAACAATGCCCTGTCCGCCTTCATCCAGCCAACGAATGGCATTGTTCCAAAGTGGAGCCAGTGTCTGTGATAAAGGTTTATCCAGAAAAAAGAGCATGTTTGTTAATCACATAAAAAATATTTGGCAGATTAAAACAAAAACATCAACAATTTTCAGAGACTAGTAGTACTGCTCCTAATAAGAAAGTTGTATAATGTCCTCTGTGGCTCAAGAGCTTTGCCAAGTCAGAGGAGATAAAACCAAGCATTATCTCATTTTAACAATACCACAGAACTATAATTTACTGTTGGACTTACAATGACTAATTTCCAACGACTTACTGAGTAACTTCCAAGGAAGAACAAAAGGAGTAACTGTGGGATCAGTCAATCTTATCATAAGCTCTGTATCTCACGGCGTCTTAGAGGCCATGTCACAAAGAAAATAGCTTTACTAATTGGCAAGTGTCCGACGTCATGGATATAGCACATGGCATTGAACCAAACATCCCACTTAAATGGGTAAAAGATTGAGCAACACTAGCACAAAAGCAGTGCAAAAGGAGAAACCTCAAAATGGCAATCCGTGAAAAAAACCAAAATACACACTGATGATCTATGTCTTAAAAACATACATCAAATCATTTCAATTCAATTTAAAGATGTAAATATACAGACCAATCAATTAATCATTAATTATCACTTTTAAGGCTCCAAAATAAAATAAAAAATATGAGAATATTCCAAACCTAAAAACATATTTCTAACTAAGAAACGAATTAAAACAAATTAAATCACAAGATACATGTAGCAGATTAGCATTTTTAAGAGTAACTATGGGTATTTACCAAGTGTGAACCTATCATGACGTCAGTTAGATGGAGCTGCGCAACTCGTCCCAAATTTTCTAAATATATTTCCAACATCATTCCAACAAAGGCAAATGCTGATATATTCACCATGTGTGGAGGAATCATCATTAAGGTGTACAAACTGAGATCAATCTCATAAACTGGACTGTCAGCTTAGTGTTGTTCCTTTAATTTCAATAAGATGTTCAAGTCTCTATAGTAGGATGTGGTGGTTAAATCCAGCATTAAGATCTAACAAACCAACTACAGAGACAGGTCCATTGTCTCTGTAGGTCATTTGTAACTTTTACCAGAGGGAAGTTAGATATAGGTCTAGCTTTAATAATTCTGCTGACTGTTTATTTCATTTAATTAATCTTGTTGGCTTTTTGTTTGCAGGATTTTTGTTGCAATTGAGCAGAGGCTGTGGTGAAACTCTGCTCCTGCTCACACACACACAGAGCAGAGTGGAGGAAAGAAACAGCGGGAGAGTTGATGGTGGCTGCATGAAAGCTTTGTGAGTGACTGCTGACGTAAAACAAAAGATACCGATTGACGCAGCTGCTGATCATTGAGATTGGATCGGAAAATTCTGATCATAAAATGAATACATAGGCTAGGTGTAAAAGGGACAGGTGCCATTGCAAACACCATTTCCTGCTAAATAAATTCTTCCGAATTATAGAAGGAACTTGAGAGATTTTGTAACTGTATTCTTTTGAAAAACATGACATTTACAACATTGCAGTACACACACACTTTCATTTATGTTCTGTGAGCAAAGTTAGTGATAAAAATGGTGTGAGTCAACTACAGAATTTAACAATTCCCTTAAACATAATTTATCAAGTTCCCTCTATGAAATGATCATATTCATTGGTAGAGTGAAACATGATTTTCAAGTGAATTTCAGTTGAATTTAAAAACTGCATGGTCAGCTATTGTTTGTAACTACTGCTTCTGCTTTTAATATTGCAACAAATGTAAAGAAAAAGTTATCTAAATCTATCTTTCCACACCTACATCAGCACTAGAGTGGAGAAATTTATATTCATTAGGTTTTTTCCATTGAAAATATAAATATGTTACAAGTATATTAATGTACCAGGTAAACACAAAGCTTACTGATTCACACAATAAACATCCACACATCCTTAATTTAATCGGTCCTGCTGCATGGCCAGAACCTGCGACCTTTATGCTCACACTGTACGGATCAGTTGACCAACTACGTGTGTGGAGCTTACACTGAACATACTGTCAATACTGCTAGTCAGTTTTGTCCATTAACAATTACAATAAAGTAAACAACATAATGAACATGTCCTCATTGTTGACACAAATAGTTAATTCACTTTGAACAGTTCTACAATGAATGGAATGTAAAAAGATAAATATGAAAAATATGCAGCAGGAGATGCCGGGAAGATGGAGACAATGTGGTTTCTGTTTTTGTTTTATTACTGCAGTGAAAACTAGAGTTCAAGCAACAACATGTAGTTTAAAATACTTATATATGCACCAATAACATTCAAACCACCTAATAGATCTTTAGACAGCAGTCATGTTCATGACCAGACATTCTGACATGCCAGAAATCCAACCGGTCATTTACATGATTAATCAGGCAGGATTCTAAAATTAGTCTGGGCAACACATTCAGGCCTACAATTGGGTCAAATCCATGTCTGCCAAGCCTAAGAGTATCAGTGTTTTGTCTCTGAACCAAAACCCTCTTTTTTATGAATGGCTTATACTAAATTATATTACCCCACCAAGTTTACAGCAGAGGTTACAGTGCCAGTGTTCATTCAATTGGTTTTTGGTATAGTGGCATGAAAGTATTTAACTGCCCTACAGTATTTCCCCCTCTAAGTCATAATCGTTGTAATATATATTTTTTCAAACCAACTATGTAAACATATTTTCAATAAGTATAGTACAATACAAGAACAACAAAAAAGAAAAGAAAGTCAGTTAATTGAATTTCCCACTGAATAGATAATCAGTTGAGTAGTCAGGAATTCTGTACTCATTGAACCCATCTCTCTACACTTTAAATCAGCAGAAGTCTGAAGTTCAGCCATATTGGACCATAGGGTGGTCACTCCAGGGGGGCAGGTTGGAGAGTTTCTCTTCAGTGGCTGTTTCGATGGGCCAACCCCAGGACTTAAAGAATCCAGCCAGGTTCATTCCCACAGTCTGGGAGAAAGTCTCAGCGTACAGGTTCATCTTTCCTTTGTTGTCCTTTGGAAAGTTGCTCATCTTGTGGTAGGCAGCAAACACCTTCTTAATGGCATCCCAGCCAAACTTTTCTTGGAGCTACATGGAAGGAGAATGTGTGTGACAAGGATAGTGCTTTGAGAATACTATGTACAAAAATAGTCTCTTACCTGTATATATGTCTCCAGGGCCACAAACACATTCCAGCTGCTGAGTTTTCTGCCCCCCTTAACATACTCTTCTGCATGAGCCTTCCTTTTTGTCGGGGCCATAATTGTGGCAGCCTGCGTTGAGCATGTTATCACATATTACTGATCAAGCTGAAATTACATGATATTGAGACAGTGTGATCACAGTGAAAGGGAAAAGCTCCAGGAAGGTTTTACTCCACCTGTGCCCTGTTGATCCCCAGCACTTCTTCATGCACATACACTGACCACAGGTTGCATGTACACTCTGTGGTGTGTGGAGGGAACTCCCAACAGCTTCTCTGTTGGTTGTGTCCAAGCTCGTGGATGGGGCCCCAGAGGCCTTTACTCCTAGCATGGTCAATGCTGACAAGGGCCGCTGCTGCGGACTTGTGGGTCATGACAGGATAACCTGCATGCATCCAACCTGGATAGAGAAAACATTTAATAACACTTATAAGAGTAGATGTGTGTGGGTTGTTAAAGAAAGCAAGTTCTGTAATTGTGAAATTTTGAGCTGACACTTAATGATACATTTCAAGAGTGACTGGCGGTGGTTGGTTACATAGACGTTTCTCACGAGCAAACATGCGGTATTCCTATACCACTAACTCACACACTTACCATGGGAAATCTGCACATCAGTTACAAAACGTTCTTTGCGAGGAAGTTTGTGTGGGATGGCAGCGAGATCAGCAATTGCCCTCATGATGTCATTCCAGTGCGCTGCCAACTCATCGGGGCGTTCCAGGTCCCGAACAACATCTGATGGTACTGTAAGGATGATGTTGTCAAACTCCAACTCTGCCCAGGGTGAAGGAGCTGTGCGCAACAACGACCAGTCTGCAACCGTGGTTACACCTAAAGAGAAGAGAGCAGTATATGAATATACGTTGCAACAGAAAGTACTTACTTGTTCAGTGCCTACTATAATGGACTATAATTGATTGATTGTCTGCATATATGCTGATGACAATGGAGCACTAGAGAGAGGGGGCTTGCTGTCACAGTTCCCACTCCCAGCCCCAAGAACCTCCCAGTCACTACTTCCCTTGCTGTACATCCTCCAACTGCTAGCTGCTACTGGCCCTAAGTACTTGGGAAGAGCCTGTGCCTCTGCTGTTGAAACACTTTTGGCCTATCCAGCAAAAGGAAGCCTTCACCCTGCCCAAAGCTTAGTTGCTCCTTCCAGACCATGGTGGCTGTATTCATAAATTCTGGTGCTGACAAAAGTCACACATACCGCGTTCAGTAGTGACTAGTAGCGTGACTATACTCTCAATATAGAACAGAGCAAAGAATTTGGACTTGGTTGAACAAAAGGCCCATAGGATGAACTTGTTATGGAGTGGGATCAGGGATTTAAATTACTCAAGTGTTAGGAAATTTGAGTCCAGGGCAAGCTGTTAGATTTGCATTGATAGATTTATCATGCTGTCTACTGTCCGTGGTGCAAATCGAAGGCTGCAGGTTAGCAATTGTGTGGAATCGTTGAGTGTCTATATGCCATAATCACAAATATGTTATGCTGCTGCATCCAAGCTCCTGTACCCTCTCTCTGCTGCACATTGAGAGCTGCTGCCAACATCCATTCCCCCTCCTCTCCAGCTGGTATAGACTTCTTCTTCATCAAGAAAGACAAGACCCTGTGTCAGTTTCCATGGGCTCAATGACATAAGCATGAAGAGAGGGTATGCACTCTGTGATGGCCGCCCTAGCAGCCACACATTGAGGCACAAAGCGCATGGTGGTAACTCTTTCTTTGTTTGATTATATTTAGGCTTAGAACATTAGACACGATTGACAATAAATAACTGGACACAGATTTTGGATTCATAATACATAGTTTTATTATCCGGTTTTGACAGTAGTTATCTTTTTGGGTGCACACAATTAGTTAACTTTTGTTGTCAATTTTCTGTATTAGATTCATTCAGGTTATTTTTCATTGCATTAATTCATTTTTCTTTGAGTTACCAGTTCCTGGGTGCTGCTGCTGACGATGTTGCATGGCTGACAAAGGAAGTGCCGGCAGATTCAGAGACACTTAAAAGGGGTTGGGCCGATAATTGGGCTACACCATGTTGGCTGGAATCATGGGGAGAGGAAGTGATTTCTCTTTGTTTGAGTTTAGTTATTTCTGATTATTATGCTTTTTGATGTTTAGTATTTCAGTATTTTCCTTAGTTAATAATTGGCTGCATTATCTGGATATTATTGGAGGGTATTATGGTTTGTTTAAATGTTATGTTTTAGTCTATTCCCCCTGTGTGTCAGAGTGGCCTGATCAGCCACTATTTAAGTTCCCCAATGTCTCAGTTTAGTTGGGTTGGTGTGGTGTGTTCGTTCAGTTAATGTAGCCTGAGTTAAGTTCTGTTTAGTTGACCTCTTTTATGGGCCCAGAACATTTTGTATATTTTGTAAATTGATTATTTTCACACTTTTTTTGTGAATAAAAGGATTTTTTGTGAAAATTTACCTTTGACTCCTCATGCCTGCCAGCTCGGTCCCTGACATATGGTGGCAGCGGTGGGATTAGCTGGTTGAGGCAGGTTTTTTTTCCTCTCTTTCCCCCTGCATTTGATTGTTTTTTGCTTTTTTTTACAATGCAGCGTGGAGGAATGATAACAAGAGGAAATCGTGAGGGGCCCCGGGAACCACAGACTGGACAGGAGGGGCGAGGACACGGCACTGGCACTGAAGACACAGGAGGAGTCGCAGGCACTGAGGGTGGAGACAGCAGAGAACCAACGCTGGTGGACATAGCTAGCATTCTCCGTGCCCACATGGGCCAGCAAGAGGCCCGGGATAACCGGCTGAGGGAGGAGTCTGATCGCCAGGAGCAGCGGTTTAAGGCACTCCAACATCAGTTCCAATTGCTACAGCTCGAGGTACAAGCTTGCACTTCTCCAACCCTGGAGCACACGTCAGCTGACCTTGATTCAGATGAACCTGGTCCCCAAGCCCAAATAGCCCTGACGCCTGAGGGTGCTCCAGCCAATTCCTCATCAGGTCAGTTTTGGTTCCCCCAAGAGCCTAGATTAGAAAAGCTGACAGAGCACGATGATATTGAACACTTTCTTGTAACTTTTGAAAGGATTGCAGCAGCATGTAGGTGGCCTAGACCTGACTGGGTTTTTTGCCTTATTCCACTGCTCACTGGTAAAGCTAGAGGTGCTTATGTAAATATGGACCTTGATGATGCTCATGAATATGAGAGTGTTAAAGATGCTATCTTAAAAAAACATGACATTAACCCTGAGGCCTACAGGCAGAGATTTCGTTCCACAGATGTTGAACCTGGTGAGTCTCCCAAAGAGCTGTATGTAAGGTTGAAGGAGCTGTATGGGAAGTGGATACAGCCAAAAGGTAGAACGGTTAAAGCTGTGGGGGAAATGATTATATTGGAACAGTATCTACCAATGTTATCTCCTGAGCTGCAGGTATGGATAAAAGAACACGACCATTCAACGGCTGCAGAGGCTGCTTCGCTGGCGGATGTGTTTGTGGCTGCCCGGAGAAAAAGTCAACCATGGAGTTACTCTGCCTGGAAAGCTACAAAGGACACCCGCAGGCCTACATCATCACAACAATATCAGAGGGCGGCACCTGGTGTGGGTAAGGCTCCCATGAGGGAGAACCAGGCAATGAATTCACAAACAAAACATTCATACAAAGTACCCACTTGTTACCTGTGTGGACAGGAAGGTCACACAAAACCAATGTGCCCAAAGAACCCTGCTAAGCTCACTCAAATGTGTGTTGTCCCCCGTCAAAATGACCCTACACCAAAAAATGATCACTCCATGAAAATGATCACTGTCAAAATTAATGGTAAAGCTCTGAAGGCCCTAATGGACTCTGGTAGTGATCAGACACTGGTACACAGGCAGTTTGTCCCCGCTAATATGATCCGCACCCTTGAAACTAACCCCATTTGCTGTGTGCATGGGGATAAGAAGCCCTACCCCACAGCTGACATTTACATTGAAGTGCAAGAGCAACCATACCTTAACATTGGAGTGGCTGACAATCTTCCCTTCCCAGTGGTGCTGGGTAGCAACCTACCAGTTTTGTTTGACCTATTAAGCCAACCTATTAGGTGCAATGTGGCTGTAACCAGAGCCCAGGCCAAGTTGGTAGATGAGCCCTCTGTAACCCTCAGTGCCCTGCCTTTTTATGATGCTGACTTAGACACCCAGCCGGGGAAGTCCCGGAAGTCACACAGTCGAAGGAGGCAGGAAAGATTCCAGCACACTGTCATTCCACCACCAGATGCAGTAGCTCCAGATTTGCCACTAGGTTTTAAAATACCTTCAGACATTGTTCAGATGCAACAAAGGGACCACAGTTTAGCGGCTCTATTAAGGAGTGCTAAAGAGAGAGAGGTGGAGAGTGAGTTAGAGTACAGTTCTGGAGGAGTATTTTCTGCAGAAGGGTATTCTCTGCCATCAACATGGACCAGTGAAGCAGCTAGTGGTTCCCAAAGCAGCCCGAGACACAGTGCTTGTCTTGGGCCACTCTGTTCCCTGGGCTGGCCACCTAGGGAAGCACAAGACCCTGGCTCGGATTAAACGATACTTTCACTGGCCTGGTTTGGGGGCAGATGTTAGCCAGTTCTGTAGGACTTGCCCTCAGTGCCAGAAGACTTCAAGTAGAGGACCATGTAGAGCTCCTCTCCAGCCACTCCCCATTGTTGGTACCCCCTTTGAGCGTCTTGGTATGGACATTGTTGGTCCCGTAGAAAAAAGCAAAAGTGGAAACCGCTACATGTTGGTCATCACAGACTATGCGACTAAATATCCTGAGGTGTTTCCCCTGAAGTCGGTCAAGGCAAAGACGGTGGCATTCTCCTTGGTGCAGTTCTTCTCCAGAGTCGGTTTCCCGCAAGAGATTTTAACTGACCAAGGCACTAACTTTATGTCCACGCTCCTGAAACAGGTTTACCAACTGTTTGGCAACAAGAGTCTGCGAACAACCCCCTACCATCCACAGACAGATGGACTGACGGAGCGGTTCAACCAGACCCTCAAGCAAATGCTCCATGCCTCAGAGAGGGGTATCGGTGCTGTCCTTCTGCAAGGACCAACAGAGGACCAACATCCAGTGACTTTCATCAGCTGCAAGCTGCTCCCCAGGGAAGTCCGCTACTCTACCGTGGAGAAAGAAGCCCTGGCGATCAAGTGGGCTCTCGACTCTTATAAATACTACCTTCTGGGGAGGGAGTTCACTCTACAGACTGATCACAAGGCCCTCCAGTGGTTGCAACGGATGATGGACACTAATGGCAGAGTCACCCGTTGGTATCTGGGCATGCAACCCTTCCGCTTCATAGTACAGCACATCCCTGGCAAACTCAATGTGACGGCAGATTATCTCTCTCGCTGTCACAACGAGAGTTCCGAAGGGGGGGAGTATGTGATGGCCGCCCTAGCAGCCACACATTGAGGCACAAAGCGCATGGTGGTAACTCTTTCTTTGTTTGATTATATTTAGGCTTAGAACATTAGACACGATTGACAATAAATAACTGGACACAGATTTTGGATTCATAATACATAGTTTTATTATCCGGTTTTGACAGTAGTTATCTTTTTGGGTGCACACAATTAGTTAACTTTTGTTGTCAATTTTCTGTATTAGATTCATTCAGGTTATTTTTCATTGCATTAATTCATTTTTCTTTGAGTTACCAGTTCCTGGGTGCTGCTGCTGACGATGTTGCATGGCTGACAAAGGAAGTGCCGGCAGATTCAGAGACACTTAAAAGGGGTTGGGCCGATAATTGGGCTACACCATGTTGGCTGGAATCATGGGGAGAGGAAGTGATTTCTCTTTGTTTGAGTTTAGTTATTTCTGATTATTATGCTTTTTGATGTTTAGTATTTCAGTATTTTCCTTAGTTAATAATTGGCTGCATTATCTGGATATTATTGGAGGGTATTATGGTTTGTTTAAATGTTATGTTTTAGTCTATTCCCCCTGTGTGTCAGAGTGGCCTGATCAGCCACTATTTAAGTTCCCCAATGTCTCAGTTTAGTTGGGTTGGTGTGGTGTGTTCGTTCAGTTAATGTAGCCTGAGTTAAGTTCTGTTTAGTTGACCTCTTTTATGGGCCCAGAACATTTTGTATATTTTGTAAATTGATTATTTTCACACTTTTTTTGTGAATAAAAGGATTTTTTGTGAAAATTTACCTTTGACTCCTCATGCCTGCCAGCTCGGTCCCTGACATATGGTGGCAGCGGTGGGATTAGCTGGTTGAGGAAGGTTTTTTTTTTCGCTCTCTTTCCCCCCTGCATTTGATTGTTTTTTGCTTTTTTTACAATGCAGCGTGGAGGAATGATAACAAGAGGAAATCGTGAGGGGCCCCGGGAACCACAGACTGGACAGGAGGGGCGAGGACACGGCACTGGCACTGAAGACACAGGAGGAGTCGCAGGCACTGAGGGTGGAGACAGCAGAGAACCAACGCTGGTGGACATAGCTAGCATTCTCCGTGCCCACATGGGCCAGCAAGAGGCCCGGGATAACCGGCTGAGGGAGGAGTCTGATCGCCAGGAGCAGCGGTTTAAGGCACTCCAACATCAGTTCCAATTGCTACAGCTCGAGGTACAAGCTTGCACTTCTCCAACCCTGGAGCACACGTCAGCTGACCTTGATTCAGATGAACCTGGTCCCCAAGCCCAAATAGCCCTGACGCCTGAGGGTGCTCCAGCCAATTCCTCATCAGGTCAGTTTTGGTTCCCCCAAGAGCCTAGATTAGAAAAGCTGACAGAGCACGATGATATTGAACACTTTCTTGTAACTTTTGAAAGGATTGCAGCAGCATGTAGGTGGCCTAGACCTGACTGGGTTTTTTGCCTTATTCCACTGCTCACTGGTAAAGCTAGAGGTGCTTATGTAAATATGGACCTTGATGATGCTCATGAATATGAGAGTGTTAAAGATGCTATCTTAAAAAAACATGACATTAACCCTGAGGCCTACAGGCAGAGATTTCGTTCCACAGATGTTGAACCTGGTGAGTCTCCCAAAGAGCTGTATGTAAGGTTGAAGGAGCTGTATGGGAAGTGGATACAGCCAAAAGGTAGAACGGTTAAAGCTGTGGGGGAAATGATTATATTGGAACAGTATCTACCAATGTTATCTCCTGAGCTGCAGGTATGGATAAAAGAACACGACCATTCAACGGCTGCAGAGGCTGCTTCGCTGGCGGATGTGTTTGTGGCTGCCCGGAGAAAAAGTCAACCATGGAGTTACTCTGCCTGGAAAGCTACAAAGGACACCCGCAGGCCTACATCATCACAACAATATCAGAGGGCGGCACCTGGTGTGGGTAAGGCTCCCATGAGGGAGAACCAGGCAATGAATTCACAAACAAAACATTCATACAAAGTACCCACTTGTTACCTGTGTGGACAGGAAGGTCACACAAAACCAATGTGCCCAAAGAACCCTGCTAAGCTCACTCAAATGTGTGTTGTCCCCCGTCAAAATGACCCTACACCAAAAAATGATCACTCCATGAAAATGATCACTGTCAAAATTAATGGTAAAGCTCTGAAGGCCCTAATGGACTCTGGTAGTGATCAGACACTGGTACACAGGCAGTTTGTCCCCGCTAATATGATCCGCACCCTTGAAACTAACCCCATTTGCTGTGTGCATGGGGATAAGAAGCCCTACCCCACAGCTGACATTTACATTGAAGTGCAAGAGCAACCATACCTTAACATTGGAGTGGCTGACAATCTTCCCTTCCCAGTGGTGCTGGGTAGCAACCTACCAGTTTTGTTTGACCTATTAAGCCAACCTATTAGGTGCAATGTGGCTGTAACCAGAGCCCAGGCCAAGTTGGTAGATGAGCCCTCTGTAACCCTCAGTGCCCTGCCTTTTTATGATGCTGACTTAGACACCCAGCCGGGGAAGTCCCGGAAGTCACACAGTCGAAGGAGGCAGGAAAGATTCCAGCACACTGTCATTCCACCACCAGATGCAGTAGCTCCAGATTTGCCACTAGGTTTTAAAATACCTTCAGACATTGTTCAGATGCAACAAAGGGACCACAGTTTAGCGGCTCTATTAAGGAGTGCTAAAGAGAGAGAGGTGGAGAGTGAGTTAGAGTACAGTTCTGGAGGAGTATTTTCTGCAGAAGGGTATTCTCTGCCATCAACATGGACCAGTGAAGCAGCTAGTGGTTCCCAAAGCAGCCCGAGACACAGTGCTTGTCTTGGGCCACTCTGTTCCCTGGGCTGGCCACCTAGGGAAGCACAAGACCCTGGCTCGGATTAAACGATACTTTCACTGGCCTGGTTTGGGGGCAGATGTTAGCCAGTTCTGTAGGACTTGCCCTCAGTGCCAGAAGACTTCAAGTAGAGGACCATGTAGAGCTCCTCTCCAGCCACTCCCCATTGTTGGTACCCCCTTTGAGCGTCTTGGTATGGACATTGTTGGTCCCGTAGAAAAAAGCAAAAGTGGAAACCGCTACATGTTGGTCATCACAGACTATGCGACTAAATATCCTGAGGTGTTTCCCCTGAAGTCGGTCAAGGCAAAGACGGTGGCATTCTCCTTGGTGCAGTTCTTCTCCAGAGTCGGTTTCCCGCAAGAGATTTTAACTGACCAAGGCACTAACTTTATGTCCACGCTCCTGAAACAGGTTTACCAACTGTTTGGCAACAAGAGTCTGCGAACAACCCCCTACCATCCACAGACAGATGGACTGACGGAGCGGTTCAACCAGACCCTCAAGCAAATGCTCCATGCCTCAGAGAGGGGTATCGGTGCTGTCCTTCTGCAAGGACCAACAGAGGACCAACATCCAGTGACTTTCATCAGCTGCAAGCTGCTCCCCAGGGAAGTCCGCTACTCTACCGTGGAGAAAGAAGCCCTGGCGATCAAGTGGGCTCTCGACTCTTATAAATACTACCTTCTGGGGAGGGAGTTCACTCTACAGACTGATCACAAGGCCCTCCAGTGGTTGCAACGGATGATGGACACTAATGGCAGAGTCACCCGTTGGTATCTGGGCATGCAACCCTTCCGCTTCATAGTACAGCACATCCCTGGCAAACTCAATGTGACGGCAGATTATCTCTCTCGCTGTCACAACGAGAGTTCCGAAGGGGGGGAGTATGTGATGGCCGCCCTAGCAGCCACACATTGAGGCACAAAGCGCATGGTGGTAACTCTTTCTTTGTTTGATTATATTTAGGCTTAGAACATTAGACACGATTGACAATAAATAACTGGACACAGATTTTGGATTCATAATACATAGTTTTATTATCCGGTTTTGACAGTAGTTATCTTTTTGGGTGCACACAATTAGTTAACTTTTGTTGTCAATTTTCTGTATTAGATTCATTCAGGTTATTTTTCATTGCATTAATTCATTTTTCTTTGAGTTACCAGTTCCTGGGTGCTGCTGCTGACGATGTTGCATGGCTGACAAAGGAAGTGCCGGCAGATTCAGAGACACTTAAAAGGGGTTGGGCCGATAATTGGGCTACACCATGTTGGCTGGAATCATGGGGAGAGGAAGTGATTTCTCTTTGTTTGAGTTTAGTTATTTCTGATTATTATGCTTTTTGATGTTTAGTATTTCAGTATTTTCCTTAGTTAATAATTGGCTGCATTATCTGGATATTATTGGAGGGTATTATGGTTTGTTTAAATGTTATGTTTTAGTCTATTCCCCCTGTGTGTCAGAGTGGCCTGATCAGCCACTATTTAAGTTCCCCAATGTCTCAGTTTAGTTGGGTTGGTGTGGTGTGTTCGTTCAGTTAATGTAGCCTGAGTTAAGTTCTGTTTAGTTGACCTCTTTTATGGGCCCAGAACATTTTGTATATTTTGTAAATTGATTATTTTCACACTTTTTTTGTGAATAAAAGGATTTTTTGTGAAAATTTACCTTTGACTCCTCATGCCTGCCAGCTCGGTCCCTGACACACTCCTACTCATCTCTTCTGATTTCCGATCTTCTTTTTCTGATCCGAGTACCTGGATAAGGGTCCAGGAAACCCTGCTCATCTCTCCCCGCTCCCAGAACATGACTGACCCATGTTGCACACCCGCATCCCATTACTACCCTGATCAGAAGCGGTTAGTGGAATCACACAAGTTGGCACCATGCTTAGTGGGCCCCTTCCCATCGTACTCAGTGGTTAACCTAGACACTCATCTTCGACTCTCTAGGTCCACGTGCTTCCTACCTTCCACATCTTCCAGGGAAGCCAGTTGGGAGAATCCGCTGCCTGATTCTCTGCCTGGCTGTTTGTTTGTTGTTTCCCACACACTTACCTGATTTATAATATGGTGCAGGTACAGCCATCTGCACTATGACCTCTACACCGTCCACTTGTGTTTTGGGTGGGGCTACCAGGTAGATGAGTCCCCCCCACAGGTTCCACACCTGCACCATCTCTGAGGTAACAGGGAATCGCTCGTGAACACATGGTGCTCTCTTCAACTCTGCAGCATTCAGTCTGTCTGTTTGACAGCCTATCTGGATCTGAGGAAGACATTTTTAATTAAAAAACAGTGTATCTTCAGTATCTCCCTTGAACTAAATAAACCCAAAGTTTAGATTTGATTTTGTGTACCTTCCATCCCTTGTTGACAAGCTCTGCTGGTATGGCCACATAGGTCTTCATACCAGGAGAGAGGTAGAGACCTGTACTAATCCACCCACCCCCCCCACACACACACACACACACGCATATCATTGCAATGCACACAGATTAATATAATATACTCTAAATTATATTAACAGATTGATCACAGTTCTACAATTTTCCTTGAAATTCTGTAATGCATTTGAGTGAGGTCTGACCTGCTGTGTTCACATTAATCTTGATTCTCTGGTTGTAGACAACTGGCATCATGGGGTTATGCTTGATGAGGTAGGGCAGGAGAGCATCAGGATCTTTGCAAACCTTATATACCTCTGTCCCTACACTTAGGAGTAGGTGGTCTTTGGGACTCTTCGCAGGGCAGCTGTCACAGACCTATAATGATAAATATTTTAAAAGAGGTTGCTCACAGTATCTCAGAATCTGCAGCTAAGAAAAAAATATGATCCTCTTGCTAGTATTGTTCCCATAGTACAATTATTTGCACTAGAGATTGTAGTAATTATTGCCCTATGGTAACTTAATCTACTGTCAATAGAATATTATCCACTCAAGCCAGTATATAATGCCAGAGACTAAACTGAAAATGCAGAATTAAAAGAGACCTTTACTCATAAACAATCATAGAAAAAGTAATTTACTGCCCACCTGTGGCATGCCCGTCTTCTTCAAGATGTTGGTGAGAGTGGACACCACTTGTGTTTAGGAGGAGCAGTCATGGGCCTTCATGTGCAAGTAGTTGGCACAGTCCCCACCCAGTTTTTTAAGGCATTCCTCCTCATGCTCTGTAAGTTGCTCCCCCTGGGTTACATGACCAGCAAAGCGGTGTAGAAGGTGGCGGAAGTGGTAGGTGTCTTTGATGGCCTGGCTTGGCACAGGGGCCTTGTAGGAACCTTCTCTAATAATCTTGTCCAGCAGGCTCAAGCCCATCTTGTTAAGGATCTTGTTTCCTGAAAGACAGTGCAAGTAACATGACTTGATCTATGTGTCGCATGGTTTACAGTATTAGGTATACTACTTACCGAATAAGAATTTAAGAATATAAGAACTACAGTATTATTAAGTATAATACTTACAGTATAAGAATGTTGTACTGATTCCTAAAACCAGATCAGTTGGTGAGATTTGACCTTTTGTTTTTTCTTCATCTTTTCTTTTCAATACAGATGCCTGTTTACCTTTAGGTAGCTAATATGCATATTTTTTATGGTAAATATCTAGTAAAGATAATTTCTGCCTCAGTCTCTGTGTGTTTGTTTTTGGGGTCCTACGCCAGCTCTCCTCTTTTTGTATGTAGGTTCTCCCTGGGGTGTTTCATTGCCCATGAACAAGCAATAATATAACATCATCACATGAATTTAGAAGGTGGTATCAGGGAAATGGCCTGGTGTCTTCTCCATTATATGAATTTATTTACTTTCAGTTGGAGAGCAAGAAAATATTCCATAATAGATTGAACTGTACCCTTTCTTCGCACTGGATTTGGACTATCTGCATTTGCTATAAAAGTCGCAACTCAGTGGACCACACTACCAGGTGACATGAAGAGTTCTAACAGTAGCTTTAAAGCCAAATTAAAAAATCTGCTAGAAGCTTCTCCACTTTGTAACTTTATATACAAATGTAATTACTTTTAAATTGTCTAACATACACTTGCTGACATATTGTATGTGTGTGATGTACTGTGATGTGTCCTGTTTGTCTAGTTTGTTTTGTAGTGTTCTCTCACTGTGCGTCTGTTTTAATTGTGACCTTCCAAGGGACTGTAGGTGAAAATGAGATTTAAGCTAAATCTGGAACAATACATGCAATGCTAACATTTATGTTTAATACTGGTATTATACATGGTCCTTTACAAGCTAAATAAATAATTACTTGTTATATTATCTTTGAAATTAGCAGCATAAAATAAATCTCTTGGGGCATGTTATCATACCTGAGAAATCTGTCATTGGGTTTTGCCCTTTGTGTGTCTGTGCCCAGTACCAGGCATGTCCACCAATCAGCAGGCCTCCTCCCTCTGCCACAAAGTCCTGGATTTCCTCCAGATGTTCATCGCTGTATGCTGTACAGACAAATACACTGAGGTCCTCCCTGAAGTTTGTCTTCTCACAATTAAACTCTGACTTGCTGAAGAGTTTAAAGGCTTGGTCGAGGTCTGGCGCTACACCAACAATGCCCTGCCGGCCTTCATCCAGCCAACGAATGGCATTGTTCCAAAGTGGAGTCAGTGTCTGTGATAAAGGTTTATCCAAGAAAAAAGAGCAGGTTTGTTAATCACATAAAAAATATTTGGCAGATTAAAACAACAACAACAAAAACAACAACAACTTTCAGAGACTAGTAGTACTGCTCCTAATAGAAAGTTGTATAATGTCCTCTGTGGCTCAAGAGCTTTGCCAAGTCAGAGGAGATAAAACCAAGCATTATCTCATTTTAACAATACCACAGAACTATAATTTACTGTTGGACTTACAATGACTTATTGAGTAACTTCCAAGGAAGAACAAAAGGAGTAACTGTGGGATCAGTCAATCTTATCATAAGTTTTGTATCTCACGGCGTCTTAGAGGCCATGTCACAAAGAAAATAGCTTTACTAATTGGCAAGTGTCAGACGTCATGGATATAGCACATGGCATTGAACCAAACATCCCACTTAAATGGGTAAAAGATTGAGCAACACTAGCACAAAAGCAGTGCAAAAGGAGAAACCTCAAAATGGCAATCCGTGAAAAAAACCAAAATGCACACACTGATGATCTATGTCTTAAAAACATACATCAAATCATTTCAATTCAATTTAAAGATGTAAATATACAGACCAATCAATTAATCATTAATTACCACTTTTAAGGCTCCAAAATAAAATAAAAAATATGAGAAAATTCCAAACCTAAAAACATATTTCTAACTAAAAAACGAATTAAAACAAATTAAATCACAAGATACATGTAGCAGATTAGCATTTTTAAGAGTAACTATGGGTATTTACCAAGTGTGAACCTATCATGACGTCAGTTAGATGGAGCTGCGCAACTCGTCCCAAATTTTCTAAATATATTTCCAACATCATTCCAACAAAAGGCAAATGCTGATATATTCACCATGTGTGGAGGAATCATCATTAAGGTGTACAAACTGAGATCAATCTCATAAACTGGACTGTCAGCTTAGTGTTGTTCCTTTAATTTCAATAAGATGTTCAAGTCTCTATAGTAGGATGTGGTGGTTAAATCCAGCATTAAGATCTAACAAACCAACTACAGAGACAGGTCCATTGTCTCTGTAGGTCATTTGTAACTTTTACCAGGGGGAAGTTAGATATAGGTCTAGCTTTAATAATTCTGCTGACTGTTTATTTCATTTAATTAATCTTGTTGGCTTTTTGTTTGCAGGATTTTTGTTGCACTTGAGCAGAGGCTGTGGTGAAACTCTGCTCCTGCTCACACACACACAGAGCAGAGTGGAGGAAAGAAACAGCGGGAGAGTTGATGGTGGCTGCATGAAAGCTTTGTGAGTGACTGCTGACGTAAAACAAAAGATACCGATTGACGCAGCTGCTGATCATTGAGATTGGATCGGAAAATTCTGATCATAAAATGAATACATAGGCTAGGTGTAAAAGGGACAGGTGCCATTGCAAACACCATTTCCTGCTAAATAAATTCTTCCGAATTATAGAAGGAACTTGAGAGATTTTGTAACTGTATTCTTTTGAAAAACATGACATTTACAACATTGCAGTACACACACACTTTCATTTATGTTCTGTGAGCAAAGTTAGTGATAAAAATGGTGTGAGTCAACTACAGAATTTAACAATTCCCTTAAACATAATTTATCAAGTTCCCTCTATGAAATGATCATATTCATTGGTAGAGTGAAACATGATTTTCAAGTGAATTTCAGTTGAATTTAAAAACTGCATGGTCAGCTATTGTTTGTAACTACTGCTTCTGCTTTTAATATTGCAACAAATGTAAAGAAAAAGTTATCTAAATCTATCTTCCCACACCTACATCAGCACTAGAGTGGAGAAATTTATATTCATTAGGTTTTTTCCATTGAAAATATAAATATGTTACAAGTATATTAATGTACCAGGTAAACACAAAGCTTACTGATTCACACAATAAACATCCACACATCCTTAATTTAATCGGTCCTGCTGCATGGCCAGAACCTGCGACCTTTATGCTCACACTGTACGGATCAGTTGACCAACTACGTGTGTGGAGCTTACACTGAACATACTGTCAATACTGCTAGTCAGTTTTGTCCATTAACAATTACAATAAAGTAAACAACATAATGAACATGTCCTCATTGTTGACACAAATAGTTAATTCACTTTGAACAGTTCTACAATGAATGGAATGTAAAAAGATAAATATGAAAAATATGCAGCAGGAGATGCCGGGAAGATGCAGACAATGTGGTTTCTGTTTTTGTTTTATTACTGCAGTGAAAACTAGAGTTCAAGCAACAACATGTAATTTAAAATACTTATATATGCACCAATAACATTCAAACCACCTAATAGATCTTTAGACAGCAGTCATGTTCATGACCAGACATTCTGACATGCCAGAAATCCAACCGGTCATTTACATGATTAATCAGGCAGGATTCTAAAATTAGTCTGGGCAACACATTCAGGCCTACAATTGGGTCAAATCCATGTCTGCCAAGCCTAAGAGTATCAGTGTTTTGTCTCTGAACCAAAACCCTCTTTTTTATGAATGGCTTATACTAAATTATATTACCCCACCAAGTTTACAGCAGAGGTTACAGTGCCAGTGTTCATTCAATGACCTCTTGGTTTTTGGTATAGTGGCATGAAAGTATTTAACAACTGCCCTACAGTATTTCCCCCTCTAAGTCATAATCTTTGTAATATATATTTTTTCAAACCAACTATGTAAACATATTTTCAATAAGTATAGTACAATACAAGAACAACAAAAAAGAAAAGTCAGTTAATTGAATTTCCCACTGAATAGATAATCAGTTGAGTAGTCAGGAATTCTGTACTCATTGAACCCATCTCTCTACACTTTAAATCAGCAGAAGTCTGAAGTTCAGCCATATTGGACCATAGGGTGGTCACTCCAGGGGGGCAGGTTGGAGAGTTTCTCTTCAGTGGCTGTTTCGATGGGCCAACCCCAGGACTTAAAGAATCCAGCCAGGTTCATTCCCACAGTCTGGGAGAAAGTCTCAGCGTACAGGTTCATCTTTCCTTTGTTGTCCTTTGGAAAGTTGCTCATCTTGTGGTAGGCAGCAAACACCTTCTTAATGGCATCCCAGCCAAACTTTTCTTGGAGCTACATGGAAGGAGAATGTGTGTGACACAAGGATAGTGCTTTGAGAATACTATGTACAAAAATAGTCTCTTACCTGTATATATGTCTCCAGGGCCACAAACACATTCCAGCTGCTGAGTTTTCTGCCCCCCTTAACATACTCTTCTGCATGAGCCTTCCTTTTTGTCGGGGCCATAATTGTGGCAGCCTGCGTTGAGCATGTTATCACATATTACTGATCAAGCTGAAATTACATGATATTGAGACAGTGTGATCACAGTGAAAGGGAAAAGCTCCAGGAAGGTTTTACTCCACCTGTGCCCTGTTGATCCCCAGCACTTCTTCATGCACATACACTGACCACAGGTTGCATGTACACTCTGTGGTGTGTGGAGGGAACTCCCAACAGCTTCTCTGTTGGTTGTGTCCAAGCTCGTGGATGGGGCCCCAGAGGCCTTTACTCCTAGCATGGTCAATGCTGACAAGGGCAGCTGCTGCGGACTTGTGGGTCATGACAGGATAACCTGCATGCATCCAACCTGGATGGAGAAAACATTTAATAACACTTATAAGAGTAGATGTGTGTGGGTTGTTAAAGAAAGCAAGTTCTGTAATTGTGAAATTTTGAGCTGACACTTAATGATACATTTCAAGAGTGACTGGCGGTGGTTGGTTACATAGACGTTTCTGACGAGCAAACAAGCGGTATTCATATACCACTAACTCACACACTTACCATGGGAAATTTGCACATCAGTTACAAAACGTTCTTTGCGAGGAAGTTTGTGTGGGATGGCAGCGAGATCAGCAATTGCCCTCATGATGTCATTCCAGTGCGCTGCCAACTCATCGGGGCGTTCCAGGTCCCGAACAACATCTGATGGTACTGTAAGGATGATGTTGTCAAACTCCAACTCTGCCCAGGGTGAAGGAGCTGTGCGCAACAACGACCAGTCTGCAACCGTGGTTACACCTAAAGAGAAGAGAGCAGTATATGAATATACGTTGCAACAGAAAGTACTTACTTGTTCAGTGCCTACTATAATGGACTATAATTGATTGATTGTCTGCATATATGCTGATGACAATGGAGCACTAGAGAGAGGGGGCTTGCTGTCACAGTTCCCACTCCCACCCCCAAGAACCTCCCAGTCACTACTTCCCTTGCTGTACATCCTCCAACTGCTAGCTGCTACTGGCCCTAAGTACTTGGGAAGAGCCTGTGCCTCTGCTGTTGAAACACTTTTGGCCTATCCAGCAAAAGGAAGCCTTCACCCTGCCCAAAGCTCAGTTGCTCCTTCCAGACCATGGTGGCTGTATTCATAAATTCTGGTGCTGACAAAAGTCAACACACAGTACCGACTGTACCAGTACAGTGACTAGTAAGACGTGGACGCTATACTCTCAATATAGAACAGAGCAAAGAATTTGGACTTGGTTGAACAAAAGGCCCATAGGATGAACTTGTTATGGAGTGGGATCAGGGATTTAAATTACTCAAGTGTTAGGAAATTTGAGTCCAGGGCAAGCTGTTAGATTTGCATTGATAGATTTATCATGCTCTCTACTGTCCGTGGTGCAAATCGAAGGCTGCAGGTTAGCAATTGTGTGGAATCGTTGAGTGTCTATATGCCATAATCACAAATATGTTATGCTGCTGCATCCAAGCTCCTGTACCCTCTCTCTGCTGCACATTGAGAGCTGCTGCCAACATCCATTCCCCCTCCTCTCCAGCTGGTATAGACTTCTTCTTCATCAAGAAAGACAAGACCCTGTGTCAGTTTCCATGGGCTCAATGACATAAGCATCAAGAGAGGGTATGCACTCCTACTCATCTCTTCTGATTTCCGATCTTCTTTTTCTGATCTGAGTACCTGGAAAAGGGTCCAGGAAACCCTGCTCATCTCTCCCCGCTCCCAGAACATGACTGACCCATGTTGCACACCCGCATCCCATTACTACCCTGATCAGAAGCGGTAAGTGGAATCACACAAGTTGGCACCATGCTTAGTGGGCCCCTTCCCATCGTACTCAGTGGTTAACCTAGACATTCATCTTTGACTCTCTAGGTCCACTTGCTTCCTACCTTCCACATCTTCCAGGGAAGCCAGTTGGGAGAATCCGCTGCCTGATTCTCTGCCTGGCTACCTGTTTGTTTGTTGTTTCCCACACACTTACCTGATTTATAATATGGTGCAGGTACAGCCATCTGCACTATGACCTCTACACCGTCCACTTGTGTTTTGGGTGGGGCTACCAGGTAGATGAGTCCCCCCCACAGGTTCCACACCTGCACCATCTCTGAGGTAACAGGGAATCGCTCGTGAACACATGGTGCTCTCTTCAACTCTGCAGCATTCAGTCTGTCTGTTTGACAGCCTATCTGGATCTGAGGAAGACATTTTTAATTAAAAAAACAGTGTATCTTCAGTATCTCCCTTGAACTAAATAAACCCAAAGTTTAGATTTGATTTTGTGTACCTTCCATCCCTTGTTGACAAGCTCTGCTGGTATGGCCACATAGGTCTTCATACCAGGAGAGAGGTAGAGACCTGTACTAATCCACTCCTCCTCTCCTGAACCCCCCCACACACACACACACACAGCCGACACACACACACACACACACACACACACACACACACACACACACACACCATTTGCATATCATTGCAATGCACACAGATTAATATAATATACTCTATTTTGCAAATTATATTAACAGATTGATCACAGTTCTACAATTTTCCTTGAAATTCTGTAATGCATTTGAGTGAGGTCTGACCTGCTGTGTTCACATTAATCTTGATTCTCTGGTTGTAGACAACTGGCATCATGGGGTTATGCTTGATGAGGTAGGGCAGGAGAGCATCAGGATCTTTGCAAACCTTATATACCTCTGTCCCTACACTTAGGAGTAGGTGGTCTTTGGGACTCTTCGCAGGGCAGCTGTCACAGACCTATAATGATAAATATTTTAAAAGAGGTTGCTCACAGTATCTCAGAATCTGCAGCTAAGAAAAAAATATGATCCTCTTGCTAGTATTGTTCCCATAGTACAATTATTTGCACTAGAGATTGTAGTAATTATTGCCCTATGGTAACTTAATCTACTGTCAATAGAATATTATCCACTCAAGCCAGTATATAATGCCAGAAACTAAACTGAAAATGCAGAATTAAAAGAGACCTTTACTCATAAACAATCATAGAAAAAGTAATTTACTGCCCACCTGTGGCATGCCCGTCTTCTTCAAGATGTTGGTGAGAGTGGACACCACTTGTGTATAGGAGGAGCAGTCATGGGCCTTCATGTGCAAGTAGTTGGCACAGTCCCCACCCAGTTTTTTAAGGCATTCCTCCTCATGCTCTGTAAGTTGCTCCCCCTGGGTTACATGACCAGCAAAGCGGTGTAGAAGGTGGCGGAAGTGGTAGGTGTCTTTGATGGCCTGGCTTGGCACAGGGGCCTTGTAGGAACCTTCTCTAATAATCTTGTCCAGCAGGCTCAAGCCCATCTTGTTAAGGATCTTGTTTCCTGAAAGACAGTGCAAGTAACATGACTTGATCTATGTGTCGCATGGTTTACAGTATTAGGTATACTACTTACCGAATAAGAATTTAAGAATATAAGAACTACAGTATTATTAAGTATAATACTTACAGTATAAGAATGTTGTACTGATTCCTAAAACCAGATCAGTTGGTGAGATTTGACCTTTTGTTTTTTCTTCATCTTTTCTTTTCAATACAGATGCCTGTTTACCTTTAGGTAGCTAATATGCATATTTTCTATGGTAAATATCTAGTAAAGATAATTTCTGCCTCAGTCTCTGTGTGTTTGTTTTTGGGGTCCTACGCCAGCTCTCCTCTTTTTGTATGTAGGTTCTCCCTGGGGTGTTTCATTGCCCATGAACAAGCAATAATATAACATCATCACATGAATTTAGAAGGTGGTATCAGGGAAATGGCCTGGTGTCTTCTCCATTATATGAATTTATTTACTTTCAGTTGGAGAGCAAGAAAATATTCCATAATAGATTGAACTGTACCCTTTCTTCGCACTGGATTTGGACTATCTGCATTCGCTATAAAAGTCGCAACTCAGTGGACCACACTACCAGGTGACATGAAGAGTTCTAACAGTAGCTTTAAAGCCAAATTAAAAAATCTGCTAGAAGCTTCTCCACTTTGTAACTTTGTATACAAATGTAATTACTTTTAAATTGTCTAACATACACTTGCTGACATATTGTATGTGTGTGATGTACTGTGATGTGTCCTGTTTGTCTAGTTTGTTTTGTAGTGTTCTCTCACTGTGCGTCTGTTTTAATTGTGACCTTCCAAGGGACTGTAGGTGAAAATGAGATTTAAGCTAAATCTGGAACAATACATGCAATGCTAACATTTATGTTTAATACTGGTATTATACATGGTCCTTTACAAGCTAAATAAATAATTACTTGTTATATTATCTTTGAAATTAGCAGCATAAAATAAATCTCTTGGGGCATGTTATCATACCTGAGAAATCTGTCATTGGGTTTTGCCCTTTGTGTGTCTGTGCCCAGTACCAGGCATGTCCACCAATCAGCAGGCCTCCTCCCTCTGCCACAAAGTCCTGGATTTCCTCCAGATGTTCATCGCTGTATGCTGTACAGACAAATACACTGAGGTCCTCCCTGAAGTTTGTCTTCTCACAATTAAACTCTGACTTGCTGAAGAGTTTAAAGGCTTGGTCGAGGTCTGGCGCTACACCAACAATGCCCTGCCGGCCTTCATCCAGCCAACGAATGGCATTGTTCCAAAGTGGAGCCAGTGTCTGTGATAAAGGTTTATCCAAGAAAGAGAGCAGGTTTGTTAATCACATAAAAAATATTTGGCAGATTAAGCACAACTTATTGTTTAGCACATTACAGATCGCAAACTGCTGGTGATCACATATGAATGAGCAAGAAAGCTTTATGGCAATAATTGCTCACAGGATGTTTGCATCAGTGTTATAGAGTATACTTGATTTTAATATATTTAATTTACTTGATTAACTAATAACAGACTTTCCCATCAGGTTATTTTATCTAAATAATTTTTCTCACTGAATTCTTGTAAAATATAAAATATAATTGCACAAAAGGCTTTTATTTTGAAGGTGCGTGTAGGAAAGTGACGTAATCCCCCTTGTGGCGCAACCTACAGCCGGGTCGACGGACTTTTTTCCTTTTTCTGCCTTTTACACCTGGACACACCTGTGGGGACTTTTAGTGTATTTTCGCCTTTAACTCAGGTTGTTTTTGTTTGGAGTGTTAAGTAGATGCACGAAGTAGCCTAAGTATTGTTTCTATATTGTGTTAATTACGACACACCTCGTTAACTCTGGTGTTTTTTCCGCCGATAGGTAACAGATGTCCGTTGTTTAACATTGTTCATGAGTATAATGTGAATGTTGATGTTTGTGAGTGGTTTGAGTGTCCATTGAGCTAAGAGTCGGTAACTTGACTTAGTTCAGGGGGTTAATTGCTCAGCAGGGGGCCGACATGTGCGCCATGAGCCATCGTTTATTCAATACCCAATTTAGCCAGTAGATGGAGCTATTGGACCAGTTAACCTATTATTATGGTGAATATGTATTTCTGTTGGTTTATTTATGTCATTATTATTGTTACACATGTACAGGAGAGTTGTATATATTTTTCTGCTTATGCAAGCACATTTGTTATTATGGAGATGAAGGTGTATAATGTGATTTATTGTTATTGTTTCTAGAACTGTGACAACACTGAGTGTTCAATAAATCACTGCAGTCATCAGATCTGCTGGCAAAGAAGACATATCCTGTCCTCATTCCTGTGTCCTGACCGACACCACATCTTGTTTGCTGTATAAACCTAAACGAGCTAGCATTCCTTCCCAGGACAGGGATGAAGGAAGACAGGGATGTCTTCCTTCATTTAGTGTTTTGATGATGGTAGTAAAAAATAGTTGAAATCTCCAACCAGTGTTAAGTCAGAATGAGATATGTGACGGCCTTAGTATATAGTCCACAAAATTTCATTCTTATCAATTCATTCAGTGACCACTATATTTATGTTTATTAAAAATAACCTCTAACCACAGCTAATTCAGTTCTCACCTCTCTTTTTAGAAGTCCTTCATGGGTGATCACAACAACCCGTCCCTGCCCATAGTAGGCTCCTGCCAAGAATGCTCGTCCATCCTCTGTGGTACCAATGGGGAAGGCTAGTGGGCCGTGGATCAGAGCCTCAGAAGCTACTACCCCATTCTCGAGGTCAAACTCTGTGATCCCCTGGAGTAGGAACTCCAAGTCATCCTCAAAGTCCTTACCGATTCTGAATTGGTGCCAAGAGAGATAAAGTTTATTGTGGAATTATTCAGATTGTGTTTTTAAAAAAGGGAAACAGAAGAGAGAAAGAGACACAGAGGGAGATATGAAGAGAAGAAAAAGTATATTTACTTTGGTAAAGGATGTAGCCATTGTTTTTAGTCTTGCTAGTGGTGTTGTTCTAAGAATGGCAATGTCAGACTGTTGGTTAGTTAGTCCACCACATCCAGACTGAAATATCTCAACAGGTATTGATGGGAGGCCATGAAATTTTGATGAATCCTACTGAGTTTTTGGTGACTCATTATCTTTTTCTGTAATGCTGCCATACACTTGACATTTGAATTTTTTTTTATAACATATAGACAGAAGATTCAAGATTCAATACTTTATTGCCATACAACTCAGTGCAAGTTGCTAGGGATTTGCTTCAGTGTGCTCAAGACATCAACAAAGTCAGAAAAAAAGGACACTGAACATGTAAATACATATACAACACAAGGGCCCCAAAACATATAAGTAGATATACGGTATCCCACACAGGATCACACTTGACGCAGGCAGATAAAAAGGCATACTGTTCACAGCATACCTGGATGACAGTCCAGAAGGCTAGAGTGACAGATGTCAAGTTAAAGTGACATGGTGCATAGGGATGTAGAGTGCAACCACGACTTTACAATAAATAAATCAATAAAACTAGTATGGGTAGCATAAACCCATATAGAGAAGTATTATAAAAACAATGTAAAAGATATACAATTTATACATGCTCGTTGGGAGAACCTATTTTCCTAAGGTACTGGTTCAAGGATGAAGAGCTGTTTAGATATTTAATAGCTCTACAGTATGTGCTGTTGAGAAAGCGGGAGGTTTTTGTCTTAATAGCCCTCAGCCTTCTCCCTGATGGGAGGATGTTGAAGAGGGAATTGGAAGTCGGAGGTCAGAACGGACTGGTATGACAATTGTTACACATATCACTGGTGCCAAAGGTCCGAATGCCTGTGCAAAAAAACCCAAACAAAAACAAAAGAAGTATGCACTCACACTACAGCCATCCAGGAGGATGGGATCTGTGGGTAGACAGGCAGGCACTGTGCCTCACCCCGATGCCCAGAAAAGTAGATCCCTGCCACACCAGAAACCTTGTTCCCTTCAAACTGAAGCAGTGTGTTCTCCTTAGGGTGGTTTGCAGCCCAGTGCCATGCCTGCCCCGCTATCAGCACTCCTCCTCCAGCTTTCAGAAATGCCACCAGGTCCTTTGGGTCTGCACCCACGCTGTAGGCATCAGTCACATACACACCGACCTCCAGATCATTACTAAAGGCACCCACAACTTTGGCTTGGAAGCTGGATCTGCTGAGGTTATCAGCCACTGCCTTTATGTTTTTGTGGACCCCCACAGACAAGTTGTCAGACCCATCCCCTCTCAGCCAGGTCAGAGCGTTCTCTACCAGAGCAGGAAAGGCAGTCAGGTAGCCTTCATGACCCAGGACAACAATCCTTCCACAGCCATACAGAGAGGCAGCCATCAGGACCTGGCCTTTGCTGTTCATTGCTAAAGGAAAGGTATGATCTCCAATCAGAACCAGGTTACTGGGAACACAGGGGCCCCGTAGGTCCAGTTCTCTCAAGCCTCTCATCAGGGACATGTAGGCCCCTTCATGTTGGTTTTGGATGGGCTCGTTAGACATGGTGAGCTGGATTGATGAAGAGGAGGGTGAATGGCAAAAGAAAGCTATTGTGAGTCAGATGTAAATTGTATTAGCACGTAAGGTTTAACAGTTGTTCTTCGATCTTAAATCGGTGAACTGCACTAAACAGTATGAAATGTGCTATACAAATAAAGTCTGATTGATTGATAGATGGCTGTATATTGTGTCAGTCAGTCTGTCCTGTGGGAATAAAAAGATGACCTTTGAAAACAAAGGTTTAAAATTAAAAGTACTACTGGTGGCTTACTCTTTATGTTACACATACAGTATACAATACAATTAGAAGATGATATAATAATATAATATGTATAACTTCAGCTTTAGAGACAAAAAAAATAAATCTGTTAAACCAAGAGGAAGCAGAATGTTTTTACCTGAAAGTGAAGTTGGCTTTCTGCTTGTATGATTACACTGTGACAACAGTTTCCCAGTCAATCCACCAAGAAAACTACTTGACAGGAGCGAAGAGTGGATATAAATGAGAGCATGATATGGACTATTGCAGTGAAAAGGGTACAGACAATAAGAGGAGGTACCTGCTTAAAACAACCCAACGACTGAGGCTCTTGTGAGAAAGGAACTACTACACGTAACTGGACAGAACTGGCTGTACAATACCTGTCTGTTTGTTTTTATATACCACAGCTTAAGCATGGGATTTGAAACAGAGATACACCCAACTGTGGCGTGACTGTATAAGAAACCTGTTCATCCAGCCAGTCAGAGTCAGTGGAAGCGGAGGCTGTAATAATATCATATTGATGGTTACATTTCCCATTTGTATATTTATTTTTTGAAACCTATGCACCCTGGGGTTAACTCCACCATGTCTACATGCTAATGTGTAGCTGTGATCATCCACTCATTTTATTGACTGTCAGAATTGAGGACACAGTCTTCCTCAACACCTGATGCTTCCATAATGATATAACACACACTGTATCGCCACTCTAGACCATTTTGAGTCAGGGACTAGCTCACAGTAAAAACATGAAACTTTAAAATTAGTTGACAACCAGGAAACTAACAAACATGTTCTGTTGGCAAAGTCATTTCAATACAAAATGCCTATTGAGCACTGAAGGCCAAACTGGATGGATGATTAAATAGACTGTTAACATACCATACTGAATTACACAAGTGATTTCACACAACTTTCACACAAGTTTCAGAGTTTCAGTGTGGTTTATTTTAGTGTGGTTTATTTTAGTGCAGTAACTTCTCAGCTAGTTTTAATGTAATGCTTTATAAAGTCCTCTTACACCAACAACTTCACCATCTGGGTGGAAAAGCTTCTCTCTTTGAATTAGGAGGATTCTTCCAGCAGTTCTCCACCCCACCAGTAGGGCGAGCTGTTTTACGACAACTGCAAGGATAAAGATTAGCAGAGGGAACAATAAAAGAAACCTACATTTAAGTGGTATAACCTTAAAAAACTATTATTCATATTACTTGTTGTATTATCCATATATTTTGAGCCTTATGTGCATAGGGTGTATTTTGCCATGCACTTTTCATTAATGTATCCCTTCCTGGTCCGTGTATGTTTTGGTCATTGGATTTTCCTTTCAGAAACGGGTATTAAAAAATAGAAAACGAGTGGTTATTTGATTTTCGTTTTAAAATACAAAAATGAAAATTGAAATACAAGGCGTTTTTCTTTTTCATGGTCAAAAAGGGATGAGAGAAATGTAAAAAATGATTCGATTTTCATTTTCTATTTCATATAACAAAAAATAAAATCACTAGAAAACAGAAACGGAGAAAAAGCCTGTTTTTTCATATTCTGAGACCGGATGTTGTCATTTACAGGACGGTGCTGTGTAGAAGAAACAGTAGACTAGTAGACTGCTGTCAATCCAGCCGTGAGTTCGATCTCCGTGGTCAAATCAGCCGCACTTAAATTTAGAGTGTACAAGTATTCTCAGCATTATGGTAAATGCGGAGAAACGCCGTATTTACTTCCGGTTTTCAAAATAAAGGTATTTAGAGCCGTAAGCTATAATTAAAATATGTTACATTAAAGTGTTGTGTGCCCCTGATGAATAAAAAAACACTTTATATCAAGTATCTTTACTGCACCAGTGTGGAGAAATACCAAAATAAAAGTCCATATTTGTATCTCCAAGTGGTATTTTCATATATTTGAGCTACTGTAAAAACACTCAATAATTCCTGGCTACTGATGGTATATTTGACTTCTACACATCTAAGACTACAAGTATACTTAATATCAAGCATTTTTACTGTACCAATGTGGAGAAATTGAAGAATAAAAGTCCCATATTTATACTTCCAGATTCCATATTTTCTTATATTTGGTCAAATATGCAGTCTCTGGAGGCATAAATATGAGGCTTTTATTTTGGCATTTCTCCACACTGGTGAAAATCGAATATTTTTTTTAATTTCGCTCATCCCTTTTTGACCATGAAAAAGAAAAACGCCTTGTATTTCAATTTTAATTTTTGTATTTTAAAACGAAAATCAAATAACCACTCGTTTTCAGTTTTTTAATACCCGTTTCTGAAAGGAAAATCCAATGACCAAAACATACACGGACCTGGTCAAGTAAGTGTTTATTAGTTTCTTATGCATTAACAATAAAGGAAAATGTCATTGTGGTGAAATTACTAACACTTAATACTAACCAGTAGAACAAAGGTACCAGAGAAAGATTCAGATTACATATTCACACAAGTAACATCTAGACTTGGGAACATTGGTGTTATTATGACCCTGAAACAACCCGGTTTTTCTTATAAATGATGATTACTGCTACATATGAAAATTAAATAGCACAGGTTATGGTGCCAGTGCTAAGGACTAAGGAACTGAAAGTGCCTCTGAAAGTAGATTGAAGCTACAGCAGTAGTGGTATTAATGCTGCATTGTTAAAAAAAAAAAAGGTCCTCTGTTTTTCTAACTCATCTTAAAAATATAAGTCTAGCCTCCAGTAGGAATTATTTCGATTTACTGACCTCCTGGTTTTTGCGATTTTGTTAAGTATTTAACAACTACCACATTCTTAATGTAGATAATTATATTGGTTAAAAATACAAAAACAATACCAAAGAAATAATGTAATTGGGTTTCCGTCTGAATGGTTATTGTCAAGAATTTGGTACTCGTTGAACCCATCCTTTGACACTTTTTAATCAGTGGCAGTCTCAGGCTCAGTCATATTGGACCATAGGGTGGTCACTCCAGGGGGGCAGGTTGGAGAGTTTCTCTTCTGTGGCTATTTCGATGGGCCAACCCCAGGACTTAAAGAATCCAGCCAGGTTCATCTCCACAGTGTAGGAGAAAGTCTCAGCATACAGGTTCATCTTTCCTTTGTTGCCGTTTGGAAAGTTGCACATCTCATGGTAAGCAGCAAATACATTCTTAAAGGCATCCCAGCCAAACCTATCCTGGAGCTACATGGAAGGAGACAGAGGTAAAGTCTTGAAGTCTTCAATCTTATTTGATTTGGCAAATATATACTGACTCAGTTGTGTCATAGTTTCTCTACAGGGTGTAATGTCTCACCTGCATATATGTCTCCAGGGCCACCCATGTGTTCCAGCTGCTGAGTTTCTTGCCCCCCTTAGCAAACTCCTCTGCTCGACTGTTTCTCTTTGCCAAAGCCATAGCTGGATGAGCCTGCATGGAACGAGATGAAATAACGTTATTGTGAAACAATGGAATCCAAGTAAAAAGCCAAATACTTTTCTCAACATAAGACAAAAAGGAGTTATCTTTCATTACATCTATTGGTATGAAAACATGTCACAATACACCTTAAGACTAGGCTGTTGTAGCCAGTCTTTTGTTTTGTCAAAAAAATCAAACTCCTTTACTTCACCTTTTCCCTGTTGATCCCCAGCACTTCTTCATGCACATACACTGACCACAGGTTGCATGTACATTCTGTGGTGTGTGATGGGAACTCCCAGCAGCTTCTCTGTTGGTTGTGTCCCAGTTCATGGATGGGGCCCCAGAGGCCTTTACTCCTAGCAAGGTCAATGTTGACCAGCTCAGCTGCTGTGGCCTTATGTGTCATGATGGGATAACCTGCATGCATCCAACCTGGATGGAGAAACAGATCTTTAGAGTTCCATATCTATGATAAAGAAACATCACATTATAATGCAAGTGCATGCAATCAGAGAAAAGCACAAAACACAAGCCTCATATATGTAAGAGTTGTCACGAATATGGAGCGAAGCCTACGAGCTAGTTCAGGCAGTCAACTGAAACCTGATATCGCTGAGAGTCCTTGTAATTTATTTTGAATTGTGCATACTGAATTCTAAACGCACTGGTTAGCACTGAGTGGTGCCCCCTTTTGTATAGAGTGAACATCCACATGCAGGTTTGGTGAATTGGAGACTCTAAATTGCCCATTAGTGTAAAAGTGAATAGTCGTCTGTTTATCTGTGTAAGCTCTGATTGACTATTTGTAGCGTACCCTGCTTTTCACCCAGCATGAGTTGGGACCGGCTCTATCACCCCGGGACTCTCAACAGGATAAGAAAATAAGCGACAGGCAAAAAAATTTCAATGTCGAATATACTTACCATGGGAAATCTGCACATCTGCTACAAAGCGCTCTTTGCGGGGAAATCTGTGTGGTATGACAGCCAGGTCAGTGATGCCCCTCATGATGTCCTTCCAGAGCGTCGCCAACTCATCGGGGCGCTCCAGGTCACGAACAACATCTGATGGTACAGTGAAGATGACGTTGTCAAACTCCAACTCTGCCCAGGGTGAAGGAGCTGTGCGCAGCAATGACCACTCAGCGGCTGTTGTCACACCTGAAAAAAGTACGAGAATGTGTGTGTTCAAAACCCTCAAAGTTTGAATTTGTGAAATTTTGAATGAAGACCCGCTCCATGGTTAGGTTAGGGTCATAAACAAAGAAAAATGCCCTTTGTCTTTTCTATTGGGTGTAGAAATAGAAACTGCAAACCCCATGGGGACACACAAATACACTTAAGTGTACCAGTGTGTCTACCACACACTTACCTGTTTTATAATATGGTGCAGGTACAGCCATCTGCACTATGACCTCTGCACCCTCCACTTGTGTTTCGGGTGGGGCTACCAGGTAGATGAGTCCCCCCCACAGGTTCCACACCTGCACCATCTCTGAGGTAACAGGGAATCGCTCATAAACACATGGTGCTCTCTTCAACTCTTCAGCATTCAGTTTGTCAGTCTGACAGCCTATCTGGATCTGAGGAAGACATGGAATATGTGTTACTGCTTTGAAAACCTGTATAAAGTGCAGTATAGTTTCATATATAGTTACGTGTGTGAGTCAGCGGCTAGCAAGATATAAAACAGATGGAGATGTAAGTATAATCTTTCATGCATAACTGCTTACAGTGGTAACTACCATAGACTGTACAAATATGATCTGCTTTAGCCACTGCCATCTTGACTGCCTATAGAGATCAAAACCATTTTTTGTATAAACATTTCTGTTGTAAGGTTCAACTTTTTAACATGGAGGATTTTTTGGGCGTTGGCTTCATTAGCCAGCCATGAAGGTTGCAGCTTGGGGAACCACAAAAACGTTTTATGGGACAGGTATTACTGATTGGTTAAAGGGGGAATTTCTTCATTAAAGGTTCTATGTAACTTTAAGGAAACCGTTGTTAATAGCAACACCTTTGGCCATTAAGTGAACTGCAATCAGAGTCCTCTTCTTGGCGCTTTGGTATGAGCGAGCATCATCCTGGGTATTGGTCAAAGGTCTATCTGATCTCGATTCCATTTTGTGGAGCTTTGCTAGATGTCATCCCCCCTCTAACACTTCCTGTCTCACTTGAAACCAAATGTTTGAATTTGATTTTGTGCACTGTACCTTCCATCCATTGTTGACAAGCTCTGCTGGTATGACCATGTAGGTCTTCATACCAGGAGTGAGGTAGACACCTGTACTGATCCACTCCTCTTCTCCTGACACAAACACAGATTACAGAAATATATTCAGCTGTGCACACAAATTATATTAACAGATTGATCACAGTTCTACAATTTTCCTTGAAATTCTGTAATGCATTTGAGAGAGGTCTGACCTGCAGTGTTCACATTAATCTTGATTCTCTGGTTGTAGACAACTGGCATCATGGGGTTATGCTTGATGAGGTAGGGCAGGAGAACATCGGGATCTGGGCAAACCTTATATACCTCTGCCCCCACACTTAGGAGTAGGTGGTCTTTGGGACTCTTCACCGGGCATGTGTCACTCACCTTGAAAATGAATGATGAATATTGTAAAACAGGTTGCTTACAGTATCAACGTATCTGCAGTTAAGAAAACAACATTAGACCCCATGCAGACATACACTATATGGCAAAAAGGCAATGGACACTTGACCATCACACCTTGTTGGACAACCCATACTATGGAGTTGGACCCCTTCTTGAGGCTACAATAGCCACCACTCTTCTGAGAAGGCTAGATTACTAGTGTTTCTCTGAGCCCATTCAGTCAAAAGAGCCTTTGTGAGGTCAGGCACAGATGTTGGATAAGAAGGCCTGGCTCTCTATCTGCATTCTAATTCCATACATGTTCAGTGGGGTTGAGGTCAGGGTCTATGCATCGAGTTCCTCCACACCAAACTTGCCTAACCATGTTTTTATGGACCTCCTTCACTTTGTGCACAGGGGCACAGTCATTGCAGAACAGCAAAGGGACTTCCCCAAACTGCTGCTACAAAGTTGGAAGAACCCAATTGGCTAAAACGTCTTCGTGCTGTAGCATTAAGAAGATTCTTCACTGTCCACTGACTTTTCACCATATAGTGTATTATGGTCTTATTGTTAGTATTGTTCCTGTGGTACAATTATTTGTACTGGGGGGTGGTCAGTATTGCCCCTGCAGTTTATACATGTATGTACATGGTAACTAAATCTTCTGTCGATAAAATATTATCTATTCAAGGCAGTAAATGCCTAAAACCAAATTGAAATGGAAGAAACAAAATAGACCTTCCTCACTCACAAAATAATAAAAATTGTAGACTATAAAAGAATTAACTGCCCACCTGTGGCATGCCCGCTTTCTTCAAGATGTCGGTGAGAGTTGACAACACCCGCATGTAGGAGGAGCAGTCATGGGCCTTCATGTGCAAGTAGTTGGCACAGTCACCACCCAGTTTTTTAAGGCATTCCTCCTCATGCTCTGTAAGTTGTTCCCCCTGGGTTACATGACCAGCAAAGCGGTGTAGAAGGCGGCGGAAGTGGTAGGTGTCTTTGATGGCCTGGCTGGGCATAGGGGCCTTGTATAAACCTTCTCTAATTATCTTGTCCAGCAGGCTCAAGCCCATCTTGTTAAGGATCTTGTTTCCTGAAAGACAGTGCAAGTAACAATCTATGTGTTGCAAGGTTTACACAGTATTAAGATTTTTGATCTGATGGTGATATTTAACATCTTTTGGAAGTTTGTGCAGGTCTGTTATGTAATAAAACATTAGTTTACCTTCTATCGTTACATTTAACTTTACCAGTGTCTAGTCTATGAGTTCCTAGTCTCAGTGTTTTCTCCCAGTTCAGCTGCCTGTTTAGCTTTTTCTAGCTGCTCTGCTAGTTGGTATGTATATTTACTTAATGATAAAGATCTAGTAAATATCCTTTCTAACTCTGCCTTTGTGTTTGCTTTTGGGGTCCTACACCAACTGTCCTCTAACAGTGCGCTCTACCTGTCTGTCTTGAGCCTTGGTCATTGTGTCTGAGTAGGTGACTAAAAATGGGCTTATTACATAGTACTGAAGTCGATGTAGGGGTGCTCTACCTGTAGTTCAGGGTTGTCCCTGATGTCATTGTCTAAAAGAACTAGTAAAGATATCACACAACCAAAAGAATTTAGAGAATGGTACCTGGGAAATGCTCAGCATACATATGGTACATACAAAGTTAAAATGTCCTGGTTTTGCCTCCATTTTTTTTTACTTTCAGTCGAAGAGGACTTTAAAATCCTTAAGGACATCTTCCATAATAGATTGAATTGTACCCTTTCTTCGCACTGCATTTGGACTTTCTGCACTTGTTGTAAATTCCACAACTCAGTGGACCACCCTACTAGGTGACATGAAGAGTTGGAGTTCTATCAGTAGCTTTAAAGCCAAATCAAATCGTATGTTTAATATTGTACATGGTCCCTTCCAAATAAATAATTACATGTTATATTATCATGGCATGAAATTGGCAGAAGAGAATAAAACTTTTGGGGCATGTTATCATACCTGAGAAATCTGTCATTGAGTTTTGCCCTTTGTGTGTCTGTGCCCAGTACCAGGCATGTCCACCAATCAGCAGGCCTCCTCCCTCTGCCACAAAGTCCTGGATTTCCTCCACATGTTCATCGCTGTATGCTGTACAGACAAATACACTGAGGTCCTCTCTGAAGTTTGTCTTCTCACAATTAAACTCTGACTTGCTGAAGAGTTTAAAGGCTTGGTCGAGGTCTGGTGCTACGCCAACAATGCCCTGTCCGCCTTCATCCAGCCAACGAATGGCATTGTTCCAAAGTGGAGCCAGTGTCTGTGATAAAGGTTTATCCAAGAAAGAGAGCAGGTTTGTTAATCACATACAAAATATTTGGCAGATTAAGCACAACTTATTGTTTAGCACATTACAGATCGCAAACTGCTGGTGATCACATGAATGAGCAAGAAAGCTTTATGGCAATAATTGCTCACAGGATGTTTGCATCAGTGTTATAGAGTATACTTGATTTTTTTGTATTTAATTCACTTGACCTATTTTATTATTATTTATTTTGTCTGAATTATCTTTCTCAAATAGATATTCTATATACAGATGAGTGACAAATTAATGGAAACAAAATAAAGGGTCTTAGACACTTTACTGTCTACAAGTATATTGACCTAGAGGGATGATACTCTTATTCCTTTGTTTAGTGTTTTCATGATGGTGCTAAAAAAAACACTGTTTAACACTAACCCAAATCTCCCATCAGTGTTCAATCAGAGATTGAATGACTGCCAAGGCCTTGGTATATGATTCACATATGATCCCCATATGTCTGCTTATTTAAAAAAAATCATCAATTAATTTTCCACCTCTCTTCTCAGAAGTCCTTCATGAGAGACCACAACAACCCGTCCCTGCCCATAGTAGGCTCCTGCCAAAAATACTTGTCCATCCTCTGTGGTACCAATGGGGAAGGCTAGTGGGCCATGGACAAGAACCTCAGAAGCTGCTACCCCATTCTGGAGGTCAAATTCTGTGACTCCATTGAGTAGGAAGTCCAGGTCATCCTCAAAATCCTTACTGATTCTGAATCTGAGAGGGCAAAGATGAGAGGGAAAGAGAGTTGCCAAGTATAAGAGACACAGTTTATTTATATTCTGTCTTTAAAAAGAGGAAAACATACAGGAGAAAGAGACACAGAGGGAGATGAGCAGTTAAAGAATTTCCATTTTGGTAAGAGCTGTACCCATACCTTTTAACCACACTCTGTCTGTTGGTTGGCTAGTCCACCACATCCAAACTGAAATATATGAAAAGGTATTGGATGGATTGCCATAAAATTTGGTCTAAAAATCACACACCCCTCAGAATTAATTACAATACCTTGGTGATCCCCTGATTTCCCGTCTAGGGCCTTCATTAATTAAAATTTTCAATTTAAACAATCCTTTTTTTAAGACCAAATACCTGTACAATGAATGACATTCTGACCAGGGACAGTGCTGATGGGAAAATGTTCTCATGCTAAAATGCTGAACTAAAATGGTTATCATGATAAACACGCATGGTTGACATAGCATTGTCATGGTAAACAGCATAGCATTTCGCTAAGCAGTATGCCTAAATACAGCCTGACTGGCATGAAAAGAAGTATGCACTCACACTACAGCCATCCAGGAGGATGGGATCTGTGGGTAAACAGGCAGGCACTCTGCCTCACCCAGATGCTCAGAAAAGTAGATCCCTGCCACACCAGAAACCTTGTTCCCTTCAAACTGAAGCAGTGTGTTCTCCTTAGGGTGGTTTACAGCCCAGTGCCATGCCTGCCCCGCTATCAGCACTCCTCCTCCAGCTTTCAGAAATGCCACCAGGTCCTTTGGGTCTGCACCCACGCTGTAGGCATCAGTCACATACACACCGACCTCCAGATCATTACTAAAGGCACCCACAACTTTGGCTTGGAAGATAGATCTGCTGAGGTTATCAGCCACTGCCTTTATATTTTTATAGACCCCCACAGACAAGTTTTCAGACCCATCCCCTCTCAGCCAGGTCAGAGCGTTCTCTACCAGAGCAGGAAAGGCAGTCAGGTAGCCCTCATGACCCAGGACAACAATCCTTCCACAGCCGTACAGAGAGGCAGCCATCAGGACCTGGCCCCTGCTGTTCATTGCTAAAGGAAAGGTATGGTCTCCAATCAGATAAAGCTCACTGGGAACACAGGAGCCCCGAAGGTCCAACTCTCTCAACCCTCTCATCAGGGAAATGTAGGCTTCTTCATGGTGGTTTTGTGTAGGCTGGTTGGACATGGTGAGGAGGACTGATGGAGTCTGGAGACCGGATGAAGTGGAGGATTGGTGGCAAAAGAAAGCTGGGTAAATTGTGTTAACACATAAGGGTAACAATTGTTCTTAGATAGTTGTATGTAAATAATAATAAGTAATAAGTACTTCTAATGGCTTACTCTTAGGTAGAACAACAAAACATAAATCTACAACTAGTAACAAAGCATGGATTACCAAAAGTCTGCTAATTTTATCACAACAAAATCCAACATAAAGCAGAAAGTTACCTTTTTACACTGTAGCACAACAGTTTCCCAAACCCTCAATCTAAAAGGAGCACTTCTTGACAGGCGAGAAGAGTAGATGTAAATGAGTACACAAGCAAGGGGGAGTATTGCAGTAAAAAGGGTAAAGGCAAAAAGAGGAGGGACTTAAGTCTGACAAGTTGTCAGACAAAGAACATACTCACAAAGATTACAACTCACTGGACAGTATTTACTGCCAACACTCTTTGTTTTTATAGCCCTCCTCTGAAACATCTGGGCTGACTGACACCCTGACTGAGACTGTAAAAAAAACCTGTTCAGTCCTGTGTGAAAGACAGTATTTGTGCATGCCAAGACCATAATTATAGCACAATAACTGCGAAACGTCACATTCATGTATTTGTTTCTTTTTTTTTTTTTTAAGTTATTTTTTTGGCCTTTTATTGGCTTTATTCATTATTGACAGCTGTAGATAGACAGGAAAGATGGGTAGAGAGAGAGGGATGACACACAGCAAAGGGCCGCAGGTCGAACCCGGCCCACTGCAGCAACTCCGTACATGGGTCGCCAGCTTTACCGACTGAGCTAACCGGGCACCCATGTATTTGTTTCTTAAAGAAACCTTTGAAGATTTTGTGTTACAGTAGAGAAATCAAATATGCACTGATATTACACAAACATTGTTTTAATTTTTGTGTTAGAGAAAGAAGTTTTTTTGTAGGAAATTATAAATCTGAAACTTAAACCGTGAAAAAAAAAGCCTCACAAATGACTTTAAAAACAAGAAGACCAACCTTCCAACAATACAAACAAATTACCTTGAAAAACCCGCTCTTCCAGTTTTGGAGCCCAGTGTGTGCTCACACCGTAGTATACAAGTTAATAAATGAAAACCAAATCACATATCCAAAGAAATACCAGTTGTCCAGTCCATTGTCCAGTCATGGCAACATGTGCTGCTGATAATAATAAAAGTTACTTGATTTTGGAGATTAAGAACCACTGCATCAGATTTCAACATGCAGTTTAGCTCCCAGCCATTGTTTATTCTCCTTCAGCTGCTTCTTCATACAAATGGAAGTCAGCAATTCATTTGAGCGTCAGCTTTTTAACAAACCTTAACATTTTCCACAACTTTCATAAATTATTGATATTATTCAACTTTTCCCTTTTTTATTGTGTGCAGATGTTGATAAGAACACACATTAATGTCAGATATCTGACTAATATTAAGGATAGGCACTCCTATCTCGCAGGCATTATCTTATCTAAGATTGGGGATATTATTTTATTCTTAAATCAAGCTGTATTTTGATCATTGTGGTTAATTCTTCCTCCAGCTAATCAATCAGCAATTTCAGAGGTACACTTTGGTAAACATTTTAAACCAAATGTTGAGAACAGCAAAGCCACGATTGTACAAATTCTTTACCAGATTATTATTTTTTTTATCTCTCCCCATCTGGATGGAGATCTCTTTAGATGAACTGGGAGGATTTCCCCAGCAGTTCTCCACTCAACCATTGGTGAAACTGTTTTACAAGAAGAACATTTGCACTTGCACTTAAAATGGTATAACCTTGAAGAACTAATTAAAAAATATATATATATTTTACTTCCATGGTGTACTATCCATATATTTAGTTCAATATGTGCATAGGGTGTATTTTACCATGTACCATTGTACCATGTTTAAATGAATGCATTCCTTACCACTCATTTAAGAACAAATGGATGAATTAAAAAACAGTAGCAGAGGTGAAGTAAATGTTTATTAGTGACTTTTCTATTGACAGTAAAGCCAAATATCATGTGATGAAATTACAGACGTGTTGGTAGATATTCAACAAAAACAAAACAAGAAGACCAACCTTCCAACAATACAAACAAATTACCTTGAAAAACCCACTCTTCCGGTTTGGAGCACAGTAAGTGCTTTGCAGTACAAAAGTATTCAACAACTACCACAGTTTTTTTTAAGTAGCTTATGTGATGTATAATATAAGATGTAGATATCTGGTCAACTATGTAACTCCCGTTTCCTTTTTAAAATAATGAAATAAATATGACAAAAAGTAGTAGTAGTAGTAGTATTAGTGTTTTATCAACCTGAGGTTACAGCACTAGTGTTACTTCAATAACTTCTCGGTTTTTGGTATTTGGCGTTTAAGGATTTAACTGTATTTCCCCCTCTAAGATCTTTTTTTTTTATTTATTTTTTATTTTTTATGAAGATAATGAATTTTAAAAGCTGTATTTATCTGGTCCACTATGTAACTCCAGTTTCTTTTTAAAAATATAGCAATAAATATGGTACAATTCAAGAACAACAAAAAAGAAAAGAAAGCCAGTTAATTTAATTCCCCACTAGATAGTTTATGTCAAGAATCTGAACCCATCTCTCTACACTTTAAATCAGCAGAAGTCTGAAGTTCAGCCATATTGGACCATAGGGTGGTCACTCCAGGGGGGCAGGTTGGAGAGTTTCTCTTCAGTGGCTGTTTCGATGGGCCAACCCCAGGACTTAAAGAATCCAGCCAGGTTCATTCCCACAGTCTGGGAGAAAGTCTCAGCGTACAGGTTCATCTTTCCTTTGTTGTCCTTTGGAAAGTTGCTCATCTTGTGGTAGGCAGCGAACACCTTCTTAATGGCATCCCAGCCAAACTTTTCTTGGAGCTACATGGAAGGAGACAGAGGTAAAGGGAAATGTGAAACTACAAAAAACTACAGTTTACATCCATATCTTTCCAGACAATATATGTGGACCACTTGGAAGGACTTGAATAAAAAGGTAATATTTGTATTGAGTATATTTTTTTGGCTAAATGGAAGTTATCACTATGTTGTTAATACATATGATTCTAGTGAATATACATTACACATGTACTTGATTACTATGTTGAGATGGACTCTTGTAGAGTATAGTTAAACAAAATGTGGTACTTTTGTTTTCTCCTGGTATTTTTCAGATGCAACAGCTCTCTATGAGCTGTAGGTGAGTCACTTAAACAATTACCAGTTGATCGTTTGCAGTCACGTGATTGCAATGACACACAGAATGAGGCAGGAAGTGAGAAGTAGAATGGATGAGATGGAAAAGTGAAAACCTGTACAGTGCTAGGTATTGATTACTCATTATGACCCCCCAAATTCAGTTGATTTTTGAGTCCAAGTGGACCTTCATGCCCAATTTAAAGAAATTCCCTCAAAGGCTTCCTGAGACATTGTGTTACAATGACCTTGAACTTCAACCTTTGACCACCAAAATCTAATAAGTTCATCCTCCCATCCATGTGGACGTTTGTGCAAAATTAGAAAAAAGTTCCTTGAGGTGTTCCTGAGACAGTGCATTCACAAGAACAGGACGGAGGGATGCACAACCTGAAAACATAATACCTCCGGGCGGCTATCGCCAACCAGTGTTGGGAGTAACGGAGTATAATGGCGTTACTAACAGCGTTATTTTTTCCGTAACGAAGTAATCTAATTAAGTACTTTTCCCATCGTTGCAACGCCGTTACCGTTACTGAGAATGTAAAGTGGCGCGTTACTTGCGTTACTACAATGTGGTTGAATGAAGCGCAGCGGTGTCAGGCTTTCTGACAGCCACACATCAGCTGGCGGGAGAGGGCAGGGTGGTGATGATGACACCGTAGCAAATGCGATGATGATTGGCTGGGTGAGCGGATGCCCTGCTCACACTGTTTCAATGCACAGTAACTACTACTATAAACACAAGACAGAGACAATGGCGATGACTCGACAAGCCAGGGAAATTCAAAGGTAGCGTTTTCAAACTGGAAGTACCGACACTACTACGCTCTTACTGAAGTTAAAGACAAGAATGTTTATGTAACATGCACTATGCCCAGGAAAAAAGACTTTATCCACGTCTGCCTCAAGCAACTCAAATCTTATGAAGCACCTCACAGCAACACATGCTAACCCAACCCCAAGCCCAGATGTCAATATTTATTTTTTATATATTTTTATTTCTATGCATATGGCCAGCTGCAATCTACTGAGTTCAAATAAATACCAAATGTTCTAAAATATAGTATGTAGTGTTTTTATTCTTCATTCAGCTATTATAAACATATTTGACGTTATAGAAGATGTTATAGAATGTAATAGCGTTTTACAACATAAAAAATAACGTCACAGTTACTTTGCTGAGTAACTAATTACTTTTACAATGTGATAACTGAGTTACTAATTCAATGCGCATTAATGCCTCACTGGGCTGAATGGGGTGAGAGACTTTCAATCTTTTTTTTATTTTTTTATTTGAAGGTGTGCAATTCTATATATATACTGACTCAGTTGTGTCATAGTTCCTCTACAGGGTGTAATGTCTCACCTGCATATATGTCTCCAGGGCCACCCATGTGTTCCAGCTGCTGAGTTTCTTGCCCCCCTTAGCATACTCCTCTGCTCGACTGTTTCTCTTTGCCAAAGCCATAGCTGGATGAGCCTGCATGGAACGAGATGAAATAACGTTATTTGTAAATAATATATTTTTGTATATAATAATATATATAGTATATGTTACAATACACCTTAAGACTAAGCTGCTCTTTTATTTTGTCAAATAAATCACACTCCTTTACTTCACCTTTTCCCTGTTGATCCCCAGCACTTCTTCATGCACATACACTGACCACAGGTTGCATGTACACTCTGTGGTGTGTGATGGGAACTCCCAGCAGCTTCTCTGTTGGTTGTGTCCCAGTTCATGAATAAAGCCCCAGAGGCCTTTACTCCTAGCAAGTTCAACGTTGACCAGCTGAGATGCTGCAGACTTTTGTGTCATGATGGGATAACCTGCATGCATCCAACCTGGATGGAGAAACAGATCTTTAGAGTTCCATATCTATGATAAAGAAACATCACATTATAGTGCAAGTGCATGCAATCAAAGAAAAGCACAAAACACAAGCCTCATATTAGCAACAGTTGTCACAAACCTCTTCACTTTCAATTAATAATAATGGTCTGTCTGTTTTTTGTTAGCTCTGAAAGACTGGTGACCTATCCGTGGTGTACCCCGCCACAGCAAGTTGGGACCGGCTCTGTCACCCCGGGACTCTCAACAGGATAAGAAAAATTTCAATGTCAAATATACTTACCATGGGAAATCTGTACATCTGCTACAAAGCGCTCCTTGCGGGGAAATCTGTGTGGTATGACAGCCAGGTCAGCGATGCCCCTCATGATGTCCTTCCAGAGCGTCGCCAACTCATCAGGGCGCTCCAGGTCGCGAACAACATCTGATGGTACAGTGAAGATGACGTTGTCAAACTCCAACTCTGCCCAGGGTGAAGGAGCTGTGCGCAACAACGACCACTCAGTGGCTGTTGTCACACCTGAAAATAACAAAGGGATGGATGTGTTCAAAACTGATCAATTAATTATTACACAGTGTCTAAATTTTTGTTTGAGTTATTATTTTATACATTTCAATGGACACCTGCTTAACTAAAATGATTCCACTTTAAAAGTCCCAGCACAAGAAAAAGACACAAATAACAACTAATGAGATTTAATTATATTTTGACCAAAATGTTCTTTCTTACACTGCCATGAATCTCAGAACAACCAAATTATCTCGTACTATACTGACCAAAAATCACTATAAGCCTTTTTTTTCCCACCATGAAGATGCACACATCAGCAGCCAGACACATTACCTGATTTATAATATGGTGCAGGTACAGCCATCTGCACTATGACCTCTACACCGTCCACTTGTGTTTTGGGTGGGGCTACCAGGTAGATGAGTCCCCCCCACAGGTTCCACACCTGCACCATCTCTGTGGTAACAGGGAATCGCTCGTGAACACATGGTGCTCTCTTCAACTCTGCAGCATTCAGTCTGTCTGTTTGACAGCCTATCTGGATCTGAGGAGGACATAGAATATGTGTTATTGATTGTAAGTACAGCCTATACTATGAATAAAAGGATACAAGGTTAGGATAGCTGTTGGGTGTGGACTCCTCTAGGGGTGGGCTGGACCAGCTCTTGGGCAGGTCATTGATATATGGACTAGGGCCTGGCTGCACTGGAGGTGAGGCAAGGGATACATTAGGGGGAAGGCCTAAGCGCTGCTGGGAACAAGGGCCTGCATGGGTTGGGCTGGACCTCCACTGGGGGCGCAACATTAACAGAAATACAATGAAGTCAATAATGATTTGATTTTGTGTACCTTCCATCCCTTGTTGACAAGCTCTGCTGGTATGGCCATGTAGGTCTTCATACCAGGAGTGAGGTAGACACCTGTACTGATCCACTCCTCCCCTCCTGACACACACAGAAAATATTATATTATAGTTATATTTACAAAACCTGCAGGACACATTTCACCCTTCTACAGACACCATTCTGCAGTCTGTAGATGAATGCAATGTAACAGTACAAACATTACTAAAATATATTCAATTCAGTTGTGCATAATACATTATGTTAATGAAACACGATTAATCCCAAGTGTGCACATACTGTATATAAATTAAACTCATGATATTTATATTTGTCCACAACAATGAAGTCTGACCTGCAGTGTTCGCATTAATCTGGATTCTCTGGTTGTAGACAACTGGCATCATGGGGTTATGCTTGATGAGGTAGGGCAGGAGAGCATCAGGATTTGGGCAAACCTTGTAAACCTCTGCCCCCACACTTAGGAGTAGGTGGTCTTTGGGGCTTTTTACAGGGCAGCTGTCACACACCTTGAAAGAAAATCAATAACGATGTTATTAAGTTGATGTTTCTCTAACACATTTGACTGGTTGTCTGCTTTGTGTTCTTGGAACGTGTTATAAAGCATTCATGTTATTTTGTCTACTCACCTGTGGCATGCCCGTCTTCTTTAAGATGTCGGTGAGAGTGGACACCACTTGTGTATAGGAGGAGCAGTCGTGAGCCTTCATGTGCAAGAAGGTGGAACAGTCCTTGCCCAGTTTTTGAAGGCATTCCTCCTCATGTTTGCTAAGTTCTGTCCCCTGGGTTACATGACCAGCAAAGCGGTGTAGCAGGTGGCGGAAGTGGTAGGTGTCTTTGATGGCCTGGCTGGGCACCGGGGCCTTGTATAAACCTCCTTTAACTGTTGCCCCCAACAGACTCAAGCCCATTTTGTTCAAGACCTTGTTCCCTGAAAGACAATCAAGCAAACCTCATTTGATCTACTGTGTTCTATTATGCGTGGATTATAAAGACACTGATATCAATATTTTTGGTTTGTAGCTTAAGAAAACCCAAACTCTGAGTCTGATTCTGTCACTTTTAGATTGAAGTTTATGCAGGTCTGTTTGATATTGTATATAAAGCAGGAGCTCAATCATGAGAAATAAGTTTGTGTTCTTTGACATCACAACAGCACTTTTGTATGTTTGCAAGTCTTATCTTTTCCCATCCATATTGTCTGGAGTGGCCCTTTCACACATTGGGCCCTATCTTGTCCATCTCAGACACATACTCACCTACTGGAAATACTCTGTTTGGTCTAGGCGAGGGGTGGTGCTGTAGTAAAGCGTACAGGAGGCAAAAAGTATGCTGCTGAAATCCCAATGTTTTGTTTACAGAAGAAAGCGTCAGCCATTACCGACAAAAGTTCCTTCATCTTGTTGTCTTTTACATTGGCATCTACATGTAAATGACCCTTATTCACCCTAGGGTTTTCGTATTCTTTTGCAGCAAGTGCATGATAGAAATGTCATCAATGTGCCCACCTGGACAATCACACACAGTTTGTACTAGGGAGGTGGTAAGTCTGTTTAATGTCCAGTCCCACTGATTTGGACATTTGCGTTCTCACATACAATCTTACATATTGTAGTACAAACTACTTTTTGTTGAGCATAACCTGGTCTTTAGCCATCTATCCTGCCATCTCTTCAAGCTTCCTTTCTGACAGCCAGCAATCCTTTCTCTATGGGGCGGCTGTGGCTCAGAGGCAGAGCGGGTCGTTCCTTAATCGGAAGGTTGTGGGTTCAATCCCCGGTTCCTGGTGCCACATGTCTAAGTTGAGCAAGATGCTAAACCCCGAATTGTTCCCGATGCCATGCATCGGTGTGCGAATGTGTATGAATGAGTTAGTTTCTGTTCGATGGACTTCGCCATCACTGAGTGAATGTGTGTGAAAGGGTGAATGTGACACGTAGTGTAAAAGCGCTTTGAGTGAAGACTAGAAAGGCGCTATACAAGTACGGGTCCATTTACCATTTACCATATCCCGTATGTGCCCCCTGTATGTGCCACCTGTTATAGTCTTGAGTTATGCCTGATATTAGCCGTCATTCTAGTACATTATCATGGGGATGAACGTTTATAATCAAACTCTTGTTGTGCATTATCATACCTGCAAAATCTGTCAATGGGTTTTGCCCTGGGTGTGTCTGTGCCCAGTACCAGGCATGTCCACCAACCAGCAGGCCTCCTCCCTCTGCTACAAAGTGTTGGATTTCCTCCACATGATCATCAATGTTCGCTTTACACACAAATACACTCAGGTCTTTCCTGAAGTTTGTCTTCTCACACTTTAACCCTGACTTGCTGAGAACTTGGAGTGCATGATTTGGCACTACACCAACGACCCCCTGCCGTCCTTCATCCAGCCAACGAATGGCATTGATCCAAAATGGAGCCAGTTCCTGTGATAAAGACAGTTAAGAAAAGAAGAAAAAGAAAAGCAGCAGTTTGTTAATTACATTTGGCAGATTTAGATAAGCAGGCAAAGTATATATTTACATTAAAGATAGATAGATACTTTATTTATCCCGAGGGAAATTAAATTCATTAAAGACTGGCTTTCTGCCTTCAGTTAAATTGAGTACATAATGACAATTTGCTCATATATTCTTACTATAAAACATATCATATGAACAAATTGTCATTAGGTGCTCAATTTGACTTAAGAAAGAAGAAATTCTTAAACCAGTCTTTAATGTAAACTTTACCTTTCGTCCCAGATATCCTTCATGTGAAACCACAATGACCCGTCCCTGCCCATAGTAGGCTCCTGCCATGAACGTCTGTCCATTGTCTGTGGTCCCAATTGGAAAGGTTAGTGGGCCGTGGACCAGAATCTCAGAGGCTAATGCTCCACCCTGGATATCAAACTCTGAAACCCCCTGGAGTAAGAACTCCAGGTCATCCTCAAAATCCTTACCGAGTCTGTATTTGTAAGTGGGAAAAGGAAAGGGAAATACAGATGTCAAGGAGATGCAGTGTATGATGTACTTATATTAAGAATTAAGAATCAGTGTATCAACCACATTTTCTAAATCAAATTAATTCTTAATTTACAAAATACAAACATATGCTAATAACGGATTGATAACAGTTATTATTGTTAGAATTCTTCTTTTACAATTGTTTTATTGTTTTTGTTTTTTTAATTTTGCCTTTTTTCTTGGAGAGAGACATGTTTGAGATATGCAACAAAAGGTGCTCGGCCAGAATCAGACCTGGGACAGTGCAGTTATATGGTTTGCATCTTAACCACAAGGCCACCAAAACATCCTGGCAAACGATTATTTCAATAAATAATAGTAATTACTATATAATGTAAAATATAATATAATTCTTCATTATTTGTTTTAATAAAGTCTAAAATTAATTGAAGTAAATGGCTTCAGCAATGAAGTGACATTTTTAATGTTAATAATTATGGTCATAATCAGGAGGGCCAAATGCAATGCAATGTAGAAGTTTTGCAAAATGGAACCTTTCTGAGTGTGCAACAAAAAAGAAAAGAAGTATGCACTCACACTACAGCCATCCAGGAGGATGGGATCTGTGGGTAGACAGGCAGGCACTCTGTCTCACCATGATGCCCAGAAAAGTAGACCCCTGCCACACCAGAAACCTTGTTCCCTTCAAACTGAAGCAGTGTGTTCTCCTTAGGGTGGTTTGCAGCCCAGTTCCATGCCTGCCCCGGCTATCAGCACTCCTCCTCCAGCTTTCAGAAATGCCACCAGGTCCTTTGGGTCTGCACCCACGCTGTAGGCATCAGTCACATACACACCAACCTCCAGATCATTACTAAAGGCACCCACAACTTTGGCTTGGAAGATGGATCTGCTGAGGTTATCAGCCACTGCCTTCATGTTTTTGTGGACCCCCACAGACAAGTTGTCAGACCCATCCCCTCTCAGCCAGGTCAGAGCGTTCTCTACCAGAGCAGGAAAGGCAGTCAGGTAGCCTTCATGACCCAGGACAACAATCCTTCCACGGCCATACAGAGAGGCAGCCATCAGGACCTGGCCTTTGCTGTTCATTGCTAAAGGAAAGGCATGATCTCCAATCAGAACCAGGTCACTGGGAACACAGGAGCCCCGTAGGTCCAGTTCTCTCAAGCCACGCATCAGGGACATGTAGGCCCCTTCATGTTGGTTTTGGATGGGCTTGTTGGACATGGTGAAAAGGATTGTTGCTCTGCAGGTTAAAGGAAGAAAAGGAAGAGGGTGTGATAAGTCAGATGCCACTTGCATTAGTAAATGAGGTCAAACAGTTGAACTTAATTATATGTGATGTCAGATAGTTAGTCCTGTGGGGAAAATAAGAGATCTCAGATGAAGATTAAATGAAACACATCTGGGGAATGCCAAGAGCCAGTGCCTTGGTCAAGTGGAGAATTGACCTAAAATACATGTTTTGATGGTGGGGGAAACCAGAGCACCTGGAGGAAACCCTTGCAAACACAGTGAGAACTTGCAATCTGCACTACTTGCTGTGAGGTGACAGTATTAACCACAGAGCCACTGTGTGTGTAGTAGTTGCGAGTACACAAAAATGTGGCCAAAACAGCATGTTTATAGGAAACAATATCATGAGATAAGTTAAAATTATGTAGCATGTAAGCAGAGGGTTTCATTCAAAATGTGTATTTATATCAATTTAGTAACATATATATATTTTAATCTGGCTACATTAAAGAAATACAAGGCAGAAATCTTGATTATCAATGAATTGTTTTCTATTTTCTATCATTGTAATCTGAATATCTTTCAGTTTTTGTACTGCTGGTCAGAGAAATCAACATCTTTCATTTCAAGATCATTTTACACTTTTTTCTTTAACATTAAATGATAAACAGATTCACTTAAAAAGTGAATAGATTAATCAATAATGACAACAAACTCTCGGGTTGCACCTCTAAACTTTAAATGTATCATGTTACGGTTGTGAACAACACCCCAATGACAATCAACACAGACACAGAAATAGGGAAACAACAATGTGAATGTTAACATGGAGCCTATGCCCTACTGCAATATGTTTTAACCTTCTTCTATTTTGCCTCTAAAATAAACAAACCTAAGTAGATTTCTAAACAAAGAGGCTTTATCCAACAAACTAGCCTGCATGACTAAGAAACCCCGGCCATCCTGTTATTTTTTAAATGAGGCTACAGTTCACTCATCAAACATCTGACGTTCATAACATTGGGCAGTAAATAAAACAGAAAGATGACGAGCAGACCCAGCCCGGTTGTAGTTAGATGGAGAATTTAACATCTTGTCCTGTTTCTGCTTTGTGTCTTGATATTTTTTTTTTCTTCCCACTCTTGTCTCCAACCGGGTGGAGGACTGAAGTTAAATAATCTGCGCCACATTCAAAACATTAAAAACTCCTAAAGAATTTACAATAAATAACATTTTTGTTGAATTACCAATAACGAAATGGATGAAAAGGACCCACTTTACCACGCAGACTTGGCTTTCGTGACAGTACAAAGAAAAAATACAGTGTACTGTATGTTGTTGATACCCGGAAAAGTATAAGTGATGAGCGGAACCTTCAAGGCGCTCACGTTTCTAGACGAGCGTATTTTGTCTGTAGGTACACTGCAAAACAATCCCTCTCCTCCTGTTCGCTTTACTTCAACAACCAACTCAGAGAATTCATAGAAGTTGTGGTGAAAGTAGCACCGTGACATAGTCGCCCCCCACGGTGCGTTATTGGTGTGTTTCTGCTCATATGAAACGAGTCACCGTCGGGCTCACAGTGACACAGTCTCGCTCCAATGTCGTGCACGCTGGTTGGCCCCTCTGGAGCTCGGGTCTCTCTGGAGGATGGACGAGCGCTGATTCTGGGCCGGGGTCCGGACACCGGCGTCGCCGACAAGAAATGCTCGCGGCACCAGGGTGAGGAAACGTGCGACACAGACACAGTGGCGCTGGTCGTGACGCTGCACGTAGGGGTCTTTGGTTGCCGAATTTCCCACGAGACCCTTGTAGCGTGCACAAATATATACGCGTCCATAGTTAATTGTATACACGCAAGGCCCTGGTGGTTGTGGGACAGTGTTTGCAGCACTTAAGGAACATGATTTGAGTAAGTTGCTAAATGGGATTTAAAAATCAACCATTCCTGCTCGTATGACACGGACTGGTCCTCTACTTCCACACAGCATGGGTTCGTCTGTTTCTTATAGGCTTGTACCTCTTATAACTCTCACAGAGCGAGAACTATGAATGGGTCACATGGATCCAGTAACACATTTAGGGCATCATAATAGATACATAACAGACAGATAATCAATTGGCAACTATATTAATAATTGGATCATTGTTTGAGTCACCTTTCAAGCAAAAATGAAAGTATTTGCATTTCAGCCTTCTTGAATATGTATAACATGAATATTGGGGGTTTTGAACTGTTGGTGGACCAAAACAAGCAACTTGGAGATCTCACATAGTAGCTGCAGTAGTTCTATGATAAAGGGCTGATATCTATTTTCTCTATTAGTCATCTGCTTAAAACAGTGAACCATTTAGGAATGCCTAAGCTGACCCATGCAAGCTGCTTGTTTTGCATATTTAGATGGCATTAAATAACTATTAGTTAATTATCAGAATTGTTTTATTAGATTAGTCAACTAATCGTTCAGCCCGAAATTAATATTGACATGTGTGTGCATGTGAGTATACATGATGGTAATACATGTGTGTTTCTTTCAGTGAAGGTGGTGGCTTGCTATGCAGACCAGGATGTGGTTGTTACTCAGGTATGAAAACAAACACTGCAGCACAGCCCAGTGTCAGAAGTTATAATTCAGTTATAAACTGTCAAACTCTCAGACTAGAAAAGCCCCACTGGCCGGCTTCACTGTACAAACACAAGAGAAAGAAATATGTGGCACCACACAATCAGAACATCTGTTTCTGACAACCTGATGACAGTGCACTTTTCTCTTTACTGCCTAGACACACCGTGGTTATCTTCCTATGAACTAACTGTAATAATGCTGCACTCCAATGTCCATTCTTGGCCTATTTTCTTCCACAGCTGGGTCCAAATCCCAGTTTCTTGGATGGTGAGCAGCTGGGGCGGGGCCAGTCTGGTAGACTCACCCATGGAGGCACCCTCTACATGGTTAACCAGAACCATCCATTTAAACTGCACTTTTCCCTGAGCTCAAAGGGCGCTGCATCCAGCGCTGCACAGAAAGGACTAAAAGCTGCAGATAAGACAAAGGGGGGAAGAAACGAGAAAGAAAAGGTGGCACAGTCGAGTCCAAATCCCAAGCGCAGTATCAAGGATTTCTTTTCTACCTCTCCTATTAAGGTAACACATCTGGAACTGTTTGTTTCATTGTGTTGAAACCTATTTGCTGTATTAGTTCATGCTTTGTATTTGCTTATTACTTTAATGTTACAACAAAGATCATATTCATCGAGAGAATTTGAAATTGAACAACTGAAAATGTATTTTTTATTTTTATATTTAGTCATCTAAAAGACGACTGAGCCCAGATAGGGGGCACCCCGAGGTGAAGCGCCAAAGAAGAGGTGAGGAGGCCTCAGATAGCCGTATAAAGGAAGAGGAGGAGGATGAGGAGGATGAGGAGAGACTGGCAGAGGAGAAGCTCAAGCAGCTGCAGGAGTTGGCAGAGAAGTCTATGACGGAGAGTAGTAACACGACCCACCCCTCATCTTCTTCATTGTCTGTGTCGTCTTCAAAGGGCTGTCTAAAGAGCAGCTGGCAGCAGATAGGCAACCTGTTGCTTTACACTGCTGCTGGTGTCAGAGGCAGTAACAAGGTGGGAGCCGGTTACAAGGCTTTATTTATTCATTTGTTTCAGTGGTCGAGGTCAGAGAATTGTTTAAAAAAAATGCTTTGTGCATTTTTTACTAGTTTCTGGTATTTTACATACCAAATGATGAATCGAGTAATCAAGAAAATAATCAGCAGATTAATTATGAAAATAAATGTGGTTGCATATTTCATTTCTGTTGAGTTTGGTTGCACATCATCTCAAACCACAGGAAGGGAGAAGTTAAAACTGTCTTCTAAACAGCAGTGATAAGCTCTTCTCTGACCAGTGTTAGATCATTTTCCACTTGTGTTAATGTGTTTTATTTTGATGTAAACACAAAAGGGCTGTATAGGGGTTTATTGACACTGCTGGTATTGTTATCTCATAGGAGGGCCACTTCAACATTTAAGTACTACAAGAAGGTGCAATATTCTGAAAATATTTCCATTATTAACATCATAATTAACATAACAGCTCTTTATGTCCATTTCTATATCAGCATTTTATATCGTCTTTGTTGTTCGCAGGCAAACAAGCTTTTCCATTATCTATATATATTTTTATTGTATTGGGGTAGTTTAAATTAATATGAAACAACTAGAAAAAATAATTGAAAGAATACTAATCTTGCATGCTGGTCTCAGGCCGGAGGGAGGGGGGATCGAGGGCTGGAAATGGCCCTCGAGCCGGAGGTTTGAGGTCCCTGTCTTAAGTGTTTCAAACTATGAACACTCTAGAGGTGTTAAAGGAAGGGAAAACCACCCCTGAAGTTATTAATGTGGTGAGATCACGCAGTTAAGTCTGAACATTTCCTCTTTTCATCCTCTCCAGATTGCTGGGTTCGACATTGATGGCTGCATCATCACCACCAAATCTGGCAAAGTCTTTCCCACCACACCAGATGACTGGAGGTATCGCTGCACTCCAAAACTAAGATATTAAATGAAATGACTGTCTCTGTTTCCAGCTCATTGGCTTGTATTGATTACTTTTTATATCTGTGCAGTTTGTTATAATTATCGATGTGTTCATTCACCAGGATTCTGTACCCTGAGATTCAGCCAAGACTGGCCAGCTTGCTCAAAAAAGGATACAAGGTGGGAAGGAGCTAAATGCAACAGTTGCTAAACATATCTAGTGAAAGTTTCTAGATTAAAGCCAGTGAAATATTATTGGATCTTATGTACTCAGGAAGTGTTGTCATTGGATTTCCCAGTCTACCCTTGCTCTCTTCTTGCAGGTGGTATTCTTTACCAACCAGATGGGGATCGCTAAAGGCAAACTGAGGCCGGAAGTCTTCAAGTCTAAAGTGGAGGATATCCTCACCAAGCTGCAGCTACCTGTGCAGGTTGGTCCTATTGTACATTGACTCCCATTTTCTCTCCTATTTACTGAACAAAAGGCTAATATTTGTTTCCTCTCCTGGTCTGTGTCTCAGGTTTTTGTGGCAACCGGTCCGGGGATCTACAGGAAACCAGTAATGGGAATGTGGAATCACTTGTGTGAGAAGGTACCTGAACACACACACACACACACACACACACACACACACACACACACACACACACACACACACACACACCAATATTATTGAAGAGCCACACCTCATATACCACACCAAAGAAGATGTACACTAGTTAAGCTGAGTCATAGGAGCCTCCCTTTTATCATTCCTCACAGCATTAGTCAGGCAGGTTTGACAATAAACAGTGACTGTAGTTTTAACTGTAAGTGTGCATATGTGTTTCTTCCTCAGGCAAATGATGGTGTGACTGTTGACCACAAACAGAGTTTTTATGTTGGAGGTGAGTGAAGTTGGATATGAAGTGGTGTGGCATATGTTTTGCCACGCACACACGCGCACACACGCACACACACACGCACACACACATGCACACACACACACACGGTCAACTACGCTCTGAAAACCATCCCTTGTTGAATCTCATTTCTTTAAACTCAAAAATGAACCCAGATCTTAACCATGATCAGTCCTTAACTACCTGAAATCTCCCAAAACCCTAATCTTTAATGCTTGACCTAAACCTAACCCAAGCCCAGAAATAAGTAGAATTAACCTCTTCGAAGCGCAAAATGCAATCAAATAAGTTTTCCTTTTACTTTGAGAACATTTCATCCCCAGAGAGACTGAATTACGAGAGTACACACACAGAAATACACCCACACACAGCTATTGACTTTACCTCTGTGCACAGATGCGGCAGGTAGACCAGAGAACTGGGCTCCAGGGAAGAAGAAGAAGGATTTCTCCTGCAGTGATCGACTGGTAAGACCTATGAGTTTGCTTTTGATTTTGGTCATTTATTTTATTTCTTTTAACCCGTTGTGCCACTCCTACTCCTCCTCCTCCTCCTCACCCTCCTCCTCCTGCAGTGACTGGTTTTGAATGCTAATTTGTGGGAAGTATTGTTCTTATATGTCATCTTAAATATCATTTAATACGTAATACCAAGACTCAGTGTTTCTTAATGATACCCTTTAAGGGAAAAGGAGCTCAAATCTGGTGAAATATGAGCCATGTGTATCAGTTACTGTCTTTTTTCTTGTTTTTGTAGTTTGCTCTGAACATTGGGTTGCAGTTCCATACCCCAGAGGAGTACTTCCTCGGCTGGAAGAGCGCCCCATACAGTCTGCCTAATTTTGACCCTGTGAGTAAAATGCACATACTGGCTCTACTGCATTATTTGATAACACATTTGTGAGCTTGGTCTGTACTTTTGTTCATGTTTTTCTTTATCTGAACGTCTAGAGGAAGATTGACAGCACTGCAAAACTTTACGACCCGCCGTCTGCTTCTCTCACCTCCAGCCAGACAGAAGTAATTGTCGCCGTGGGTTTCCCTGCATGTAAGCCACAATAGATGGTATATCACCTTTTCTGACCCCCCCCGCCCAACACCACCATTCTGATCTTGTTCTCTGTGTTCCACAGCGGGTAAATCCACATTCTTCCACACCCACATCATTCCAAAAGGTTATGTGTACGTCAACAGGGTGAGTGGAGTTTTGTGTACAGGGCTCAGTCAACAAGGCTCCAGTACTGCCCCAGTGCTGAAAGCACCAAGGACATTTGGTTTTATGTACAACAAGATGTTAACTTTGGAAGCCCTGAGAGGCAAGTGAGAAAATCCTTTTCTTTAATACTTATTTCCACCACAAGAGACTGAGGTGCGCCACTCCCCTATGTTCTAAATGCTTCTTACAGGTTAGTTTTTAATTGGTAAACACAAGGTACATATATTGTGTATTTGCAAGTAATTACTGTCATTTCTTTCTTTTGGCTAGAAATGTATTTTGACAGTAATATTTTCAATATGGAGCCACCCAACAAAATAAGTGTTCTGATATATCCAGAATGACAATAAAACTCTTGAATCTGTTTCATGAGTGAAAATATAAGTTACTTGGAAAAAATTATCCTGGAAAAACTTTTTTTTTTTCACAAAGCAAGCTTTAAAAAAAATAAGAACAATAATAAAAAGATTATCTAAGCAAAACATATTTTTTTTACCTGTCAAGTCATTAACAGAAGAGAAAAGAAAGTTCAGACTTACAATTTTTTTTCTCACTTGCCTCTCAGGGCTTCCACAGTTAAAGGACGAGTGTGTAGGATTTAGTGGCATCTAGTGGTGAAATTGCAGATTGCAACCATTGGAATACACACCTTCTAAGCGCGTAGGACAAACTATGGTGGCCGTGAAACTTGACACGAAAAGTGCAAAAGGCCATGTCTAGAGGGAGTGGTTTGCCTGGTCTGGGCTAGTGTAGAAATAAAACAATGATTCTTAATTTCAGGTGATTATAAAGGTTACACACTGGACCTTTTAACTGCCAAAATTAAGAGTTTCTTTTCTTGATGTTTGCTACACTGCTTTCCTATTTTATAAGTGGATTAGTTTTGTATTATTGTAATAATGATGATAACCACCAACAGGATGAAGATAATTGAGTTTTTGTTATTATACAAATTGGCCTAAACCAACCTTGCTTGTGTCGTTTTTGTGTCAGGATACACTCGGTTCATGGCAGAGCTGTGTGTCGGCATGTGAGCGCGCTCTGAAAGAGGGCCGCAGTGTCGCCGTCGACAACACCAACCCTGAACCAGAGTCTCGCAAACGGTAAACCACAACAGTATCAGTACGTTCTGAGTAGATGCACGTCTGTGTAAATATTTTCAGGGTCCACCTCACTGGCATACACCTTTTATGCAAACAAGCTTGAGTCATACACAGATGAAGAATAATTAAACACAGACAGGTGAGTATATTTGCGGGCAGGGTGGAGATGTTCAGTCAATCAATTTTGATGTGTTTTGGGATTGTGGCACTGAACCAAGAATGACATAGTAACTCAAAACTATTTATAGACCAAACGCCTGGCAGGAATGACTGAGTGTCACGTCAGAATTAATTCAGTATAATAGATTGCTAAAAGTCAGTCTCTAACATTTAGGAGGATTTATTGGCAGAAATGGAATATAATATTCATACATATGTTTTCATTAGTGTATAATCACCTGTAAACAAGAAATGTTATGTTTCTGCAGTAGCCAAGAACGATGGCTCTACATAGGGCCGCTCACGTTTTTTGTGCGTTTCGTGGACACTGTATTTTTCAACTAAACCGCTAGATGCCACATCCCACACAATGGACCTTTAAGTGTGCTGATGGGCTACAGCAGCAGAATTCAGTGCTTTACTCCACTTTTGTCAGCTAAGGACAGATAAATGATCCAGAGGCACAAAATCACTTATGTGTGGAAAAATGTCTTAGTCCACAGATATCAGTGTCTGCTACGATGTGCCAATAGCAAGTTGGCAGAATGAATCCATTAATGCTTTCTGCCTGGAAACGACAATTAAAGTGGGATAGTAATCGTAATACCGATACTGTATGTCTTTCAGTTATCATGCACCACAGGGTTGTTGCCTAGTAACTGTATTTATTGTAGTAAGTGGATGTATGCGTCACTAACTCAGCAAACAGAGGTACAGAAGCAGACACTGTAAATCAAGAAATAACTCTGCATGCCTGAATTCATAGCAGAGACACAACAATAAGTTTAGTTTTCAGTGTGGAGAAATGTCATAATGTTAACATTTCATAGTTAATACAAATAGGTAATAGCCAAAACACATCAACACTTTTTACAACAAAAACAAGCATGGTTATAATTTTATGTTATTTAATTTATTTTAAGATTTAGAAAGAAATGCTTGAAACATTATGATCACTTTCTAGCACAGGCTGGTCATGTACTGCAGGTGTGTGTGTGTGTGTGTGTGTGTATATATATGTATGTATGTATATATATATATATATATATACATACATATATTCAGACACGGCAGTGTACCGGTAGACCTTGTAGGGCCCTACGTTACCTCTATTGCCTCAGTCTTAGCCTTCTTCCTAAAGGAATCCTACTAAACGGATGCGTTTGATAATGTGGGTACTGATTGCCTGCTGCTGTTGCTTTATTGGGAGTATAAATACTCCTGCTGCTGCTTGTATGTGCATTTGTTTTTCTCTGTTTGTGTAACCAATGTTCTGTGTGTATTTTCCAGCTATGTGGACGTGGCCAAGGCCACAGGAGTGCCCTGTCGCTGTTTTCTCTTCTCAGCCTCTCTGGAGCAAGCCAAACACAACAACAGAGTATGACTCACCTCCCCACACTGTCACTCTTTTATCTCATTTTGTTTTATCCTAGCTGGTAAGGACAAGTGTTTTTTAACGCGTTATTGTTGTTCCCAGTTCCGTGAGATGACTCCATCAGACAAAAAACACGCCAAAGTCAATGACATGGTTTTCCACAGCTACAAGTAAGAAAGAATAACCTTTCTTCACACACTCTCACTGGTTAAACAACGTATTTGTGTAACGTATGCACGTATTGTTTTTTTTAATTCTAGGAATAAAAACACTTATTAGTAATAGCTCTGGTACTGACCACTCTAATCAGGCTCACTCTCTGGACAGGAAACACTTCGTGGCCCCTGCTCTCTCTGAGGGATTCTCCGAGATCCTCCAGATCCATTTTGTCCCGAAATTCAAAGACAGCCAATCAGAAACTCTGTTCCGGCAGTTTTCTGAGGGCTGATCGGACAGCTCACCTTTGACTTTTACAGTCTCACTGACACTGACTGGACAGCAACAGTCACAGACAGACACACCAAGTTTGTCAGTAGACTGTGACATGTTTTTCTATTTCAGCTGCCTGACATCTGTGGTTATATGGCGTATTCTTACATGCACACTGTATGGCTAATGGCCTGCTGAAGACTAATGATGTTAACTCGATTTGCAGCACTGAATCAGGTCCTTCCATTCATGCCGTGTTCTATCAAACAATTAAACAGTGGTGAACATACACAGATATGTTTCCATTGAATATGTGGCTAAGGAACTGATTATGCATGTGTTGTACGTGTTGAGTTGAGAAAGAATGCAATGTAAAAGCAACCAGAATTACATTTTTATGTTGTGTATGATTTTGTGAACAGAGAATGAGTTTACAGCACCAAAGCAATAAAAATCTATTCTATTCCATTTGACAAATAAAGCCTCTGAAAGCGCTACTGAATTCTGCATTGTGTTATTATGGCTTCATCCAAATAGATCTCAGTTGTCTGATTAAATTATAGATGTTCTCAGTTGACCTCAGGCAGGAACTGGATCTCCTCACCCAGATGCTGTTTCAGCCACGGCATTATCTTGAACAAGTCAATGTAGAAGTCTCGAGCATCAGGAGGCGGATTGTCACTGCTGTACCTTCCCCGAGCTGTGTTCTGTGGTTTGCATACATCCATGATGCCCCAGCTCAGTACTCCCACCTTGGAGGAAAAAGCAGGAGAAAAATGTCCATGTGATACTGACTGCACTGTGTGTAATGAGTTTTTTTTTTTTTTTCAAGTGAGAAACTAGCTGACCTGAAAGTAGCGCTTCTTTTTTTCCAGAAACAGGGATCCACCAGAATCACCTATACCAAAATAGAGACAACATGTAACTGTAATGTGAATCCCTTGCTTGTCAAACTGCGGTGGCTATGATGTAGTACGTGCAGAATCCAGACCTTGACAGCTGATCGCGTCCCGGTATGCTGAGGATCCGCCGGTACAGAGGAGCCTGTCGGGTACATACTCATCCAAAGTCACATCGGTGGGCTGTGTGAGTGTGAGCCTTGCCTTCTCAACACAGCTAGGCCTCTGCAGACAGCAAAATAGTTCCAGCTCAACACTCTTTTATATTAAAACAGATTTTCTCCACATTATTGATTATCAACATGAAAGCAGGCCACAGTCTGAAAATCCAAATCAACTGTCACCTACTTGACTCTGTGTGTGAATATGTGTTTCTTTGCGAATGACTGCTTCTCTGCTTTTGTGGATGAAAAAGGCTGCAGTCTCCTTGTGTTGTAGTAGTTCCTCCCCTGTATAGACATACATTTTACTGACAATACATGAGAATTTATTCAGGAGTTCTATATTATTAATGCTATGTTAACAGGGAAGAGTATGGAAATAGCACTTGCATACTAATAAGATTGCATAATAAAATGAATGCGTTTGCAGAGGGTAAAGGTCAAAAGGTCACATACTGTGCTGCTGACAGGTAGAGTTGACTTTCTTAATGGCTCGGCTGGCTGGCACAGTACATGGCAAGCAGATCGGTCTGTTGTATGACAGTATACACACACACTCAACACTGAAACTCAGGAGCATCTATTTTAAGTTTTTGTTATCTAAGCTACAGAAGGGTGGAAATCTAAGATACTGCCCACACACACCTTTTTCCATGACAAAACAAATGTCAGGTTTTTTTTAAGGCTTCTAATTAAATAAAATCAGTTTCATTTAAGTTCAGCTCTTATGTAGAGTTAAGCTTACTTTCCTCAGGCTGTCTTACCTGGCTTTCCAGGAGAGCGGGATACTCCGGTTCATCTCTACCAGAGCGACATCGTAGTCATAGAACTCAGATACGTTTCTGTGTTTGAGTGCCCTGGTGTTGTACCTGGGGTGCATTATCACCCTCTTGGAAAGCCCAGCGCCCTCACCTTGGAAAATAAAGAAGCTGCGTGTTATTTCAACATAAAATAGTTTCAAGTCAACAAGATTGTTCATGGGAAGAACTAATCTTGTTCATTCTGCCTGTTTGCTACAAGTACAGTAGTTAATTGAGTTAAGTAAGCGGGGTGGTAGAGGGCCACAGGTTGGAGTTGAACCCGTGGCCGCTGCAGCAAGGACTCAGCCTTGGTACATGGGGCACCAGCTCTACCAGGTGAGGTACCAGGGCAACTTAACTTTTCGTTTTCTCTTACATGAGTTTCAATCTCCAAAATATTTTTCAGTACTGACACTGACCATGTGTTAAATCCACCCTCTGTGGGAGATCATCAGTGCTCGCCTTGGCAAAGCAGTGAGCGGCTGTCAGCACCCAGTTCTGGCTCACAATGGATCCAAAACATGACATAGACTGAAAGGGAGGAAGGTGTCAATGTGTAAAATTCCACTTTAAAATTATAATATATAAAATGTCAGTTGTGGGGAAAAACAGTTATCTGTTATGATCTTAGGGATTGACTGTGCAAAGCTCTAACCGGCGTTTTCAAAGTGACATGCCAGGGTTTGGTGTAGGCATTTTTCTCATCCTCCCCACTTTCCTTGGAGATGTCTTCCTGAGCTACCCCACACATCGTCACACTCTTGTCACCTGTGTTATGAAACATGATTTTAATGGTTAGTTAAAATGTAATGTAATTTTTATTAAGCAACATTGCGTGGAAAATCCTGCCATTCTAAAAAAACAAACAAACACAAGTTGTCATTTTTTCCCAAGTCTTTTCTATTCTAAAAATTAAAATTTCAGCTGACAAATGGACAGCTGAAATCAGAAAACACAGTGCAGTATAGTCGAGAATGATCTACTTACTAATGATGCTGTTGAACATGGATCCCAGTGTTTGGAAGTCTTTCATAATGAAGATGTGCCTCTCACCACGTTTCTTTGACGCTAAGGAGTTCAACTGATCTTTCTTCACTTGCTCCCCAATACCAAATACATAGACATCTGCAAACACACATACATGTTCTTATGCTGTGTACATACATAGGAAACCATTACAATAAACATTAAACACATAAAACCAACTTTGCTTTGGATGCTTGATTTATAATAGCTTGTAATTTTGGTGATGCTGGAGCTGTTGCACTCAGTGAAAGTCATTCATACGTGTTAGTAGAGAATGTAAATATGGACTGTACTTAGTGTGTTAGAACATTTAATATTTTTTTCATTATGATACCCAGCATTGTCTCATCTGTGTGATCTTGGGATGTGACTTGGTAGCCAAGCAGATTCCTGATCTGGGCCAGGGCAATCTGAGGCTTGGTTCCTGTGTTGGAGTAACCTGCAGGCAGAAAGACATACAGAGGGTATAAAAGATAATCTTCCCTTTTCCAGTGAGCAGGAAATGCTCAACAGAGTTTGTGAGACACTTCCTGTGTCGTTACCGTCGGTTTCTATGATGATGATGTTTTGAGTCTCATTAAAATGGTACTTGGCACTGTCTCGCTTAAAGAAGCTGATCATCTCACTGACACGGAACAGGGCGGCGTGCAGGTTGGTGCCGGTCTTACTGCCATGGCCTGCAAATAAACAAAATACAATGAATGGTTGAAAATAAATTGATAAAAATGTTATGGTTGTAGTGTACTGTACTGATTCAGGCACACTTAAAGGCACCACACAGCAGGAGATAGAAATATGGTCATTAAATGAATGAATGCTGTGAAGGAAAAACAAGTAGGGTCCTACTATGGTAGTCAAATTCTGACAGGCGCCATATGACGTCCTCTGTGCTACCACTTATCTCCAAGTCTGTGATGCATACAATGTCTATAGCCGTGCTGGCAAATGACAACACATGGAACCTCAGCTGCACCTCGTAGCTGTCCAACTAGAAGCAAAATGAAGAGGACATGTAGGTTTCAGATCCACTGACATAGAATGTGAATAAATCTTTTTTGGGGTCTTTTGGCACGGACCTTTCTGATAAGAGCAATGGTGGCGTTCCTGGATTTATCAAAGTCCTCCTTATTGATGCTTCCTGATGTGTCCAGTAAAATGTAGACATTCATGCGACTACCTTCAGCCACACGGAAGGTTCGGCCAAAGGACGCCCTTGCACCTTACACCCACACCCACACCCACACACACACACACACACACAAAGTGCTTTATATGTTAATGCAGTTGATTTCAGCTACTTACTTGCAATTCTGTTTGTGTTGCAATGCTGATATGTTGATGACAATGAAAGGTTATACACACTTTTCTTTTTGGAGTCTGGTGAGAGTACATCCATGACTCCTGCAAGTGACCCCGCCATGGCTGCTGCTACATTGCTGGGGGAGTCAAAGGTATTTGGGCCTGCAGTAAAGCACAAAAATATCATGAATGGATGTTTCATCATAATATGATAGTTCATTGTGTTGGTCTGGCGCTGCTTTGATTGCCCACTTGGTTGCTGTAGGTCTTAAAAATGAATCTTTGGTTGTTTTAAAGAAAAAGCTGTCACTCTGAACCTTGACACAGTGGCGCTGAACCGCTCCACTCCTGGTTCTCCAGGCAAACCCTTTCAGCCGACCCGAGCAGATCCAGACCAGCCTGACAACGATAGTTGACCTTCTCTCCTGTACGAAACCGACCTGCTGACCTCTGGGCCCCTGGTGGGATCCCTGGGTCATTACAGTCGTCAGCTGCATTTAAAGATAGGAGGAAATACATAATAGATATTTTTTAAATATTATTTTGTGCTTATATAGAAATCTTCAGACTATATCTTTATTTGCAAAATATAATTATGTAGTAATCTGAAATGATGCACAAAGGACTTTTTAAGACATCAAAAACTCACTGTAAGCTTGAAACACTAAATAGTAAAGTTAAAGTAAAGAAAAGTAAATGCAACATTTTTTCAGTTACATTTTTTATGTAATCACAGTAAACGACCATATAGGATTAAAATCTGTTAATACAGATTATTTATATGCATTCATCAAAAGCTGCTTCACAGTGTAAACCTCAGTAAGTGTGAGCTCAGTTCATGCTCACTCCTCCACAGGCTCTGATGCAGCAGATGAGCTGGGCTCAGGCTCACTTAATCTCTATTGTGCTGATGTAAAAAGTAAAGATATAGCCATGTATTGTATATAGTTTAAGCATGCACGATTTATGCTTTATCATGAACAAAGTTTGTAATGTCTGTTTTCACCATGGTTGTCACAAACAGGAGTGGTTCCTGTCCACTCCCCAGAGAGGGTGCAGTTCCTCTGGGCTGAGCCGTACAGGGTGAACCCTTCCTGGCAGGAGAAGCTCTGCGTCTCCCCGACACGGAGCCACTGGTCCCTGGGCCAGAGGTCACCATGATCCAGCTGGATCTGAGCCGGACACAACACATCTGGGAGCCAGAGAGAGAGATGGACGGACATTAAAGAGGATAAGGAGAAGAGGACGCAGGTAAGAATGGAAGGATCACAGAAAGAGTTGCTTTGAGGGAAAAACTCAAATATGATCTATTTGTGTATATATGACATTTAATGCATCGCCATCCAAAAAATTACCTTTGCATGTGGCCCGAGACACCGGTCTGCCATTGGATAATCTCATGGCCGACCACTCCCCATCATCACCGCAGAGCCTGAAGCTGACTGGGGAAGGGTGCTGCCCCGGGCTGCAGTGATAGGTCAGCACACTGCCCTCCAGCCCTCCCTGCAGAGGAAACACACGATCGAACTTTCCAGATTAGTTTCACTTTCCAGACCTTCTAGTTCCTTTTTATCATGATCAGAAAATGACTCTTCTTATTCAGTGCTGTCCTTTACTTTAACTTGCATGATTCACACTTTTTACCATCCTCCATTTTGCCTTTTTTCTGTCCCTGTACGCCTGGCTGTTTAAGTTGTGTTTTACATTTCTAATGTGAAGTTCAAATTGTACAATTATATATGAATTTGCTTTGAAGACAGGTTACATCAGGACAACAGAGCTGAGAAAATGCACATATTGCATTATTATACTTTTACCTAACACTCTCATCCTGAATGATGTAAATTAAAAATGAAGGAGTGCAACTAACTTCCTGATCATTAGATTATTGTGTGGTCTTTTAAACAGCAAAAAAAAAAAAAAATCCATTGCACATTTACTGCAATGGAGCTTGAAGGAGACAATATTTAAAATTACATTTTCTGTCGATTGATTAATCAACAGTCTATTTTTTACCCGTGAGTAGGTGACATGTCCGTCTTTGATGCTCTCTGTGGTTGAGCAGTTTAGAGGCTGTGGGTTGCCGTATGTTCCATCCTCATCGCTATACTCATAGTCCTGCAGGGACACTGGAGCACAGACAGTAAAAATGTTGGTGATAAACATGCATACACAAGCATATGGGACAGGCTACACAGAAAAATGCATCAGCATTGCCACATGGTAGGGATCCATATACTCAAATGCACAATAAGTGCAGCACAAAATTGAAATGCTCACCCTCCTGGACATAGATGAAGAGAAGGATCCATAGTATGGGCCTGACATACATGACCGGGTTCTGTATCTGTGGTGTTTGTGTCTTTGAGTGACAGAAACCACAGCGAGAGCGTATGTATCGACCTGCAGTCAACTGCTTTATTTGATGACTGATTACCGATTAACACAGCAGCACCAAACAGGGAAGGAGGGATTGAGCAATTTAGGACAGAACACAGATTTGAGCTCTTACTTTCTTTAGTTTCTCTTGTTTTAGGATTCTGTAAAGTCTTTGGATATATTTTTAAATCATTAATTAATTTAAAGCCTGAGTGGCCTCATTAAAGTTGCTCCAAAGCTTTTAAATAAAAATCTGTTTGGACACTCAACTGCAATGTCATAAGCCAGCTTTGGGCAGCTAATGCAATTCAAATCTTCCAATCTCTTTAGAACTCCTTGCTATTATACACCAGTCCCAAACCAACACTGTTGTTGTTTTCATGTATAATTACCCAGAATCATTGCTAAATGCCTCAGACTGCAGTGTCTCTGTGCCAGTGTTTGTGCACCTGCTCGCTTAGGTTTGGGCATGCAGGCGTGCGTGTGAATAAAACATTTTAGAAGCTTAAAAGATCATTATGAGGATTATGGAGATTTAACAGGGACCCCCACCTCTGGCTCCAACCTCACCTCTTCTCCCCTTCCCTGTCCTCCCTCCCTCCCTCCTCCTCCTAGGGGCTCAGTCCTCTCAGCTGACTCGGCTTTGTTCAGCACTGTGAAGGAGTTTCTAAAACTCTTTTGTAACCACTCACACACCATCAAAAAAACAAGAGAAATACAGGTTGATGCTGCTAAAACAGACAGTAGTAGCAGAAGAGAGGCAGAAAGGATGGATATTTTGATCATTTGATTGTTTTTATTTTTGAAAATTCCTTGCTGTGGTGTTTATTTCATTTTTTATCTGGATTGCGTTGATGGATGTCCAACAAAGGGCTCTGCTGTGCTGGAGGAGCGAAGGCCGCGAGCGCACTACGCCTCAGTGGAAGTTTACCGTTGGAGCAAAAAGTGAACAATGTTAAGAAAACCCAGGAAAACACTTTTAACGTTCCCTCATGTAGAAACGGCTCTCTTCACAATGTCACCACTGATGTATTTATCACAACGTCAGGCTCTTTAAGAAGAGGAGCACTGGGAGAGTGACAGCGGACTAAAGATGTCTGACCTCAGCCAAGTTGCAGTGTATTCAGACTCTTCAGATATTTATAAGGTGAGTGAAGATGATGAGAAGGATGATGGTGGTAAGTGAAGGCGCTTTATTGAGGGAAACATAAGACAGTTATTTGGCAGGAGATTGGTCAGCACCTTCATTGTAAACTGGACACTTTTCTGGATTTATTTATATCTGACATGAAGTTAAAGGTTCTTCCTCTTGACTGGGCATTGGTTTTTCATGTCTAAACATGTTTGTACTTAATTTAAAGCTTTGTGGACCTGCTATGCCAGTATTGTTTGTGCATAGTTTACAGTTGGTCTTGCTTTGTACAGTTTTAGCTGCGTGAATTGGAGCAGGTGTTACTTTTAGGCTGGAAACCTACACATGTCTCTCATTTGAGCATTATCAGTGTAAATGTAACAGTACTGTATGGGTTAGTAGCAATTATATGATGATAGCATATTGGATTTTCTTCTGTCACTTGCTTTAAAGCAGCTATATTTTTACAACAACAATCTATCAAATAACAATGTGAAAACAATGTGCTCCCCTCAGCTTTAAGGAGCTTTATAACAAGTTTAACCTATTTGTTTAGAATTGTTGAGACCAAAAACAGAGCTTAGAGAGTGAATATTTGACACAAACACGGCTGCAAAATATTTCTAATGTTGCGCTGTAACTGCTGGATGTGTAAATAAGCATCTGTTGGCTCACACCTTTCCAGAATCAACTTAAAAGGTGATGATATTTCAGTGTTACTTGTTTCTGCTGACCTCATGTTATTGCAAGTGACATGACTAAGAGTGGGTGGAATGGGACCATAAATAGTAATTATACAACAATATCTATCTAAAGTTTTCTAATATTTGCTAACAGTAGCGACCACAAGCTACTGGCAACACCAGACCATGTGCAGCTGGCCCTGAGTATGTTTTATTGCTTATGAATTCAACGTTTTGTTTAAAAAAGAAGAATACTCACTTGAAAATTAATACTTGTTTTGTACTAACTATGTAATGTACAAATTTTTTTTTTTTCATTTCCACTTCTTTCTGTTCTGCTTTCCGCAGAATGTGTTCTGCAACCCCGCCTTCGAGCTGGAGGGGGAGCGAGAGGAGAGGGTGGAGGGATTCAGGACATCCTCATCCACTCCTGAACCAATCAAACTGCCAGCGGCTAGTGAGTCAACCAATCAGCTTGCTGCTTTCTGTGACTAACCTTGAATTGTATTAGACTGCGTATATGTATTGGATTAGTAATATTACTGCATCACTTAAACTCTTCTGGCTTTAAGAAAGCCTGTGTTAAAAACTGGAGGTGCAAGGCATGTGAGGTGTTTACCAGGCAGGGAGGCAATAATTAAAGACACCACCAAGTTGCATTTTGGGTAAATGTATGGTCCTGTGTTTTTGGTGTTTGAGCAGGTCTAAATGTATCTTGGCCTAGGCTGCTTTGATTTTGAGAATTATTTTTACAATCAGTCCAACAACTTATGGAAGGGGAATATAAATCCATAGGGTACACCATTAACATTAAAAACAGTACCTTTCATTTATGAGGGTAATTACATTTTAGTTAACTAAAATGGAAACATGATCAAATTACATCACACTATGATTGCAGTATGTTATCTGGTTGCAAAAGCAAAGTCCAGCAGTTTATTTTTGGCCCCCATTTTGATTCAGTGTAAATTGTCCCATGGTGGACAGTTTTTCTTTTGCAGAATTCAGCAGTCTTCTTCAATACATGATGATATGATGCCAAACCAGAAAGTTAAAATCATGTGTATGAACTTTGGTAGCAATAAAGATCTCCTCTGTCCTGTCACATACCCACATGTTTATGTGTGTGTGTGTGTGTGTGTGTGTGTGTGTGTGTGTGTGTGTGTGTGTGTGTGTGTGTGTGTGTGTGTGCTCTGTCATTCAGGCCTAGGCTGGGGTCTATTTGGGGTGTGTGTGATGCGTCTGCGGGGCCCGGGTTGTGGCTGGGGGGTGGTGGCGGTCTCTGCTGCTGTCCTGCTCCTGTTAACAGCTCTCGGACTGGCGCTGGCCCTCATCCTCACACGTGAGTCACTGCCGTGCCTCAGATCGGTCATCACAATGAAAAAGAAACACCTGAAACCAGATTTAAAGGGCTTATTACAGATCAAGTGATTTTATATATTCAGATTCCATATCTATAGCTGTTTGGCCTCTTCTCTGATCAGCGCCCCGGTCATGCTTGCATTCTGTGTCTGTTTTTGGTCCGTGATTTAGAGATAAAAGGCCAGGCAGTGGAGGATCAGTTGTTGTCCACCAGCCCTCCAGACGTGCTGAATGTAGGAGGTGCAGCATCCCCTACTGTACCCACAATCTCTCCCAACAGAAGTCAGCTGGACAGCACAGCCCCACCACAACCCGCTTTGACCCCATCATCTGAAACACGTAAGAGATTCAAACAAAATGGCCTTTTAAATTGTAATTTAATATTAAAAATGTGCAAGCTCAATTTTATGTCTATAAAAGATGAAAAACATCTCCTCTTTATCTGGACACCCTTCCCTTTCCATTTTTATGTAACTGAAACAAGGTATTCCTTTCTGTCTCTCAGGTTGTGGAGGGATTTTGACTGACTCAGAGGGTAGTTTCAGTTCTCCAAACCACCCCGGGTCCTACCCCCCCAACTTGCTGTGTGTGTGGGTCATCCGAGTCCTTCCCCCCTCCCTGGTCCAGATCCACGTTTCCTCTCTGGCTGTAGAGGGGCCATCTCCCTGTCCATTTGACTGGCTTGAGGTGCAAGAGCACATAGAGCAGAGCTCTGTGGTCACCAGGTTAGTCAGACCCAGGCTATCTCCACGAATCAGACACGTTCAGTGCTGTTTATCATTTTCCACTCCAGGCACAAGAGCGTAGGCAAGTGTTTTTTCATACCACAATGCCAACAGCTCTCTTTTAAAAGCTTATGCTTCTGTTGCAAGAGGACTTTGAACTATGCACTCTACATTTCTGGTTGCTTGTAGGTTTCTCTGTTGCTCCTAAGCCTTGGTCACACTACAAGATCTCTGTACAGTTCACACCACGCAACTTTCAGTCTTGTAATCGGGAGTCTTGTTGTGGTTTTCACACTACGAGTCTGATCAGCAACAAGAGGACACTCACTACAAGATCTTTCACAGCCAGTCTCCAAACTATGTTTCATCAGTAGTCATTAAAAACACCATTAATAACAAACACATCATGTTTAATTAGGAAGTTTTAAAACACAACCATTTACAGCATACTGTTGCTAGAAATTGAGTAAAATAAGCTAATAATTAGCCAGCATCAGTAATTAATACTTCTATTATTAAACCTTTAATCAAATGAATAACTAACAGCAGTCAACGTCAGACAACATTATCATACTTATGTTACCTCGTGTTTGTGTAGTGGTGACAAAACATTAAAAAGTACACGTATCACTTGAATTCACCTGAAAGCTCCCTGCACCAAACCCCTTTAAGAAATATGACATTTTAACAAATCCTTATGCGTCTGTAAAAACACGTTAATCTAGAAAAAGGAGCTAAAGGCTTTTATTTGTTGACATTCTTCTTGTCAATTCGACATCAATATAATCCATAAATATGCTGTCACTATGGAGAAGAGTAACAAAAACATTGTTAATGTTATAAGTTTCTATTCTTTGTAGTGTTTGTTGGATTTAGCTGCTGAAGCAGAGACAAAGTTTGGATGTTTGTTCTGGCAAATACACATTTGAGTGCATGAGACTCAAACAAACCTGTATGTCATTATGTGCAACTATCTTGTGAAAGTAGCATTTCTATACTATATGTTCTCCCTCTCGGAACAATTACTAAAGTTCATGTAATTACCTTAAATTATTGGTAGATGGCACTACAGGTCTGTGCATAATTGGAGAGTACTTCTGGGTACTTAAGGCTTCTTGGAAAAATTTAAATACATGTGCATACTTTTTTGCTAGCTTGCATTCTGGGAAAGTGTTGTAACATGATTCATGAACTTCTGAAAATGTTACATAACTTGTCCACAAATCCTATGAAGAATTTACTGCGCAAAGTTCAGACTCAAGTGGCAACTCCAAAGCTGTAATATGGAGGGAAAGAAACAGTAATTCAAGTGAAAGGTTGAGATTATTTAAAAGGTCTCGCCTTCTCTCCTGCAGATTCTGTGGTAACGTGGCGCCACCAACAGTCAACACAAACAGCAGCACAGTGTGGGTCACCTTCCACTCTGATGGCAGCATCGCAGGCAGTGGCTTCACTGCACAGTACAGGACCATTCTGCCTGAACACAGTCAGTAGTGTGTGTGTGTGTGTGTGTGTGTGTGTGTGTGTGTGTGTGTGTGTCTGCGTGTGCAAATACACGTACTCTTGCGCTCATGCCCATTTGCATTCATGTGCATCTGTGCGTGCATCTACTGTGTGTTTTCCCCAGAGAGCTGCTCCAGAGATGAGTTTATGTGTGACAGTGGTCGCTGTCTGCTGCCTGTGTCTATTTGCAACGGTCATCCAAACTGCCACGACCAAACAGATGAGGCAAACTGCAGCCATAAACACAAAGGTCAGAGCACCCTGACAAAGCTGATAATAGAAACATAAGTTAAACACACTTAAAAAGGCCATAGGACACAAGGGTGAACTTATTGCCACTCTTTTTGCACAGAATGTGGTGGGCTGAAGACCGGACAGTATGGTTATCTGTCAAGTCCAAACCACCCCAGGCCTTATCCTCACCAGCAGGTAACCACCTTAGACTGCCATACACACTCCAAACTAGCTGTTACAGGGCTGTGAAACTTGTGTTTCTCCCACCAGTTGTGCGTATGGTATATATCTGTTGAGGAGGGTCACATCATAACACTGAGCTTCAGCAACTTCAGCCTGGAGACTCAGGATGTGTGTACGTTTGACTACGTGGAGGTGCACGACAGCGTCGACACCAGAGCTGGAAGAGTGCTGGGAAGGTGAGATGCACCACAGCCATGATCTTTTATTTTGCTTAAGTCAGATGTTGGATACAAATTTACAGAAACTGTAGTTTCCTTTCTTTGTTCTATAAATGCTGTATGCTGCTGTTGTTGTTGCTATTGTTATATTTTATTCCCATTTATCACTGTTGTATCTGTAATGTCACTATTGTTTTTGTTTCATCAAAAATGAAGGACAAATCCTGTATGTTGAGGGTAAATGTGTCCGCCATAATGTGAGTTATATAACCACAATATTCTAAAGCAGCTTTTGTTCTCTCTCTCTCTCTCTCTCTCTCTCTCTCTCTCTCTCTCTCTCTCTCTCTCTCTCTCTCTCCATCTCAGGTTTTGTGGCACCACCTTCCCCCCAGACCTGACCTCTTCCGGGCCCCACATGACTGTGCTGTTTGTGGCTGATGAGGGAGTGGCCGACAGCGGCTTTAATGCAACATACCAGGCTGTGTCTATACTGGACAGTGAGTTCTTGCTTTTGAACAGCTAACTGATATTTAACCAAAGTGATGCTGGTGTCTCTACTAGTTTCCTCGCCTCTGTCCCTTGTTCCTTTCCATATTTTCTCCTTTCTTCCCTTGCTTTCTTACCTAATCTCTTTTTGACCATCTTTCCTTTCTTCTCTGACCTACATTTACCCTTCAGAAATTGGCAGTTTATAACAGATGCTTTGTTAAAGTCCTTTAAAGGTTCAAATCATTTCTTCTTACAGTACTTTCTTCCTTTACCCTTCACATTGTCACTTTTAGCTTTCGATAACCTCTCCTGAGCCTTTTCTTCCTTATTTAAAGGGACATGCGGCCCCAGCCAGTTTGCCTGCAGTACAGGAGAGTGTCTTCAGCAGCAGTTGTTGTGTGATGGATGGAACGACTGTCCTGATGGAGCAGATGAACAGGGATGTGGCAACTCCACCTACCCTCCCTTCAGTGAGTCCCTGTTATCTCTGACCCCGATCTGAGTCCCGCTAGAGAGTCACAGATACGGTAGTTTTTGTTTCCAGAGCCAGAAATCCCTTCTAAAATACAAAAACAAACCCAACCACAATAAAAGTTTGCAGGACAGAGATGATGTGTCACTACCACATACAAACACCCTCACACCCCCAAGAAATCTCAACTGACCTTCAATTATATCATAATTTCCTTTGTGTGTTAGAGCCTAATAGCAGAAGTCCTGGTTTTCTGAATGCAAAACATTAGACTTCAGCAGTGTAAAATAAGAACAGGAATTATTTATTTTCTCTGTGCCTTCAGCTTCATCGTGTGAGTTGATAGAGGTAGAGATGTGTCAAGGCCTCAGCTACAACCTCACCTCATTCCCAAACATCTGGCTGTCCATTGCTGATCAGAGAGAAGCTGCCACACTCCTGCGACAGTACCGGGTAAAAGCCACCTTCGTAACTGAAAATCCTCTCGTTCCTTCATCATCTTCCATACAATTGTTTGTTTACTTCAGTCCATTGCACATTTTAGATTTTTCAATTAATAAATAGCTATCAATAATTTAGAGACCCAAACCAAAAACAAACAAAACAAAAGGGAGGGATGGGAGGAGGTGTTGGGGATATTTTCTATTGTTGATTTTTATGTTTTTGTCATCTGCTTCATGGCCATCACAGGCATAATGTTAAAGAGATGTACATCAGCCAAGTTTATCTTTCCTAGTAAATTAATACCCAAAATATACATATTGTCTTGTTGCTGCTGTGTAATATTTAGTAGTTGGTCGCCTTGGTAGCAAAATGACAGACAAGCAATACATGAACTGACAGCTATAGCTTCTTGTAACAGCTGTACAACAGTTTCTAGCCGGACATTCACACACTTGTTCTCCGTTTTGTTGTCCAGGTCCTGATGGAGCTAGCGTGCTTCGAGCCCTTACAAAGGCTGGTGTGTGGGATGTTTCTGCCCCAGTGCAGCCCTCAGGGTGGCGTCCTCCAGCCCTGCCGCTCAGTCTGCTCCTCTGCCGAGCAGCAATGCAGCCAAGCCCTGGATCTCTTCTCCTTCAGCTGGCCCTTTAACTGCCACCTCCTGCCCGACTCGCAGGACCCCATGGAGTGTTCGCTGCCTTGATGCTTCACACGTCTAAAGTTTCAGTTGTGCTGTTGGGAACTGAGGATCCTCTCCATCCCAGTCTACTTCTTCAGGAAACATTCCACACCAGATTTGCCGCAGTGTTTGAGGACCCAAAGGCCTTACAGAACTGGAGACTCATTTTCTGGACTCATTGAGAGTTCAAGAGCAGTTTAACTTGTAGCATGACTGCTGCCTATAAAGCCTGTGGTGCATGCAGAAAATTGTGGCACAGTAGCTATCTTTTAAAGAAAAGCTTTAAAGTACGTAGATGAAAAGAATTTTTTCAAGTTTTCGTGTGATTCACAGCAGCTAAGCCAAATGAAAGTTTTCAATCTCTCAATAGAAATCAAACTGTTGTAAATTGTCTTTTTGCACTATTTATTGCATTGTTGTCAATCATGTGACACCTCATCTATAAACAATGAGTGAATACAGAGACGATGCCTTTAAAAACAAACGTTTATTGCACTGTTCATCAACACAACACATGATGTGCTTATATTTCAGTGTTTTTAACAGTCCAGATTGGATCTAGTGAGATAAAAAGGGTCATGATTTGAATCTATGATTTTAAATTATGAACTCTCCTATAGCTGATTCACTGAGCCTACATGTTAAATGTAACACACACAAGACTAATTTCAAACCTGTGGCAACATTATCTCATTGCTTTAACTTGTTAAAACTAATTTAATTAATAACTGGTGGTACAGATTTCCAGACGAATTAAACAAAGATTTGTAACCATTTAAAAAATAAAGTAGTCCATAGTGTATATATTTATATACTGACAGGGTCTGGGTAACAATTAATCAGGTATAATAAATACTGGTATAAGACTTCCAACATCAGCTCTTTATCAGTGACATGAACACACCTGACCATCATCTTCATACACCCGATCCATTCAATAAACGTCCTTATACACTAGAGGCTCAGAAAGTGCACAAGTGGAACGATCCTTCTCCTGAGTGTGATACTCCCACAATGAAAGGAAACTACATTCATAAATGAGAGTGAGTGAATGAAAATATTTTGTATCCAACACTGATTCCTGACATGATTTTGAGACACACAGTTTGATTGCACATTTGTCATAATCAAATCTTTGAGTCATATGATAGCTGTGCTGTAGTACGGTAAGTGTGATTGAGCTGCTAAGGAGGGACGATGAGTTTCAGGGTATGGTCTAGAGCTATGGCTGTCAGGCCCCACACTCGATGCTTCCCGTTACGAAACACTGGGAGGGTGTATCCGTACTTGTCACCGGTGCGGAAGTGTGTGTAGCCACGGTTCTGAGGGTTGCACAGGTGGGACAAGGACAGGGTGAAAATCTCCTCCACCTGGGACGGAAACAATGGAAGTACGGTTTACAAGTTTGGTTGTAAATTTAGACCAAGAAGTAAAGAGGTGTTTGTTTTTAAAGTTATTTGTTTATTGTCTAGGTCTATTAATTTGCTTAGTTAATTAGTTGCTAGTTTTAAAAGTCAGAAAATATGTCGGAGAGGAAATGAACATATGATTAAAGCTGTAAGCGTTTCTTCATCTATTTATGGCAAATTGTGAGAGTGGAAAAGCTTGTGCATGTGCACCCGTTTCCTGACATTTATAAAACAGAATCAGGCAGAAGTACAGCTTTATAAGTCGGAATCTTTTAAAATCTTTCATGAATCTACACAGTTTTATGCATCTGGCCGCAGGTGTATTTATTTTATACAAGTATGACTGTGGTGTTACATCATACACACATTTTTTAAAATCTGCTACATATCTGATAGGGAAAAATGTACTGACATAAACTGTAAAAAACACAACCAAACACAACCAAGCAAAAAATCCTTTCAAGTGGATATAACAAAATTGGGAGTGCTAAAAATAGGATAACTGTACCTCTCCAGGGTTTGGTTTGAAGGACAACTCCTCAAGGGGACCGATGTTAGCGAGCACAGGAGCAATCATCATCCCAGACTGTTGAGGAAGACAAAAGACACAGATAGTATTCAAAGTGAGCAAATTTCAAAATGCTCTGAATATTATTATACAATATGTTTTATTATTATTATTATTATTATTATTATTATTACAAACCTTGCCTTTGCCTTGTTTTAATAATGATTAGTGTCCATTTTAGTAACACAAAACAATATACTGAGACTTTTATTTATTATGAAGAAAGATTCACTCCTGGCCTAAATTTAAGATGAAGCCAAGTCTGTACAGAGGTGGCCATAAAGAGAGTGTCTGCAGGCCTAAGCATGTTAAATTTTAGACTATTGTAGAAACAATTTATTGATCAAGTAGTCAATCAACAGAAAATGAATCATAAACAATTTTGATCAAATAAGTGATGTAGTTATATATATATAGGGGTTTGCTGTTCTGTTGAAACAAACAATTTGACAATGTTACCTTTAACGAGCATTATGTACTATTTTTTAATTCGGATTTTAGACGGCTTCATAACTAAAATATTTGTTAGTTGCAATCATATTTAAAGACTTTATAACCACTTTTCATACCTAATGAAAATGAAATATAAAGAAATGCTATCATCTGGTACATGAAAGGAGCATGTAGTGAGGACAGCTCATCACATCGCCTAAACTCTTTAAAGACAAAACAACACTGGCACTCACCATGTCCCTGAGAGGCTTCAGGATGCCCCAGACTCTCTCTGCTGCCACATTAACCCCCAGCTCCTCCCTGGCTTCCCTCAACGCTGTCGCCACCACATCTCTGTCTGACGGATCACTCTTTCCTCCTGCAAAGCTACAAATGAACTGGAATGAGGACAGATGCAGCACTCATTTTTAAAACTGTGTAGCCTGTTTCTAGCCCGCCACTCACCTGACATCTCCCTTGTGCCTGCCCTTCAGTGTGCTGGAGCGCAGAGTGAAGAGAAACGCTGGATTCCCCTCAACAGAGCAGAGAGAGACCAGGACTGACGCCCATTTCGCCTGCTTCTTTCCCTGGCTCACCCCTTTTCTCCCCTTGTCCACCTCGTAAAGCTTCAAGTTGGGCCCCAGGCTCTGTCGACACCTGCTTTCATTCCCCGGGGATAGACAGTCTGTCCAGGCGTCCGCCACATGAGGGGCAGCCTGATGGACAGCTCTTGCTGGGTGAAAAGACAGGCTGGACGGTTGTGGTCTATTGTGAAAGTGGTTCAAAATCCACGGCGTATGTGTCGACAAGCTGAAAGGTTTAACAAAGTGCTGTCTCTGATATAAATTACTTTGAAGAAGGTTACACCGAGTCTTATTGGTGACACTAAGTGAAGGCTGGCAAATGTCCCAAGGCCTTCTCCAGGGTTGAAGGCGAGTTGTGTTGATTGAACAGTCCCGGTAAGCGCTCCCAGCTTTGAGGTTTTGACTTAAATCTTCCACTACAGTGCATTTCCAAGAATCAGACGCTCGTTTGCCCTTTGCAGAGGCAGAAACCTGAGGGGGGCGACGATGGCTGGTCAAAATGGCTTTGGATTGGAGTTTCCGAAATGAAGCCTCTCTCAGCTGCTGATTATCACAGTCCAAGCTAAATAAAGACGGCTGAGTTGAACAGGATGCAGTCTCTGTGGACAATGAAGACCCCTCCTTACTTCCACGGATTCCTTCATATCTCCTTTCATTCACTGCTCTTGCGCCCTGCCATCCAGCACCAGTATGCTCAGAGAAAGCAGACAGGTGGGATTCTCTCAATAGCAGCAATGGCCTTATGGGACAAGACCAAGCCAGGATCTGAGGGCCCCTAAACATCCTATTAAAAGAAACAAACACACAAAGGTAGTTTTAAAAGCATCGGTCAGTGAAACTCATTGTGCTCATCGGCCAATTGCATCAGCATGTGAAGTTCAGTTTGTTTCACACTTGACCCCCACCCTGCAGAGGAGTGATTACGTCTGGGTGAAACTGTGAGCATGACCCGGTCAGTACACGGGGTCGGTTAAAACCCGGCTGATCTGAGCTTTACCCAAACGTAACAATCATCACTGTGATCATTTGACCTTCAACTGTGTCTCAAAGCTGTTACATGGATCCTGTAAACGAATTTCATCTTAGCTTTAATTCTCCAAACCTACAAAGTTTAGCTTTTGGTCCCTAAGTTTGCAATAGTTTATCTATCAGATGCATCGCTGTCAAACTTTGGCTTATAGGCTAACATACAGGTGCTAGTTGGCTAGCTGAGCTGCGTTGACAATGTTAAAAAACGTTAATTACGTTACGTTAAAGTTTGTGGCTTCTCCACTACCAACTAAAACTACCAAAAGCTGGTTCAGTGGTCGTCAAGGTCTACTTTGGCTCGAAAATCAGCTGTCGGGAGTGTAGCAAGGCTAACCAGTCTGCTATCACATTAGCATCAAACAGAGCTAGGTAAACGTCGTATCCCGAACAAACTGTTTAAATTTGGTCAATGGCAAGCACCCGACTTGTCCTACACGAAGTCAGAAAACACGACAATGACCCGTTTTCGAGATTAAACGGTAATTTCAAGTGGAAAACACTCACCTTAAAAGTTGACTTAACAGCAGCTGCCCTCTCGCGCAGCTAGCCGGCTGCCACTAGTCAGTATGGCGCAGAGGAGCTTCATGCGCGTCACTGTTGCCCTTACTGCGCTATTAGTATGACGCCAAACTCGTTTCACAACTCCTCAATTTAACTTGTATGTGCCGTTTACTGGGGTTGGGGGTGAGGCAGAATATGCACATTATAAACTGATGGAGTCATTGTGGAAAACCCCCCATTGTCTGCAGTTTACATCACTAGTCACGTCCTCACAGGTGACAAAACCAGTCTGTCCTCTTTTGACTCTGCATTATCCAGACCTAAACTGAAGCAGGTATCATTATAGTTTCAGTCTCTAAGGAGCCTAACATCACTGTCTGGCTCAAAATCTGAATATCATATGATTCTTTTGTTGGTCATTAGTCAATTTTTACACTAGCATAAATTTGCCATTAGTTTGTGAAGTCAGTATTTATCATTTGACAAACTGGAAAACTATGACATAAGCGAGAGAAACTCCTCACCCCACCTGTTTTACCAGTCCCACCCTGAGCCAAGCCCGCCTCTGTTTTTAAGCAGCATGTGATTCATATGAACTGGCATTTCAACCTTACCATCCTAGGCTGTCTTTGCTTTAATCTGTAAGCTGTGTAACCCATTCAAACAGGGCACCTTGTGGTTCATCCAGGTGTGATCTCCAAGAACTCTAGCTCATCCTTCTCCGCTCCACGAAGCTCCATATGGCCTCAGCCTGGTCTGCAGAGGAGACCTTTGTCTGCTCGGTATGCCTGGACACCCTGACGGACCCTGCCACTCTACCGTGTGGACATTCATACTGCTTGGCTTGTATCAAGAGCCACTGGGACAAGGCAAACAGCAAGGGTCAGTACAGCTGCCCCCAGTGTAGGCAGGTCTTTAGCCCTCGACCTTCGCTGGCCAAGAGCACTGTGCTAGTAGAGGCTATGGAGAAACTGAGAACCAACAGCCTCAAACAAAGCTCTTCTACAGCTGTCTCCTCTGACTCACCTACGATGCCAATCTACCTTGAGGTCTTACCAGATACAGGGCCACAGCGACAGGGCAGCATCTACCCTCAGCTTCCCACAGTGGACTACAGACCCTGCCCTCAACACAACCGTCCCCTGGACCTGTTTTGCCATGAAGACAAGGAGTGTGTGTGTGAGGTGTGTTGCCAGCATGAACACAAGGGGCACCGTGTGCTCAGACCGCAGGAAGAGAGGAGGGAGAGACAGGTATGTAATGGACAGGGCAAAAATCACCAGGATAATATTATTAGTGCTCTTTTGTAGTTTTTTTCCTCTGGTGTTGGTCTTGGTGTGTGAGGTGCAGGTGAATCAAGTACTGTGTTTTCAAAAGTGTAGCCTTTTCGAAATGTAGCGGAACTTGAAGTACAACAACCGTCTTTACTGTGTATTCCTGTCATATGTGTGGAAATGTTTTCTGGCACACTGTGTGTGTGTGTGGCCTCTTTTTCATAATAAACCATGGATGATGTGTGTGTGTGTGTGTGTGTGTGTGTGTGTGTGTGTGTGTGTGTGTGTGTTTCTAGAAGGAGCTTGTTCAGATGCAGGCAGATGTACAGAAGAGAATCAAAGACACTGAAAAGAAGCTTAATGAGATCCCACATGTTGCTCGCCAACACAAGGTAACAGTTATGATTGTACGATGTCTTCCTTGTTTTTCTGTTTATAACATTGTTTACATTCTTTGCACTCTCTTTTCTTAATTTCCTCATCCCTGATCTTACTTGATCCTTCTCTTCCTCTCTGTGCACAGGCCTTGGTACAGGCTCTACAGCAAGAGACCACACACTTATTCTCGGATCTTGTCAAGAACGTGAACCTAACAGGTTCCGAGGTTGGTGATCTCCTCGGCAGCCATGAGAACTCCTTAGGCAGCCAGGTTGAGGGGCAGATCAACGGACTAGAGCAGGAGGTGGCAGGGCTGCGCTGGAAGAGTGCAGAGCTGAGCAGGCTGGCTGACATGCAGGACCACATCTGCTTCCTGAAGGTAATTTTTGTGAGGCAGGGTTTGGCTGGAGATGGTTTTCATTTGAATTTCACTGGATAAATAAAGTTCAGCATCATAAAATGAGAGAGGCTGTTTTTAATTTTACAACTTTCTGTCATCTGTTCTCAAGAATTTCCTCATCATGGAGCCACTGGGCCAGACAGGTGCCACAGGAGCGTCAGGACTGAGTCAGGAAGCGGTAGTAGCCTCCATCCGCTCTGCCACGAAAGAACTACAAAAGTCAATACAGGACCTCTGCAAAGCCAGCCTGGCCAAGATCATCACAATACGTCAGTATTCCTCTTGTCTTTTGTCTTCTCTTCTCTTCTATTCCTTTCTCTTCTTCAAGCAGTCAAAACTTTCCATTTATTTGTAGTGAATCAAGACCCTGCAGCTCCAACACCCAATGGTGTAGCAGCAGCAAGCACTACAGCAGCCAATAACAGTGGTCAGGACACTACACAAAACACAGGTACGTGGACGTGTAAATCAGTGCAACACAAGCACAGAATTAAGTTCAAGCTAAAAACACCTTTTTTTTACTCTTAGTCATAGAAGGGACACCTTCATATGTGTTTCTCACAGCTCATCCACTCTTTTCTGTAGTGTATGAGACGACGACAGACACTCCACCTCTGCCACCTCCACGACTTCAAGGTTAGTTACACAGGTCTCAGTGGCCCTCAGGAGGGCCACTTCAACATTCAGGTACTACAGGAAAGCTGTCTTCTTAAAATATTTCCATTGCTAACATCATACTTAACAAAAAAACATGCAAATAGCGGGGTAGAAAAAAATAATAAATAATTAATTATTATAATAAATAATAATAATTAATAATAAAAGAAAAATCCTCAGTCTGGATTATTTTATATTTTTGACATCATGTCGCAGGTCGGAGGGAGGGGGATCGAGAGCTCATGGCCCCTGGGCCGGCGCATTGAGATCCTTGCTTTAGAAACATCATATCTTGCATGTCTGTGGCTCATAAAACAAATGCTCTTGGACCTGAAAATGTCCCTGAGTTCATATTTTGCTTCATCTGTTCATGCTTTATTCCCCCAGGCCATGAGGATTCATTCCAATCTCCACCTCTACATCCTGCGTGTGTTACTGGTAAAAATAAGAACGCCTGCTACAGTGCTTGTAAAAGGTTTCACTAATGATGTTAGATGTCACTGAGTGGCGATTTCATTTGGTTTACCTCTTTCCCTTGTGTCTTCTCTCCCCATCTCTCTGGACATGAAGCTTCAGCGCCCCCTCCACCCTTCCCTCCTCCTCAACCTCAAGGTGAATACAAAAGCATTAGACACTGCCTGCACATATCAATCAACTACTTCCCCCTCATAGCAGTGGAAGTGTGGCGTAGACTACTTTTGACCACTTACTTGATATATTCATTTTTGTTTTTTCCTCTCAGCACCTCCTGTAACAACAACAATGGGACCTGTTAAAATGGAGCCAGAGACAAGAGAAGAGTTGCTGAAATGTGAGTTCATCATACTTCACAGTATGATACAGAATATAGAACACAGTGTCAAAGTCTTCGGGGATCTGGAGTCCTCACTAAAATGCATCCTCTCCTTTCAGTTCGCTTTGAACCCACCATGGATCCCAACACGGTGTATCGGCATGTGCAGCTGTCAGATGGAGGTCGTAAGGCCACAATGCGGGCTGAGAACCTGAACCCTCCTGACCACCCTGAACGCTTCCACTTCTGGAGGCAGGTTCTGTGCAGAGAGCCTCTGGCAGGGAGCCCTTACTACTGGGAGGTGGAGTGGACTGGCCAGAAGGTGGGTCTGTAGACGTCAGTGGGGAGATGGGTGGTTTCAGCTAGACATATGCGTCATACAATACATTAATGGAAATCACTACTAAATTTGCCTGAATTTTATGTAAACTCCAAGCACCAAATCTGTCCGCAGCTTTGGGTTCAGGGTCGTGTTAGTCCAAATTATAACTTAGTGGCTTGTCTAAAACTGTTCTCGAGCCACAGAAGATGACAACTTCAATTTTGAGAGCAAAATAGAAACAATAATAAGTCTTTCCAAAGAAAGCTAGACTCCTATATCACAATTCTGATCCCTTTGCTAACCATTAATATAAAAATGCTCATTGTTTTTGTTTTTTTAAATATTTTCACCAAAATATACCCAGATTTTAAAAGAAACAGATACATTTCAGCTGATACTGATCTGGATTTTATGTCCTCACACTCCCCAAAATGCATTTCCTGCAGCAAGAGGTTACTGATCATCGTAGTTTACAGTAAAACAGGTCCTTATGTGAGGAGCACAACTCCGTATGAAGTTAAAGGGAAAATGTAAATGAGTTGCTGATTATGATACATTTGGAAGTTTAGCACAGACATTCATGGTTCCCAAATTATGAATCCAAATGACTTTGACGATCCCCTGACTTTTTGTCTAGCACATCATGAGGTTTATATAGTATATTATCATACTGTAATAACTATAGAGATCCTGTAGGCTCTTAGTCGTGTTGAATAAATACCAAAAATAATAGGCCCTACGTATAAACCACCATAAAAACCATGGGCTGAAGTCCCTTTAAATGTTATTTTTACAGTTACCCATCACTGTCATTTGCAGCCACTTGGATTAGCTTCCTTTCTTAATAGTTTTTTCCCCTGTCCCATCACGCAGATCACCATCGGCGTGGCCTACAAGGAGATGGAACGTAAAGGTTCTGATGACAAAAGCCGTTTGGGCCACAATGCTCTGTCCTGGAGCTTGTACTGGTCTGGGAATGGCTTCTCCTTCTGGCACGATGGCCAGGAAAAACCTCTGGGTGCATCTAAGGCCCGGAGGATCGGCGTCTATCTGGACCAGCATGCAGGGATTCTGGCCTTTTACCGCATCGCCAACAACCAGGCCCATCTTATTCACCGGCACAAGACCCAGTTCACTGGCCCACTGTACCCAGGGATCAGGTTCTGGGCAGGAGTAGGGGCAACAGTTACTGTTTGCCAGTTGGATTGAGTATGAATGATGAATGATGATGTTGTTTTTTTTGTTGTTGATATAACCTGCTTGTCTGGTTGGAAGCATGTGACATTTAGGAAGTAAATGTGTTCTTCATCTGGATACCCCTCTGGCAAGGAAATAAAACTGTTCATGAATGTCTGGTTTTCATATTTTTCTGCACCAGCCTTTGTTGTGTTTTATCTTTCTAAAACTGTCTTTGCACATAATAAAAGAACTGTAAACACACTGCATTGCCATCTATAGATCTTTATTACTGTTCAACAATTTGGAATCGCCTGCCACAAAAGCTTAATTTGGTTCATACAGATGGCTAAAAGGACTATATTTCTGAATGGTCTTTCATGCTTTTAAATTGTCTTTATAAATAGTATGAAGGGTTTGCAAAAAAAAGTAATGTTTTGTAGGTGGAGAACAAAACGCTGTACAATGGATCAACCAGACTGAAAGGAAACATAAGAAATCACCAGTCACTGGTAAAAGAAGCTTAGCATCAAAATCAGTGTGGATTTAAAAAGGAACAGGTTCCAGTTTCTGTGTCAAGTGCACAGTAATGCCTATAAACAATCTGGAATTAGTTTAAACCTATTCAATGTAACCACTGAGTAGAATGCAGAGGGCCCAAAGAAAAATGGGTTACCAACAGCACCACTGTGGTTCAGTAATGATCTACAGTCACTTGCGCTTTTCTGGACTGGGGGAGCTATGGTTTAGACCCAAAAATCTTAATTATTTAATCATTTAATAATTTTTTTTTTTTGGGGCCCAAATTATTTCAAATGTAAATACGGTGTCTGAACATGATGATTCCAAACCTTTTGAATATGGTCTGTTGATGGTTGGAGAAGCCCTCAGTATTAGTGTTAATATAACTAATGCTGATTACGTAACCATATTCCTACCTTATTATGTGACAGAATAACCAGAGTGATCTTATCTTTGTTCCCCACACCCCAGTGACCTGGATGCTTTTAGGCGCCCCCTCCATTCTTAACTTATCTGTAGTATCTTTGTATTCCCACATGGATGGGAAGACCTATTTGACCTTCATTGGTCTTTTGTCAACTCACACCTCTTCCTCTTGACCCAGATGTTGTTTAATGAGTCCTGATTTGTGTTCAATCAAAGATTTATTCTAACTCAAATTCTCACTTTCACACTCACTCTCCCTCACTGCTTTCTTGGAGGAAATATTCGTGTGAGTTTTTTCCCTCTTATTCCACTTTGTGCTAGTTAACTCACGTAATCCAACACTATTCACAGGAGGACAATAAAACTCTCATTTTACACTGGGTGGCAATAGTTTGTTGTATCCTGGCCTGATTGAAAAAGTTAGTCTAATAAAATAAACATTGATGGCATTGCTTTTGGGTACAAAATATCTGTCTTGAGATTTTAAAAATCTGCTGGTATAGAAAACAATACTGCAATGTTCAACATGTGGTGGATTGATGTGATGGACGCAATCCTCAGTCTCAGTTCACATCAACAGCTCCTGTTCTGCCTCTTTTTTAAGTTTATGCAAACAAAAATCCACAGTATTTCCAGCCCTGCAAATTGATTGAATATCAATCTTTGATGTACAATAAAACATTGCACGCACTTTATCTTTGTGTGCTGATGGGAACACTGAACCAGATGGACAACTCGCACCAGAAGATAGGTGATACCTGACCTATATCTACAACACAAAGCCCTAGAGGATGTGTGTGTGTGTTCATGTTTGTGTGTGAGTGTAGCCCCCACTCATAAAGAAGAGGTGTGCAGTCTATACGAATACAGGTAGTAAGGTAAAAGGGTGGACAATAGGGGAAAAGGGAGGAGCTTTTTGAAAGCCAAAATAATAGAATTGATGGGAAACATATATATAGGTGTAACTCACAGTCTACCCCACCTTCTATCCTCTTGAAGCCATCATCAGTTGCCAGCATCACCATGCAAGGTGAGATTAGATATAATTAGAAAGAAGTTGCAACAATTAACAAGTTGCAACTGTAGAAGCAATGCATGTAAGGAGATGGTTGAGATGTATGTTAAGATTTAAGGATAAATTCTCACTGGAGTTAATGTAATGATTCTCTCTGGCTTTAATGGTATATGCCTTTGCTCTTCTTCTCCCAGCTATTGTATTGCTGTGTCTGTTTGGAGCAGTGTTCGTCCACGCTAATGATTATTCATGGAATGGACCTGGCACAAACAAGGACAATAGAGGCGTCGATATCAATGAAGAAAATGGTGAGTTTTTATGGAAATAAGTCTTGCCATAGGCCATAGTCATGTCTTTGCGCACACTCTCATTTGCAACCTATTGTATTTATCTGTGTGTGTGTGTGTGTGTGTGTGTGTGTGTGCATGTTCAGTGTGTGTTACGGACCAGGCATCGTGTGGCTGCTGTCTGATGCAGCAACAGATACACAGGATGAAGACGTTCTTCAACATGAGCCTCAATGAGCTGGAGAAGCAACTGATAAACACAAAGACCGTCCTCAACAATATCAGAGGTGAGAAAAAGTGTTACAAAAACCAGAAGGGGAAGGGAAAGTCATCAAAACATCCTAAACACTTCTCCACACACTTCAGACACCTGTCATGCAACCCAACTAGGGGCTTTTCTCAGTGCAACTTCATGTTTTTCTCTTCTCCTCTGCACCTCCAGCCAGCCGCAGTGCCTTCTCTGTCGCTCTAACCAGTGAGAGCAATTTGAAATGCTTTGGTCCCTTCCGTGACGACAATCTCATCGTCTACAAACATGTCTTCATCAACCTGGGGGATGGCTACAGTGCAGAGACCGGTATCTTTACTGTTCCCCGCTCTGGTGTCTACAGCTTTGCCCTCACCGTCTACAGTGACGCTGGTGCCCCTGGTAACTCCCTGGCCGCCTGCGCCACTCTGCAGGTGAACGGCAATGTGGTTGCAGGACCCAGAGAGAAAAATATGCAAGACCAAGAGGACAGTGCCACTATAGTTGTAGCCCTCCACCTGACAGCTGAGGACAAGGTGGCTGTCAACCTGCCCATTGGATGTTTCCTCTGCGATGACAAAAGCCACTATAACACTTTCACTGGTTTTCTGCTGTATGCTACTGACTAAGTTAGGGAAATGTAGCTACTCTGTGATTTGTACCAAACCCTTGCCCTACTGACAAGGTTTGAGTCTAATAATCTTTCTGTGGTGACAGTTGTGCTTTGTAGCCCTTAATGTATATCTGCTCTGTTGTATTCTCATCCATCCCAACATTAAGATCACATATTTATTTTGCTTGTTTTATTTCATCGTGTTCCTCTGTCCTCACATCCAATATTATCGTCTGAAAATTTCATAATGCTGTATGTTCATGTCACTATTGTCAATATTCTGACCCTCCTCATAACTGATGGATGTCATGCAGTCTGTCAATCTGTCATTTACTTATTTTATGTGATCGAAATTGGGATGGAAATATGTAATGTACCTGTAAAATTACAAGAAAATAAATCAGGATATTGAACAAAAAATTAGTGTTAAGAGATATTTTGTTCTCCATATTGGCCCACTGGAGGGTTGAAAGAGTGCTCCACTGATTACTACACTACCCACAATGAAATTATGATATTATCAGGTGTGTTATTCTACTGTAGTATTATATAATTAGACACTAAGGATGTCCTGATCAAGTGTTTTTGCCCCTAATCCGAGTCATTTAATATTAAGTATCTACTGATACCGAGTCCACCAATGTCCAGGCTACTTGTGCACGTAATTGGTCATGTTGTTAAACCCAGTTATGTCACTCTCACCAGTTTTAAAAACTACAGCAAACATATTACAGGACCAGTGTGTAAGAATTAGTGGCATCTAGCGGTATAGTTGCACATTACAACACCCTCGCCTTACCCTGCTGTTCCAACCCCTGTGTACCTCTGTGTAGAACAGGGGTCACAAACTCTTGAATCAAACTGGTTTGGGACCACTACTAGTATTGTCATCTCATAGGAGGGCTACTTAGCGTACCAATCATAAGAAAGTGCAATATTCTGGAAATATTTCCATTAACAAAAAAAAACTGCAGTTTCTATACATTTATTAGTTTATATCATATTTGTTGTTCACAGCTAATCAACAGATGAAGGCCCAAAACCTGCTCTCTTTTGATCTTCCCATTATTTTACACCAAACAAAATACATTTTTAAAAATAGAACTGTGTTTTTTTTTTCTCCTTCCTGGTCCTTTCTGTGCTACTGTAGATACATTGTGGACAACATGGTGGCCCCCATGGAAGAGGACCCACTCCTTTGTAGATAAAAATAGCTAATTCTAAGGTAAAAAAAAACAAAACATAACTATTCTTATTTTCAGGTGATTATACATACCTCCTAAATGGTACACACTGGACCTTTAAGTGTATATCTTAGCTTAAAGGCTGAACGTGGCCATCTCTTCCAGCTGGTACAGGCTGTGCCTCAGTCGTCGACTAATCAGAAGGGTGGGTTCGATCCCCAGCTCCTCTCGCTGCATGTCGAAGTGTCCTTGAGCAAGATACTGAACCTCAAATTGCTCCTGACGCTGTGTCATCAATGTATATGAATGTGTGTAAATGGGTGAATGTGGCCTAAAGCACGTCGAGTGGTCGGAAAAAAATAGAAAGGCGCAGTCCATTTACCATTTACCTTACTGTAGACTCTCAGGAGCAGAGAAGACCCTAATCTGCTGAGTGGGACCAACAGGAGGCCCAGCAGACAGAGCTCAAGACCCTACATGTGACAATGGATCAGCAGATCTCAAGAGAAAGAAAAACTGTGTCAGCAGAGTTCAGTCAAAGACTGGACAAGGGACTAAAAACTGATTCATGCTGAGATGACCTCAAGTGCTGCACAATGGGTCACATCTGGTGAGTAAGAAAAAACTTAACTGTTGCTAAAAGGTCACCTAGTTAAACCTTGCTTGGGCTAGCTAAGGTTCAATTAGCATCAGTGTCTGACCTTATTTTCCTAGGGCCTAACATTTCAGTTTTATGGCCCAACCACAACGTCATTGCTCTATGAATGCAATACTGAGTCTTATAATGGTTATTATTATATTAAATTGTAATTATTATTATTATTATTATTATTATTATTATTATAGTATTATCATATTCATATTATTTTATTAATATATTATATATTACAATCATGTTGTTCCATCACACTTTTTTATCATCAATACAACATTAACATCCTTTTCTTTTCCGCCACACATGCAATACTCTTTGCTCCAAACCCCAAACCCACCCACCCACACTCATCATCACTATCATCATACATCATCCTAACAGTCTAGAACATGCATGTGCACATTGTTGCGGTCTGATGCAAACACATATCTCCAAAAAGCGATCTGATCATCCATAAGAGGCAAAACAATGTAGTAAAATTCATATCTTACAGAATCATTAAAAGTGTGAACAACTGTTCCTATAAGTTTACAGTGGGAAACAAAATATATACATATACCAACTTGATGTCTGCCCAGCGTACCGTTATAAAACCAAACGTAAAAAGTTAGCAGTGGTTAAGTTTTAAGCCATATTAGTGGTGTGGGTCTAGGGATGGCAATCTTGTTCGGTCGGTCCACCACTTTGGTCCATTCTCAAATCTCTTTTAACTATTGGATGGATTGCCATGAAATTTTGTGCAAGACATTGATGGTGCCCACAGGATGAATCTTAAGATTTCTAATAATTTCCTCTTGTACCACCATGAAGTTGACATCTCTCAACAACTATTGGATGGATTAAGATAAATCTTTATAATCTCTAGGGGGGAAATTAAGTTGTTGAAACAGCACAAGGGCATAGATAGGTACAGAAAGAGAAAGTAAAAAATCAATTAGAAAAGCTATATAAAACAAAAATAAGGCTATAAGGGCGCCTGGTTAGCTCAGTCAGTAGAGCTGGCAACCCATGTACTGAGGCTGAGTCCTTGCTGCAGCGGCCCAGGGTTTGAATTCGACCTGCGGCCCTTTGCTGCGTGTCACCCCCTCTCTCTGCCCCCCCTTCCTTGCCCTATCAAATAAAGGCAATAAAAAGGCCAAAAGAAATTACTTAAAAAAATAAAATAAAAAAATAAGGCTAGAAGTAAAAATAGGAACTATACAAGAGAAATTTACAAATTAAGAGCATTAGTGATGTGATTAATAGCAGCAAAGTCTGCTAATAATATTTATATAAATATAGTATATAATGTAATAAAACAGTATACTATATTAACGTAATGAAACTAGTGACATCCCATCAGCCTCAGCTGTATTTTTTATTTTAGTTCTAATTGTAAATTGTAGTATGCTAACATGCCTCTCTAAGATGGTGAATATGGCAAAAAAATAAAAAATAATAATAATTAACAGCTTGACATGTTAAAGGTCCAGTGTGTAACATTTAGGAGGGTCTACTGGCAGAAATTTAATATACTAATAGATATGTTTTCATTAGTGTATAATCACCTGAAAACAGGAATCTTTATGTTTTTGTTAACCCTAGAATGAGCCTTTTTAGTGTACAGAGGGAGTCCACCATGTTTAACTGCCATGTTTCTACAGTAGCCAAGAACAGGCAAACCAAACACTGGCTGTAGATAGAGTTTTTTGTGAGTTTTACTTGGAAAAGTAGGGTGAGGCGAAGGTTTTGCAATCTGCAACTACAGTACTAGATGCCACTTAACCCTTTATAGGGCACTCATTGAAATACTTGGAAATTTAAAATTTCAACCCTGGAGTGTTATTGGTGCATATAAGAAGACATTTTTTCTGTTTTGATTTTTTTGAAAAAGTCAGTTTTTGTCTGAAAATCAAAGTCAATGATATCTACGTGGGCTGGCACAACAACAGTCTGTGGCACAGCAGGCCTCCTCTTCCCATAGAAGGACTGAGCAGACAGCTGCTGCAAAAGAAATATGCCACATCAATATACTATGAAAATATGTAATAAATAAGCCATAAGCAAATCAAGATCAAGCCCACTTTGAATTATTTGTGAAAGAAAGCCGTAACATTAAAGTGTATATTAGTATATCACCCATTAAAAAAAAACACCAAAATATGCCATAGAAGTGTATTTAAAACCGTCATAATGAAGTGACCATATATGGTTCCTCGCCCGATAAAGGGTTAAATAAATAAATGCTTATAAATGCTACACACTGGTCCACCACAACACCTAAGAGCAGCCTCACAGAGCCAGCATGGTTGTAGACTCTTAATCTGGTTTGATAATTTGTACACATTTTTCATTATGCCCCCTGCAGATCTGGTTGAACACTACATGCTTTTTTCATTGAAAGGTGGTGTCCATACATTCCTTCCTCTTTGGGTGAGACCCTGTGTGAATCACCACCAGGCAGAGAATCAGCAGTATCTAAAGAATATTAATGTAGTACGTTTTTCATTAAAAAAAGTCAAGTATGTTCTTATTCAACCATAGACTGCGTTGTTGAAACAGAACTGTGCACCGACTATACAAAAAAAAATTTCAACTATGCATCTCTACAAATCATAATGCATGGCTGCTGATGAGAAATAGATAGAGATAGAGAGAGATAGGTGATACCTGAGTGGCATGAACAACAAAAGCCCGGAAAGTGTGTGTCTGCTCATGTGTCATTTTTAGAAAATGAGGGCCCGTAGTTATGAAGAAAAACATCTCCAGTTCTAAAGTTATAAAGGCAAATAGGGTGGCCAATAAAAAAAAAACAAGGAGGGGCGATGTCAAAAGAGGAGGAATAAAAATAAGAGGTAAGAAGGGAGGGGCTGTTCCGAAAAATATATATCCACGACTTTTGTCTCACGACCAGTCTACACGCCTTCCATCCTACTGAAGCCGTCATCATTTACCAGCTTCAACATGAGAGGTGAGACAAGTTGCAACTACAGTGGCATAATATTTCATGAAGTAGATCAGGTTAGAAATATTGTGACTGATAATACAGATAATATGGTCAAAAATTGTATGTTAAGACAATTTTGGGAGTAAAGTATATTGGAGAAGAATTGTGCAACTTGTTTAATGGATGTTAAACTTTCTGTACACGTATCTCAAAATAAGAAAAATGAAAAAAAAAAGCAGATCATTGCCTGGGAAAAGCAAAGGCATCGAATGCAAAACTTTCTCTGGGTTTAGTGGTATATGCCTTTGCTCTTTCCCCCCCAGCTATTGTATTGCTGTGTCTGCTGCATGCAGCTTTTGGTCAGGATAATAGGTATGGGTGGAATGGACCTTCCAGCACCGTTGCACAGCCGAATCAAGACCGAAGCAGTGGTGAGAGATTGTCTATCCCTTTTGTCTATACATAGTCTGCACAAACTCATCTGCAACCTAATATATTAATGTGTGCACGTGTGTGTGTGTGTGTGTGTGTGTGTGCAGAGTGTCTTGCAGACCCGGCGTCATGCGGCTGCTGTCTGATGCAGAAACAGGTAGAGAGGATGGAGATGTTCTTTAACTATACCTATGCAGAAATGAAGAAGGAGATGACAAAAACAAAGGTGATCCTCGACAATATGAGAGGTGAGCGTTGACACGTCCATGACTCACAGAAACAATCAAAGTGTCTTAAAGCACAAAACTGATTCACTTCTTATCACTCTTGCTTGACTATTTCATCTTATCTGCTATTCCAGCCAGCCGCAGTGCCTTCTCTGTCGCCCTAAACAATAACATTAGTCTTACCTGCTTTGGACCCTTCACAACTGAAAGGTTCATCATCTACAAAAATGTCTTCATCAACCTGGGAAACAACTACAATGTACAGACCGGTGTTTTCACCGCTCCCCGCTCCGGTGTCTACAGCCTCTCCATCACTGTCTACAGCAGTTCTGTAAACTTACCGCTCCCCTGTGCCAATCTGCTGGTTAACAGCAAAATGGTGACTTCAGTCAAGGAACAAAATGGGCAGGATTCTGAAGACAGCGGCAGTGCTGTTTGGGCCATGAAACTGATGGCTGGTGACCAGGTGGCTGTTGTCCTGCCCCAAGGATGTGCCATCTGCGATGACAAAAACCACTATAACACTTTCACTGGCTTCCTGCTGTATGCTACTGACTAAGTTAGCAAATGTATCTGTTCTGGGCTTTGTACCAACTCCTGTCATATACTGACTTTGTTAGATGAAATCTTTCTGTGGTGACAGTCATTGTAGCCTCTAATCTCTATCTGATCTTTTGTACCATCGCCCATCCCAGCATGATGCTGCCATCCTTATTTTGTTTGTTTTATTCCATCATGGTTCAGATCATGTCCCATCAGTTACATTGATATTACCTTTCGAGGTAATCCATGTTTCTAATTCACAATGAAAGAATTTTTATGTCACACTGTTAGGGTATCTTGGTTGTAACAGCTGTTGATCTTGAAATACTGAAACAAAGTGATGTAAAGTTTGATAGAAACAGGAATTTTCACTTCACCTGAAACTTAATAAAATAAACCAGACTTTTAAACAAACTAGTTGGTATTCTGAGTTGCTTTGTTGCATCATCTCCATTAAAGAAACTGAAGATACAAAGATAGTATTGTTGGATGTTATTGTTGGCAAAGATATGTAATGGTTTTAAAATAACATTTATAATAAATAAAACTGATTTTCTCAACCACATAATATAGCAGTTTTACTGAAGCCCTTAAGTTATTGTTTTGAATACACTGTGTCACGACCTTACTCGTAGAAACTGATGATTATTTCAATTAAAGTGGGTGCAATATCACCAGACTGATGAAATACAATCCATAATAAATAAAGTGTGATGATAGTAACACACCTATTATTAAATTGTTTGGTTAAAGAATATCATCCAACATTAACTCAGATATATTGTGTACATAAAGTCTCTCATTCTGTACATAATTCTGGACACACAGCATAAAGCAGTGAAGAAGACAGTGTCAGGATGGAATGAGATGTGAGCTGTAACATACTGTATCTATCATATCTTTTGAACATGCCCCCCACCCACAAACATGGGCAGATCAGTGCACCCTTACCAGCGTATACACAGCAGCCGCCTGGAACGTAATTTGTGGCTTTCATCATGTCAAGAAAAAGTTATCGGCACAGAACATAACAATCATTTAAACACGGGTTGAGGCGCTGCATGATAGAGCACCTCAAACCGTGTCTGCTGATGAGGCGGCATGCACATTTTCCAGACAGACAGACAGGTGATACCTGGCTTGTAACCAACTACAAAGCCCTGAAAGGGTGTGTGTCTGCTCATGTGTGATTTAAGAAAGCGAGCACCTGATGAGGACGATAAAACGTCCCCAGATATACAGTTAAAAAGGCAAAATAGGGCAGACGATTAAAAAAAACTAAACTAGGAGGAGCGATGACAGAGGAGGAGGAATAAAACTGAGAGGTAACAAGGGAGGAGCTCTGAGAAAAATATATATCCATGACACTACCTCTACTGATCAGTCCATTACATCTTCCATCCTTCTGAAGCTATCAGTGTTGAGCGTCAACATGAGAGGTGAGATTCATTTACAGATGTAGCAATGGTTCTGATATACAACAATGGAATAATTCCTTCTTGGTTTAATGCTACATGTCTTTGATCTTTTCCCCCAGCTATTATATTGCTGTGTCTGCTGCATGCAGCTTTTGGTCAGCCACACTATGACTGGAATGGACCTGGCCATGGAGATCGGGTAACAGACCCCAACGCTAACAGTGGTGAGGAATTGTGGGTACCTGATCAATGTGTCTGCATATATTCTTATCTGCAAGTGTATTTATGTGTGTTTGTGTTCAGCATGTCAAACGGACCAGGGCTCTTGTGGCTGCTGTCTGATGCTGCGATCGATGAACAGCCTGAGGTCATACTTTAACACGAGCCTGAATGAGTTGGAGAAGGTGCACTCACAAACAGAGCAAAGTCTGAATAATATCAAAGGTAAGTGACGCATCCAAAGTTACACAAAGCAGTACAGAGGGTAGATCATAAAAGCACAACACTCATGCACACACACTTATACACACTAATAAGCACCAGTCTACTTTGAACACTTCTAACCCATTGTCTCCCCTTTTTATCTCCAGCCAGCCGCACTGCCTTCTCTGTCTCTCTATACAGTGATGATCGTTTTAAGTGTTTTGGCAACTTCGCTGGCAACAGACCTGTCATCTACTCACATGTCTTCATCAACCTGGGTGCTGCTTACAATACAAACACTGGTATCTTCACTGTTCCCCGCTCTGGTGTCTACAGCCTCGCCGTCACCTTGTACAGTGACGCTGGGGCTCCTGGTAACACCTTGGCCATCTGCGCTGCTCTGCAGGTTAACGGCAATGTGGTGGCTGCATCAAGAGACCAAAATAAGAATGACCAAGAGGACAGTAGCTCTATTCTCGTGGTCCTCCACCTGAAGGCTGGGGACCAGGTGTATGTCAACCTGTTCAGTGGATGTTTCCTCTGTGATGACAACAGCCACTTTAACACTTTCAGTGCCTTTCTGCTATATCTTACTGAATAATTTAGAAACTACTAACTCTTTCAAGCCCTTCTACCAAGGTTAGAATCTGTTAGAAGAAATCTTTATGTTGTGACTCATCTCAATCTGCTCTTTCTGAGGGAAGCTAGGTTTTGAATCAGTCACATCTGGATTCAACCCGTGCAAGTATCTTTGTTCTGTAACAGATTATTTTCCTATCTTGCTGAAATGATGTCATGTAACGCTTGAGAGAAATACATGAAAACAACCAGTCACCTGTAAAATTACAAGAAAATAAATCAGGACTTTAAACAAAGCAGTTGGCATTAGTTGATTTTGTTTCAGTTGAAGAGATGTGTAATGTCTACATTTCAGAAATATTATCCCCACTTTGCTGTCTTTTTTTGATACAGTTTTAACATTCGGGATGTTTGACCTAGTTTGGTATGACATTTTAATTTTAGTTCATAACACATATAACATTTAAATAAAGCACTTTATTCCCAGCTTTGGTTACTCTGTGTATGGACCTTTCTTACAAAATACCATGAAGTGAAATGAAAATGAAAACCATATCACCAGCCAGGTGAAGTAGAATTCCTAATAAACTGTGGTTTACAATACGATTACATTGATTATACATATATCAGTTAGACTGTCATTCTTTATAACATTGCCCACAATAAAAACACTGTAGACAATATTAAGCATCTACAGAACGTATGAAGCACATAAGTAAGTGAATAGGATATAACACGCAACAATTTTAATTAACCAAAATAAGGTCTTGGTTACATTTTGTTTATCCCAAAAAAAAATAAAATAAACATTTCTCAAAAATATCTGGGACATGTATTCAATTACATTTGCAAAATGTTCCAGTACACAATTTAAAACAGTGGAAACAAGTTGTTTATTTTCATCATTCAAGCCTTAAAAAAGTTGCCTATTACACATCTGACAGTAACAGAGCAACATTAGCATTTGGAGTCGTGTTTCTGGACACCTGATGATCGTAAGTCCACTCTTTATGCTCTGTTTTGGCCTCTACCAACTGTTGAGGCAAAGAGAACTCAACAGTGGCTGTCCACATTTTGAACTGCAGTTGTTCTGTAATTGAACTTCCCATTATTTCACTTCATTAATGTCTCAGAAAATCCTTTTATTAAGAGTTTTAAGCCTGTAATTAAGGATAACTAACTATAAAATTAATCGTGACCATAATACATTTGATTCGGAGCAAAGGTACATGACTGCACATGATTATTTTAAGAGTGAAGGAACTACTCATCACCTCAGGGACATGCACAGACCTTTTGAGGGGCTGTTGGTCTAACCTACAAAAACTCAGCACTAGTGTACCTCGAGCTACAATTTTTAGGCTGTAGACCGTGCCTTCTTTTAAACCTAATCCTGCTGCCCGTATGTTAGACAGCTAGCTAGATAGCTAAGACTGGTTCACATGATTGCATTATAGGCAATTTTGCGTGATGTAACGCAAACGTGACAAAATGTGCATTGTTCAGAAGCAAATGTGGAGATTTTTATTCCCAGTGCATCCCATTAGTTATATAATTCATTGTTAATTCCCAGAGCTTCAAAAAGCATAGGCCATTGCTTTGTTTCACCTTCTTTTGTTTGTTTGTTTTGATCCTGCAGAGGCATGCCTTTCAAAAAGTAATACAAATTTGGATTATATGGTGATTTAATCTGGTCTAACTTTAGCAATTATGGGCCACCTGTATTTATGCAGCAAAAATAAACGTAAAATAAAAAGTTTTTCCTTTTTTTCCAGAGAGACAACTGCACAATGCACTGATTCCACTCTCAGTATTATAGATTGGCCACACAATAGAAGTTACTAATAAGTTAATTTTTTTCATACGACTCCTCTAATCTGTCCATACAATGCTGATGAATACTAAGATCATCTTCAGTGCCTAACAAAGACAACAGTGTAGTAACTTCAATCTAAATGCAATATCAGTTTTGCTGTCATCTGTGTAAAGTATTAAGAAAAAGCCTCTTCAAATGCCTTGACATCTTCCTGTTCAAGCTATACGCCACTGTACAGCTAGTACTCCATGGTGGTCCTCCTTCCCGCATTGATGGAACCTATACCAGACTGAGGCTCAGCTTACCTCACACAGCTAGTCTGTGCAGACTTTGAGCACCCTCTGGCTCACTCCTGGTGCGAAGTTTCCCCAGTTCTCTCCTCACCTGAGCCATACTGATGAACACTCAGTATGGCATTGGAGTGGGGGTTAATGTTGGAGGTCGGGTTGTGGGTGCATTAGTGGTAGTTGGGGGGAGTTGGTTGAGGTGTGAATGAATCCAGACAGAACGGGGAGAGGTCAAGAAGGGCTTGTTTGGTTGTTGAGTAGAGTTGGGAGAGCTGGAGGGAGCAGAAGGAGAAGGGGGAAGGAGTGGACAGTCATTGGTGGAGCTGAAGCAAGAGAGACAATTGGCCCACGGAGTCAAATCTATTGAAGAACTGGTTCCACTTATTGGCCCTGTCCATACCTCCACCCACTTACGTGTCATTAGCTTGCTTGTAGCCATTAACCTTCCTCACACTGCTCCGTACCTCTCTTGTGCTGTTGTCCTGCAGGCTGTCCTCCATCTTCCACCTGTAGGTATCCCTGCTCTCCTTCAGCCTTACCTTGAGTGTCCTCTGCACCTGCTTTAGTTCTTCCTGGTCACCAGACCTGAAGGGTCTGTTATTTTTATTGAGGAGGGCCTTTAGTTCACTTGTAATCCAAGGCTTGAAAACACTGTACAGTATAGGTACAGTATTCTCCACACAGAAGTTAATGTAATCTGAGATGCAATGTAAAATATCCTCGACATCCTCCCCATGTGACTCACAGAGCCCAGCCCAGTCCATTGTTTCAATGCAGTCCTGCAGATCCTCATCAGCCTCCGGTGCCCGTCTCCTGACAGTCCCAGTGTTTACAGAGTGCTGCTCGACTACAGGGTCATACAGGGGTTTGAGGTGGATGATCATGGTGGAAAGCCGGCTCAGAGACGGTTTGGAATTATACAGTCTATTGTTAAAGAGCATCTTTGACCTGGGCATTTAGTCGGAGCACCTGCATGGACACTCAGCAGAGAAAAATAAAGAGAAGAAAGGAGTGTTCTTGCTTGCTGTTTAATCATAAGTCCTAAAGCACTAAAACAATCTAGATAGATAAATAACATTACAGGTGAGAGAAAAGATGTATTTGTGATTTTTGGGGTGAACTGTCCCTTTAACCTCCATTTTCAGTTTGAGGTCCTGGAGCCTCCGGGCCTTAGTAGCACCACTATGTATGTTTACATACTGTACATTTCTTTATCTGTGAATGAATTTTGACAAGGTACAATGTATATTTCTTTATGCATACCACGTACATATATAGAGGAAATAATTTCTTATTTGGTGCAATTTATATTTTGTATTTTGTCACCTTGGACAGAGGGAAGGTAAGACTTATAAGCAAGACAAGGCCACTTGCTAATATCTGGCTTCATCACATTTTCACCTCCATCTCAGAAAGCCAACCACTCACCATTATGCAGTAATTCAAAGCTCTGGTTTGAAATCACATCTGAGGTCAGGCTACAACGCAAGTCACTTTTATCTCATGTTGTCATGTGAATCATCTCAAGAACTGTCTGTTTTGAAGAGATGTGTGCAAAGCAGACATAGAAACACCTTATACTCCCTGGCCTCAATCAGATAAGACAATGTGAAGAACCAGGTCAGCTGATTTGGGACTCCATACACACAGGTGGCTGTCAAAAACGAACTGACAATGCACTGGCCCCAGGAGCCAAGTCAACTTTTAAAGTGACTTTCAACACAGGAAACACCCTGTTATCTAATAGGACTAGAGAGACAAAAAAGATAGTAACAAATAACTTCAGGTTACAAACAACCAGTGGAGATGACTGACAGCAGCAGCAGTTGTACACACAATTCAATTCAATTTCAATTCAATTTTATTTGTATAGCGCCAATTCATAACAGAAGTTATCTCAGGACACTTTTCAAATAGAGTAGGTCTAGACCGAACTCCTACACACAGCTGACTGTCATTCTGCTTTGAGCTATGTAGCCAGTAACACACCTGAGAAAACCTCCAGTGTTCTTATAGAGACTCATTATTGGATTTGTTCTTAATTTTTTATGTCAGGAGGCAGTTTTATGTCAAAATAGATTTACCAACAGCAAACCTAAAGTACACTCTTTATACTATTATACTACTTTTGTATTTGAAAATATTTCTGTTGGTCTTTTTTAAAATGCCACTGTAATATTTAGCGTTATTTAGCACTAATCATCACATTTTTAGATTTTCATATAAATATGTACCATATGAAAGAAAAAAATAGAACGTCTACAATTCCAGACTCCATTTGCTGATTATGATAATGTAATATATAAGTATATAATTTATTTGAGATTCTTTTGTCATTTGTAAGTTGACTGATTAGTTTTATGCCTAATAATGTTATTAATAAGACAAAGTCAACAAAGTGTACTTACACACTGGTGCTCTGAGCTAAATGCTAACCCTAACCCTAACATCAGGATGGCAACATGCTCACAATGACAGTGTGACATGCGGATGTTTACCATGTTCACCATCTTATTTTAGCTTGTTAAATAGCACCATTTATGTGTAAAAGAGCTGCATACAGCGCCACCACTCAGCCTTGCTGCCCAGTGGCCAACTGCACTATTGCACTGACAAGCAGGCATTTTCCCTACAACAAGAGACATCTGTAAAACTGATGGGAAACCTTCAAATGCATACGTTGCAAAGGTCTTTTATGAATTTGTAATCCATAAATCTTATTATATTTGTAAAACTTTTCCAGTGCCCAGAAATTATGATATTATTCCAATGTAAAGTCTTTGGGCAGAAACAAACAGAATCTACCTATAAGTGTCCTCCTTGAGTCTGGTATCCACTTCACATAATAGATCCACAGTTAACACAAAATACACTGAGGCAAAGGTCATTAGTTATGTCATTAGTTTTGTATGGTTTATTTGGCCATAAACCCAAACATTGGAAGTTAAAATTGTGACCCAATGGTGCTAAAGGGGATCACCAAAGTTACTACTTGAGGGGAACATGAATGTCTGCACCAAATTTCATGGTAATCCATCCCATAGCTGTTGAGATATTTCACTAAAAACCAAACATGTCAACCCAATGGTGCCACTAGAGGGAAAGAAAGATTCCAAATCTGGCCGACCAACATTGCCATGCAGAGTACCAAAGCTAGACTCTTTAACCATCATTGTCTAATTTTCCATCTAATCAATTTCTCAATTTATTTATTTTCGATAATGGAAAAAAGTTTCTCCATTAAAAAACGTCTCCAAAATAATAATAATGTTTTTTTTAAACATAGGAACATATAAGGCCTTTGCAGTAAGTAATATTTACAGACACTTCTACAGTCAGCAATCAAATGAATGTAGATCATCGAAAGACCCACAATCTCTAAATCAGGATGAAGGTGGTTCCTAGTTTCTTTGACTTTCTTTGAATCAAAGAAAAACAAGATAAGAGATGGCAACACCTGGTTGTTCCTGTTTATGGCTTTGGGATCTATTATTGAATAAATATTGGCCCACAGCACAAGATCATTTCATGAATATGGAGTCCGCTTCAGCCAAATAACTATCGCATATCTCAACCCACAACAAACCACAATCAATACATCTGGGTTTCCAACAATATCTGAAGGAAAAGTAATATTGGGAACACACAGTATCACTTCTCTCTCTCTTCTTTCTCCGCATGAGAACCAGGTGACACTGTATATTGTTCTCAGATCCAGGCCTTTATCGATGGGCTGATAAAGACTTCCTATCAGCTTCTTTTGTCCTCTTGTCCATAGATTAGTATATCCTCAGGGATCTGACAACAATGTTCTCCATATCAGCGTTTCTGAGGAGTTGGTGTCCCTTAGAAAGATGGCAACCAGACACCGCTGTCCTAATAAGGACTATTATTGTCCCAACAATAAGGTGCAACAAGATCAATTCTTGTCCTTTCTATAACATTGTATTACTGGGGATGTATGTGGCTCTCTTTGTGAAAAGAATTGGAGTGTCAGTGTTTGGCTGTGAAATCTGTATGTGTGTGTGTGTGTGTGTGTGTGTGTGTGTGTGTGTGTGTGTGTGTGTGTGTGTGTGTGTGTGTGTGTGTGTGTGTGTGTTTGTGTGTGAGGAGGTGGAGCTTCTGTCATTTACCGCCTTAAGGGGAGGATCACCTGAAGTGCATCAATAAGACACTAAAACCATTCTCTGCTTAAAACTCTCACTCTCATTTTCACAAACTCACAAGAACTTCACATTTCAGAACAAGGAGGAACAAAAAACAGTAAGTTCTATGTTTCTATCCTTACACATTAAATCTATTTATCACAGAAAAACATCACATCCAATATTGGTCACTATGGCTGTCAACTGATGCAATTGCTTTGATAAAGACTGTGACTAGTTTTAGTCTTCTCTTAAATACTTTTCATTAATTATTCAATTATTGGGTATGATGATTGAGTGATCTGGGGTTTAGTGACACAAAAACAGATTGGGTTTGACAAATATCTGTTACTTTTGGATTATTTTAACTTTATATCAATGACTCTACTGTTCTATGTAATAAAATAAGCCTGCATTCGAATTCCTGACCACTAGGTGGCTAAAAGACTAAAAAAAAAAAAATTGACTTGTAAAATTGTTAGCAAGTAAATGCCTACTTACACACCTGGCAGACAGAATAATAAGAGCATGTTCTTTGTTGTCATTGATTCTGCAATTTGTAGGTCAAATGTTGTCTAGACATAGAGATTAAAACTGGGCTAATTTTGTAGGTTACATAAACCGTCAGCACTTAAGGGAATATAACATTATTTTGATGTGAAGAAGGTTAGTTATACACAGGAAAACATTGAAATACTGTTGAACCAGAGACCAGATATGCCTTGCAGATCAATAACCTTACACAGAAGCATTTCAATATAAATAAATAGTCAATATAAATATCAAAAAGTCATGCAGATCTAAACAGATTTAATTCTGTATTCTGTAAACTGCCAGAATGTCATTAATTATGACCTAGTGTGGTCCAACAAGTCCTATCAGAGATGCATAATTACTGACTGGAATTTAGAAACTGTAAGAGATTTAAATGTAATGTAAATATTTTTTCAGATGTTTGTATTATCAGTTTTGTTCCTGTTGGGGACGCTGTTTCCCTGTGGTCATGTGGAGGCCCAATCCACCACCATTCAGTTTCTGAAAGAGGCCGCATGTAAGACACATTTTATCCCTTTCATCCAGCACTCATCTCATACACACCTCTGCCCTTTATTTTGTCCCTCACATAGCCATCTCCCCTTCCCCTCTTCTCTTTTTCCTTTCTGACCATCCTTCCATCCTATTTCAGTGAAATGGACAGGGACTCTGACCTGCGACCCGTGGGACTGCAATTGTACTTTCACTAAACAGCGTGGCTGCTGCTGTGCAGCCAATGAAATGTACCAAATAGAACAGGATACCTTCATAAGGATTAAACATCTGTGGTACTCTATCAGCACACTGAATAGCAGAGTACAGGAGGTCACAGGTAAACAGTGATGGATGGTAGATTTAGACCCACAGATCTGGCAATTCAGACATAACAAATCTTTGTGAGCTTTCTTGTACTGTACAATAAACTCATCTCTCTTATTCTCAGCCGGTGCCAAGGTTTCCTTCAAAGCCAACATGGACCCAAATATTGCCATCGCAATTCCTGGATCTAATGAGCGTTGCTTTGGTCCTTTCAACACTAATGTGCCAATCCCCTATGCAATTGTCAGTCTTAATGATGGTTATGGATATAACCCTTCCTTGGGTAGGAAACACACACGCACAAAAGGAATAAAATGACTTTACCCACCATTTTTAATTAAAGTCTCATGTACCACATACACCACTGCAGTTCCACTAACTCTTCACCTCCGTCTCCAGGTGTCTTCACTGCCCCATGTGCTGGTGTTTATCTCTTTTCCTTCACAGTCTACTCATACGTGTCAAAAGGGGAGCGCCTCTACCATAAAGTAAACCGTTAGATTTGATAAATATCTGATTTCTGAATACATTTAGCTGGTTTACGCCCATACTGTAGCAGAAGAAACTCAAATGTCTCTTAATTTTGTGTTTTGTTATATCCGTAGGTTCAGCTGATGAAGAATGGGATGATGGTGGTCAGCGTGTGGGAGAACAATCGAGAGGATGGTGAAGACAGTGGCACTCAGGTAATAAGTTTATCTGATTGTTTAACAAGAACAAAGTGATATGAAATAGTTGCTAGAATAAAGCTAGAGTTAAAAAAATACAAATTAGATCTATTTCCTTGTGACTTTGACATGATTTTGTAATGTCTAAGTGAGACACGACACTGTTTACTGTGTATGCTTTCAGGTTGTGCAGCTGGAGATGAAGAAGGGTGATCAGGTCTACACGGAGCTGATGTCTGGGAGGAAGCTCTGTAACGAACTGCAGTACAATATCTTTACTGGTTACATCCTGTACCCCCATATCAATGAGTAACACATCAGCTGGAGATCCGGGCAACTTAAACTCTCTGACTCCAGGACCTTTTATGAATCCATTTATCCTCATTCAACTGAGATCCTAATCGATGAAAATAAATTAGTGTTCTTTGTCTCATGTTGACCCACCAGATGTAGGTTTGTGACCTATCATGGGACAAGACCCATAGTTTAAGAACCCCTGCAGTAGAGATAAACAAGATAAGTCGTATACACATAGACATGTGTATGCAGGCATTTAAACACAAAAGAAGGTGACACTTATATTTTTGCATTGCATTTTCAAGTTTGAAAATATTTGCATAATTAAAAAACATTATGAGCACGCATGTGAATAAACTACCATGACTACAATGACTGTGTCTGTGTACAGGTATGAAACTGTTTTGATTTGGACATAAATGTGTTTTTTTTTGACAGGTGATGTTACTTTATTTTCAAATTTGGTATGTATTTTAGCTTTACACACACAGAGAGAGACACACATAGACCATGAATGGAAATAGGTAGCAGTCAGAGGCTCTGATATCATTAAGGAATGATGACAGTGGGTCATAACACTGCTGCTGCTAGCATTTGGCCTATGACAGTATTGTATAATACTGTAAACAAGTGCCTTTCATGGTAGATCATGAACCACAGCCAGACTAAGTAAATTCCTTCAGTTGAATAAACACATGATGTAGGAGCAGCTTACACACATGCACACATTTTCACACACAAACAGGCACACACACACTATGGGAGTTTAGACATACCAGTCATTCCAGTAGGAATCTTCTGTGAGGTAGCAGCAAGGACTGGCCATCAGATAGCTTGTAGTTTGTACACTTTGGTTTTTGTCTGTATTAAAAAAAAGTGAGATGCCATCTAATCTGTTTCCTTGTTTCCAGTATTCATGCTAAGCTAACATCTGCTTGCTGTAACCTTATAAAGGACAGACAAATATGAGATTTGTATTAATCTTCCCATCAGACAATCACCAAGGAAGTGAATGACCATATTTATTCCAAAATATTATTTTCCCAGCATGTTGACCTGGGTTACTGGAGGGCAGGCGGGAGTGGCGAAACAAAAGGAGACTTAGTACATGACAGGGAGAAAACCAGACAGGGTGAAATGTGAGACTGGGAATTGGCTTTGTGAAAAAATCTGTGTGAACTTTTTCTGTATTATACCAAGACTACGATCTTTCCCTAAAATGAATCCAGTGCTCTGAGTTCCCAAACATAATCATAAAAAGTTTGATAATGCATGTTTTACTGCGAGAAAACGTATTGCAAGATTGCATATTATGGCAGAAAAATGAAAACATCAATGACATTATACTATATAATAAAAAAACAATAAGAAATCTTCAATCTCCCTTCTAAACAAAATTGCTGCTGCAAATTAGTTGTATATGAATGCAATTTAGGGGAGACAGGGTTGAAATGCCTAGGTATAACAATGTGAATTGTACTCATATATATGTTTCTGTTTTCATTTAGGCATTTCAAATCTTCCATAGTGTTCCTCAGAGTCAACTATCAAAGGAAAGTCAATCACACAAATACTCACCCAATAAAACACAAGAGAATGTGTACAACAACATCTGGCTCTGTTCTAGTTACAGCTGATCCAAGCAGGATTTAATGAGAAGACCACAGCCATATGGCAGCTAATATCACAGAACCAAAAATGGAAAATCGATTCTAAAAACATTTGTGACATTGGCATGTTTTTTTCTTAACCCTTCAGACCCTGTGTCCATTACAATGGACGTCACTTGACAGGGGCTTCTTTTTTACTTTATCTATTTAGGTTTCCATTCAAGCAGGATGTGCTGCACTGGAGCTGCCAGATGTCTAGCATTATGTGTTGAGTATTTAATATAACAAAGGAATAATTCTGACCTCTAAGCTTTTTTTTAAAGAGATAAATGTTTAGTGGGTACTCAAAATGATATATCAGTTTCAGTGTGTATGTTATTGCTAACCAGTGATTGAGAATCTGGTCTGTTGCTGCTTCGTCTATATGAATCCCACATATTAGTTGAGGTAAGGGTGGTTTCATATGAGATTTTCATCCTGAGTGTGATCTATCGCCAGACTTTCCACTGAGGGAGTGAAGCCAGCTGCAGTTATACGCATACGTTCAACACCTCTTATATTCAATCAGGAGGATTGTGCCAAAAAGTGTCTGTAATGGAAATGGAAGTGATGGAAATGTCATGAGTGGTGGTGTCGGGGTATATGTGAACACACACACACACACACACACACACACACACACACACACTGGGTGCAGCTGCTAACCCAGGACTTACATGGAGTTCTCTGCCTGAATGATGATGAGTCTTTTACTCCTCCTTACTCCCATCCATTTCTGTCTCTCCCCCTCTCTCTTCTCCTTCTTCCTCTCTTCCTTCATCCTCTTTACTCCTCTCCTCTCCTCCTTCCCCCTCTCCTCTCCTTCCTCTCTCCTTACATCCTCTCCTTTCCTCTTTCACGTGTTCCTCTCCTCTCCTTCTTCATCCTCTTTTTCTTCATCCTCTCCACTCTTCCTACATCTTCTCCACTCATCTCCCTCTTACTCTCCTCTCCTTCCTTTATTTTTCATCATATCCTCCTCGTGCAAAAAAGTGGAAGTCAATTTTGACACTGCTGCTTCCCTACAACGGGACAGGACCAAAACCTTAATTCTCTTTTCCACACCCAGTGTCTTTTCCTTTATTTTCTTTAAGTCCCATCTCTTCTTTCTGCATCTCTGCTCCTCCCTCTCTCCCTTTCTGTCAGCCCAATCCTCTCTCTCACCATCTTGCTGCCACTTTGAACAGGGAGGGATGTGGTGAAAGTATTTGGAGAATTCCTGCTGACCAAACCAACGCTGCCTGGCTGCTGTCTCTCCTCTACAGGGAACAGCTCTACCCAAATAAGGCTGGGCTTTTAAACTAGACGTGAGGGGAAGAGACGCGCAGACAGGGAGAGGGAGCTGCTGAAAGGCCAGTGCCCTTTTAAGGATGAAGTTTCCTTTTTTTCCTTCCCTACTCTCCCTCCTATTTCTCCGTCATGCTCCCTCCTTCCTCCTCCCTCCCTCCCTCTCTCTCCCTCTGTAGACTAAAGTGAAGTCATCTTGCCTCATCTGCTCCTTTTAAGCCGGCATTTTTGAGAGGGAGGTCCCTGCGAGGCATATACAAACACTCAGTCAAGCGTCCACACTCACCCCACACACTGCACTAGTAGCCAGCAGAGAACTGACCTATTCCTTCACACAGTGAGTATACTTTACTTTTATTCCTCTAGATATGATACAGCTCCTGAACTGGATTTGGGACAGTTAATCCCAAAGAAGTGGCAGGTGGCTTCTCAAGAGGGCCATCACTTTATAGATCCTTCATTCGTCAGTCATGTTGAGGCCTTCCTAGCCTCTTATAGAAAAAAATATGTATATGTGTCCTTCATCTCCTACGTTTCACTATAAGGTTACAATAGCAGAAGTAAGAGAAATGTAGTCATTCAAAGGTCCAATGATGCAGATATATACACAGATACACACTGAGATGCATCTGCACTTCACCATGAGTTAAAAAGTTGCTGTAACATGAGAATATTTAAGATTTCCTTTCTGTTGATTATGTGAGTATCTTTTGTTTGAGTTATATCACATCCTGTGTGGGTGATTATGTTTGTAAGAATGTGATCAATCAGGTGTTATTCACTTCTTCAACATAATAATCATCTGTTAAAACCTGCTGTTTTGATATGGAGTCTGGCCAAATGCAAGCCGGCTGCTTTTCATTTGGATTTTCCACAATAACCGAATTGTGACAGAGGATTGTCTCATTGCAAATGGACTCACTGTTTATCCTTTATGTGATTCAGATGTTATTTAATACATTTTCCATGTGAAGCCTGGAGAGGAGAAGCACAGAGGTGAGCCAGACGATGTTGCATATCTCTGTCAGTGTGCTTACTTTTATTTGCACAAGCAAATGATCCACTGCCATACATGGGCTTTGGAAGCATGAGAGGTAGTCATACTTAATGATGACAGAGATGCAGATAAACACATTTAAACTCCAAACTTTCATTGTGAACAGGGATGTTTCATAACAGAAAACATATGTGATATCTTAAAGCTTGCTGTGATGTTTAGACTGAAGATCACAAGTGAATTATGAAAGATGGCAGCACACCCAGTGATTCCAGTAAAACCAGGCTGGCAGTAACAGAAGGGAAGTACCAGTGGGAGCAGCAGCAGCAGCAGCAGAGGCAGATAACACTATCTCTACTGCCAATCCTGTGGCAGCACATAAACACAGCAGAACACAGTAGTACATAAAGCCAGGAACTAACCACATCCGTGTAACAGTGCAGGGGCTCTAGCAATGAGCTGAATTGGACGGCACTATCTACACTTCAGAAATACATCAGTTGAGACACACAGCAGTTATAAAGTTTGTCAGAATAATCAGAACCATGAAGCGTCTTGGCAGCTGTTTCACAAAATTCTTTCAGTGCTCATAAAAGTCCGGCAAGCTCAGACTAAAGCAGCAGATTTCTGTGCAACTGGCATAAGACAGAGCCATGTAACAAAAGAGCTCTGACTGTGAGGGTGTAGTTAACCTATAGAACATCGGCTAGCAGTAAGAGCATCGTTCAACCAGATGACTCCCCTGACACCAACATAACTAATGTCTAACAGCTCTATACTGAAGGATAAAATTGGTTAACATTTTATTTGGATAGTCTGCATACAGATAGTTTAAAGAGTATTAGTAACATTTCAGCAGTTTATTAGTTGAGATTCAACAACTTATATTACACCACTGTGGCTAAGGTTTGGTATGTTCATGTTGCAGGGGCATGTCCAGAGGGGGAGTCTGGTGAAGCACTGGCCACCCCTGAAATCTGATTGGCCACCCCAAGTGCCACTTCATTATCTTTACCTCTTCCACTGTCCACTGTAGTGGGCTCCGTTTTAAAGCTAGAGAGATGAAACTAGACATGTTCATGGTACCAACAATGTCAGGCTACCATGTTGAGAAGGGGGCTAAATCATGCTCCAAAGGGCTAAATTAGGCAAAATTATGGCAATGGAAAAACTGGCATGACATTTTCACTAACAAGCAGACATGCCCATTTTATGCAAACCCTTGTAGTTTTTGGGCAAAAATGCATATGGTATATATGTGTTATTTTTTGCCAGTGAATTTGAATATTTCTGCATACTTGGGTCCCTAAACAGCATTAGAATCATATAAATTGGGAATATATATAAAGCTGAGATGCATATTTCATGCCACCCCTGCATAAATCAGTGCCCTACTTGTGCCACCCCAGTCAAAAAAGTCTGGAAAGGCCCCTGCTTTGTAGCGAAGCAGTGGAAATGTTACACATACTTTTTAAATTATTTGTAGGCAGGCTATCCAAAAAAAGCATTACCAAAAATTGTTACAGTGACTGTTAACTGAACAAGTCCCCGTCAGTTTCCTACCAAATCATTATGTGGTGGTTAGCTGGTTAACTGTAGAGGAAGCAAGGCCACATGACGGCATGTCCCCTCAGGCTGCCACAGTTGCCACAGCCCTCACACTGGTTTCCTGTCCTGGCATTAGGCAGGTTTACCATGGTAATGGAGAAACAGAGCAGGAAAAACACAACTGGATCTCTGGAGAGATGGATGGAGGGAGGAACAGAGGTGATGAAGTCATGTTTGTGGGAAACAGACTTTTGAAAGGAGGCCTTTAGGCTTTACTTTACTTTAAGTCTGTGGTTTTATCCTATTTTTGATTCCCTGTAGTAACTATTGTTGCAGCAGCAAAAGTTGATTCAGCAGAGGTGGCTTTTGAACTACCAATACCAGTAATAGTTGTACTAGCAGCAGCAGTACTTTTACCACTGCAAAAATAATTTTAGTAATGGTATGATATGTTTCAGAATTCAATGTAGCATCCCTTGCTTGATACTAAAATGCAGTTTTACAGAGAGTTTGTTACAGAGTGTGTTTATGTTACAGTATACGTCAAGTAAACACTACTTTAAATACTCAAGGAGAAGCAGCCAGATAGCACAGAAGCTTGTTTAGCAGATCGTCCTGAGATATTGGACCTGGGCCGGATCCCAAGTAAAACACGCAGGTCCCAGGATACACATAAATACCAGAAATAGAGACCAGGACCTAATGGACTTATTTAACCTCCAAAAATATTATGTGATCTTTGAATGGTTGTCATGCAGTGCACACATACAGACTGATACAGGACAGAACTTGCTTCTCTTCTCTTTTTTTCTCTTCTCTTCTCTTTTTTTCTCTTCTTTTCTCTTTTCATCTCTTCTCTTCTCTTCTCTTTACAAGACACAAGAAGGCATTGAGTGCACAATGTGGTGAACATAACTTCTATTTCTTTCCCTACAAAAAGTGCAGTGTGTATGATTTGCAATTGTGGTCCAGAGAGTAGTTTATGAGGCTAAGAACTAGAGGCCAATGGAAAAAGAAGAAAAGTTAACGGCATACCAGACAAACATTACTCTATAATAATGATTATATAATGACGCATATCAGTGAGAATAACAAAGAGTATGAGTGTGTGTGTATGTGTGTGTGTGTGTGTGTGTGTGTGTGTGTGTGTGTGTGTGTGTGTGTCTGCGTGCCAGAGAGAGAGAAAGGCAGACAGACAAAGATAAAATATAGTATCTGAACTTGTGGTTGTATGTAAGTGAGCGTGTTGCCCAGCATGTGTGTTTGGTTCCTTGCGGTCTGGACAAGCACCACAGGGAATGCAAAGAATATTAAACAGGGTTGGTGGTAACACTCTGCGGACACTCTGGGCAGGGATCCATTAATGCCGTTGGCACACAGACTCTAATATGCAGACATGCAGTATATCTTTTTGCAGTGGTGGAACAAGTTTATAAATGCTTCATTTAGCATTACAAAAAAATACTTCCCTTAAGAGCAGCTATTTTATATTATATAATGTTTTTATTATAACAATGGACACAAACTCCAAACAGATAAATTCATGCTAGTAAGTTCGCCATATCATCTTTAAAAGGTCAGAATATGCCAGCATTGTGTTCACACCTTGTTTCAGCTGTCATATTGCAGGTTTAAGAGTGTTTTCTGTATCTACAGTTTAGGGGATTTTCATGACCTCAGATCAGTCTAAGACAAAAAGGATGGAAAGGGGAAAGGAAGGTAGGATGCAAGGGAGCAAAAAAAGAAGGACAGAAAAAGAAAGAATAGAAAGAGAGATAGAATAACTTCTAGTATTAGCCAAATACTAGTACTAGTTACTGTCCCTGTCCGTCTATTAGCTTGTATATTGTAATATGACAAATTAACTTGAAACACAAAAAGTCAGTCCAGTCTTGGCCGATCGTGACATTCTGTCACTTGCAATAAAAACTACAACCAGTTGGAAAAATCCAGTGACCAATGGAAAAAGACTCCATACACTTAACAATACACAATAGGGTTGTGTATTGTTCACAAACAGAAGTTTATTGTTGCCCTTGATAACAACATTCCCCATCCTGTGCCAGAGATGAGCCTCCTCCAGTCAACTCCTGGGTTTGACCTTTAACATTTGAACTTTGAACCTCCCCAGGAAAAGGAAGTTGAAGTGACCTGACATCAAGATGGCAGCAAAGGTTGGATGGTGCAGACAGCACTTTGATATGGGTTTCGCACTTGGCTGTTGGCCCAAAGGCAATACAGAAGCATAAGGCAAAAAAAAGTGCTGGCAATGATCTATGTGCTGACAGAGGCGAGGAGGGAGAGAGAGAGAGAAAGTGTGTGTGTCTGTTTAAGGAAAAATTATGCAAAAAAAAAAAAAATCAGCTGGCTAATATAGAGCTCCCATTGTACACCACTTTGCCTCGGACACAGGTACTGATAGGGCTCAATGGTGTGCATTAGGAGACAGCGCTGTTAATGCCACTGTTCTGAGAAAGGTATTTCAATTAAGTGCTGAGCATTTACGCTTATATACACGCTTTTGACCTGCATGTCCTCAATGTTTGTATTGGTGTATGTACAGTATAAAGATATGTAAATAATGTTGGTGTGTGTGTGTATTTAGTAAATATTCCTTCCTAGATTATTCACATAGCTATGCATGTTTGTGCATACAGGCTACATCCAAATACTACTGCATTGTGATGTGAGTGTTGGATATTGTTTGTATTGCCTAAAACAACCATTTCGGACTTAAAGGTAGTAATACTGGGATTTTAACACACAAAATAATAGTTTAAAAACTCTGTATGTTGCCATGAACATACACACTGCTGTAAATTGTCAAGATAGGAGGAAGGATGAAGGAAGAGTGATACTGGTGAAAACCACGTATTATCACATATACTTAGATTTCATTCTCAGTCCAGAGATCATTTTTTACAACTTGTTTTCTTTGACTCTACTTTGCATCTCTGTGTCTCCTTACCCACACTGCCGTGCTCACCCATCTCCCTTCACTGTCCATCTTCTCTATCCACCTCTCTTACTTATATCTTCCCCCTCCCTCCATTTCACGCTCACCTTTCAGGGAGCTGGCATGGCTAACAAAGGACCGTCCTACGGCATGAGCCGGCAGGTTCAGGATAAGATCGACAGCAAGTATGACCCTGAGCTGGAGCAGATTCTGGTGGAGTGGATCAGCCGTCAGTGTGGCTCTGGAGTGGGAAGGCCAGAGCCAGGCAAAATGGGATTCCAGACCTGGCTGAAAGACGGATGTGTAAGTGCAAAGCATCAGTTTGATCACTTGTTTTTTCAAGCTGTTATGACGTCCTAAGGTTAATTATCTTTACTTCCATGTTTCCCCTTCCTTAACTTCTCTTCCACCATCCCTCACTCCATCTTGTCTCCCCAGGTTCTGAGCGAACTGATTAACAGTCTGTATTCAGGAGACAAACCTGTGAAGAAGATCCAGAGCTCATCCATGGCCTTCAAACAGATGGAGCAGATCTCACAGTTCCTCAACGCTGCCGAGAAGTACGGTGTCACCAAGACTGACATGTTCCAGACCGTGGACCTTTGGGAAGGTCAGAGGGGTCTCATGGTGTTCATTCCTCAGTTACTGCAAACCTTACAGTGCACAGGAAGTGAAACATCATAATGTGACTGATGCAAGGTTTAATAATGATAGCTGTATGTGTGTTTGTTGGGACAGGTAAGGACCTGGCGGCGGTGCAGAGGACCCTGTCTGCTCTGGGTAGCTTGGCCGTCACTAAGGATGAAGGCACATACAATGGAGACCCTAACTGGTTCTTCAAGTGAGTCCATTATTGGAAACTATTTTATCTAACTGACTTCTGACTAGGAATTTAGTCTTAATCATTTAGTGACATTTTCAATAATTCTTTGCAGGAAAGCACAGGAGAACAAGCGAGACTTCAGCGATGACCAGCTGAAGGCGGGCAAAAATGTGATTGGCCTACAGATGGGGTCCAATAAGGGAGCCAGTCAGGAGGGCATGAGCTACGGAAGACCCCGACAGATCCTGTAAAATCACTGTGCCACACATACCCAAAACCTCTTCAGCCCCTTACACCTCCTTAGAGCCCGTATCCGGTCCACTACAACCTAAAACCTTTTCTGCTTTAGAATTTAGTTACTTTCTAACAAGTGCCCCCTACTTCCTTGGTCCCAGAATCCCTTATGTAGATGCTTACGCTGGTGACTATTGCAGAGCTCACCATGCTTAGTCCTCCCCACTGCAGATAGGACCAGTACAACTGAATGTTTGGAGTCTTAAACCAAAATTGTAACCATAAAAATGACCAATGCATTGCCTTGGAGGCAAAAACACCAAAATGACCGTGTGCCAAAGTTGCCTGCTCCTTCCTTCTACTTCTTCTACGTTTAAGAAATGGCACTCATATTACAGATAACTGACCAGTTTCATCTGCCACTTCCCACAATGCTACGCCTGCTGTATCAGCGCCAATATTTTTGTACATTGTCTTATTAAATAATGACTTTAAAATACATGTCTGAATTGACTTTGTGATTCTGGGTACCTCAATTTGATCATCCTGGGAAATTTGGGAATCAGGAAAAATATCATTATAGACTTGATAGTTCCTTTATACCTATATTATATACTCAAATGCCTCTTTAGGGCATTAGAAAAATAGTTGGGACAGAATCCATAGTCCTGTGTGGACAAATGCATCTCTTTCATTAGAGTTGCACTGAGAAGGGACCTCTTCACAGACAGGAACAACTACAGCGAGCAGTAACTCTTTTGATGTACATATGGAAACGTTACCATAGATTTAACACAGACTTCCAAAAAAAAGCATCATCTGGACAATTTCTCCCTCCTGGCAGTTCAAGTTTGCAGGTTTGGAGCTTTTACATCTGAAAGGTGGCACACGTGCACGTGTTTCAAAAATGTTATAGTTAGTCTTAATGCATTTTTGCTGTTTTAAATTAGTTGTAGTTGGTTATAGTTTTTAGCCATGCTATTGGCTTGGTTTTGGAAATTAATATGTTGCTATTTAGTTGCTAATACTTTTAATGTTTATGTCCAAATACCTGCAGATCTAATGAGAGTCCAATCGACTTCAGCTGTACTACAATTAATTAATGTGAGCATGCTAACAGGATAAACTAAAATGGTGACAATGGTAAACATCACCAGCTTAGCATCATCATGCTAAAATCATCAGATTATCATAGTCATTAGTTAGTATTAGTTTGCATGCTAACGATAGCTTTTAGCCCAAAGCATCACTGTGCCTATGTACAAGCAGTCTTGTTAAACTCCTGTGGGTTTTACAAACTTCTTCTGCCATTTTTATCACTTAAAGGTACATTTCTTGCTACAACACACTGAAACCTCTATTTTCACACAACTGTAATTATGTAATAATGACACAATAGCATGAGTATGACTGATTCTGTAAGTGGGATTTTGTGTGCATCTGTGCTAAAAGAACCATCTAAGAAGATATTACGTCAGTCTTTTATTTTCATCCAGATCACCTGTGACTTGCACAGCAAAACACAGTTTCCAACTTCACTCCTTTACATAAAAAAATTAGAACTCTTTAATACATTCTTAAAAACATCTTGTATAAATCATTAAACAGAGCTGATATAATCTGTACAGCAGGCACACACTGAGTATATATTACACTTCATTAAAAAAATACATATATAAATCCCAAACTTGAAAATCCCACTTCAAGTATTGATCAGTAGTTGGTTGATAACCCACAGATAATAACCCCAGACTTAACAGTAAAATGCATCAAATAACACCTCAAAAATAAATCAGATTCTTAAAAACATCAGTTTGTCTTGGAACCTCAAATATGAGGACACGTTTTCAAGGAAGACCTTGCATATTGCACATCCACTCACGTCACAACACACATCCACACACACACCCACACCCACACACACACACACACACACACACACAGCAAATCCATACCTTCCTGTAGTTTTATCTTTCTCTTGGTTTAAGTACCTCACAGGTGTTTGAATATGTATCCCACAATCTCTAAGCTCAGTTCTTTTCTGGGTAAACATTTACATACAGACAAGCCTGTATACACACGTTCACACATGCAAACATGCAACTGTACTAGGACATTAAACCCTGTTAGGTCCCTTTCCAGTACATGCTCGAACCTAACCATAATCCTGATGGGAAATGGCGCCCTGGAACAAACAAAACATCCTCACTCACAGATTTTGGTGATTTGTTTTCTCTACTTATGAGGACATTTGAGGGCCTGATGTACATAAACACACAGATTTTCATAAAAGGCCACGTGTTTGGGTCTGCAGACACAGACAAAGAGTCTGCTCTTCAGTCAAGTCCATCTGCAGTCCACAATGTGACCCCCAACCACCACACCTAAGGTTGACTGGAGGCTGGGTGGGTGGGGAGGAGAGGGCTAAAGCCTGAGACGTCTCATGAGTACAGACAGTGAGAGGTTTTATACCCATCACTTGGCTCAGTACTATGTTCCCGGCCGCTCTCCATTTAAAAGCGCCACTTTGGCCTCTGAGTCCAGCACTGCATGCAACTCCAGCCCTGAGTCCCACTCGTCTTCCACCCCGAGCTCCTCCTCTACCGACACCTCTTCCACTTCTCTGCCTCGGCGCCCCCTCCTGGCCCGGTGACCTTCCCGTCTCCTGCGCAGGCAGAGGAGGCCCCTGAGGTCCAGGTGGGCCAGTGTGACCTCAAGTGTATAGTAGAGAGACCAGAAAAGAGCAAAGCAGCCCAGCAACAGGAGGAACTGGAGTGGAGGACAAAGGAGAGAGAAAGAGGAGGTAAATCCCAACGGCAGAGCCACAGGGTTCTCTAACTCACTGATAGATGCATGTGTGGATGACAAAAAGCATGAATGAGCATAAGAATGGCTACAAAGAAGGGAAAATGAGAGTGAAATAGTGATAGAAAACAGGTTGACAAAGTTTAAGCACTATGAACTTATTATTCCTTCATGGTTTGGTTGAAAGAATAATTTGGAGAATATTCCTTTTTAACCAGACTTGTATAAATGTTTTTTTTCATGTCTTATAAAGACAGTTAGTGGGATGAGATTAGCTTAGTTTGGATCTATTAGTGGATGTCTACAGGACCTATTAGCATCTTTGCTAAAAGATTATTTAACTTTTTTTTGCATTTTGGAAATATTACATTTAACATTTTAACTTCACTTTTAAGCCAGTAATCACTGTCAAATGTTAGTTTTTCACCTTCATTCAGGTAGTGAATCTGTTTTTTCACCACAAATTTTTGGGTTAAAATGTCAGGTCAAATATTGGTCATATGGCTATACATAAATATCTAGGGTTCAGGTCTGCCAGTCTTCATGAAACAGGTATAACTTGAATGCAGCCTGAGATGAAGTGTTGCTGAGGCTTAACTCAGAATAGGTACTTGTCCTCAATAGATAGATAAGATACTGTATGTTTCAGAAACAGCAATTCTAAAGTGGTCAGTTGTCTGTTCCTGTGAAAACATTTGTTTAAAAAGTTATGATGTTTTCTGATTTCAGAAAATGCATCAAATTCCATACCGTCCCTGTGGGGAATAAAACTCTTTTAAGTTAGTGAATTCCTTTGAATCTGAAAGAGTGAAAAGAAAATGGTCCTGGCCTCTCTGGGTCTGAGAGAAGATAAGACAGACAAACATGTGGTGTTGGTTCTGGACTGTGCACAGTTTACCTTGAGGCTGTTGGAGGTGAAGGGGCTGACGATCTCTGGAGGGATGTCCAGGCCTGGGGGGCAGGGCAGAGAGAAACTGCTGTCCAGATACTTGCCACTCATAGCCTCCTCCACCAGCCTGTCAATCAATGCACAGCCAATCAGCAAGCAGAACATCTTCGTATCTTTCATGTCAGTAAAAACACTGAGCTAATCTTTCATTCACTGGATTCAGGTTAGAAGTACTAGATATGATTCATTGAGTAAGACACAAGAAAATGGAAGCTTATACGTTAAAGACACAACAACAATTATATGCAACATATAATTAAAACTGGAATGAAAACCACAAAAGTCCAGGAAAAACAGCCCTAATGCACCAGGAAGGGAACAAAACCACATTCAATAAAACAGATCATCTCAAAACCAGACGGCTTTACCTCTGTCGGTCCTTGACCTCACTCGCGGTCATGGAGGATCCATACAAGGTCAACGACCACTGCTTCAACACTCCCACACCGACACACTGCTCAATCTTCTCTTCTACAGGAGCAGAGAGAAGGGTCAGTGTGTCAGTGTGTGGCAGGTGAGGTTCATGAGGTCACAAGGAAAACAACGTAAAAAATACCATACAAGAGACAGGCATGTGAGTGTGTGTGAAAAGACATTCCCATTGCATTGCTGACACTACGCAGTATTTGTCAATTTGTCAGTGTGTGAGCAGTGTCTTACTTTGGTCTGATATCTTGAGGGTGTACAGCCCTTTAGCTTTCTCTCCCCAGCAGCGCACAGTGGAGAAAGTCCAGTCCTGGTAGCCTGTAGGGTCTCTGTGTGACAAACACAAACTTAATTAGACTGCAGTTAAAACAAATGTTTTGACCATAGCTTAACATCTGAGGTCCTGTTATATATGATCATTTCTTATTTGCTTTTGTAGCTAGAATACCCAAGTTTCCTGTACTTAGTAAATTAAGAAACTGAACTCACTCGGCCTTTAATATCTACTAATTTAATGTTTCATTCTTCTTAAAACGATACTTATGCATGGGTTTGTATGTGCGTACCTGTCGATGGCACGACGTGCCCCGATGACTGATGTTATACCACTGGGGCAGACTAACTCAATCTCCAAATTGCCACGGCAAGGGTGGGTTATCGTCACGGTAACAGCCACATGCTCCAGTGTCTCCATTCCAGACTGTCTCAGGTCAGCAGCGGAGACTGAGGGAGTGGAGAGAGCAGCTTAGTGTGTGTGAGTGTGTGTGTGTTGACCATTTCCTAGATTTATGAGGGTATTCATGTGCCTGTAAATGGGAAAATTTGATTTCTCATTAAAACAAATGAAAAACATATTGAAGAATATGTGAAAAATGTAATTTAATAAGGTTACTGCAGATTTCTCCAAGTTAAATTAGAGACTTTTTAAGACATTCTTAATACTACATAGTATTAAATGCAATTTAACACCTATCTGACAATCATACCGGCCAAAGTATGAAAGTATGATGGAAAGCCAGTACATACGATATGGCCTGGAATTATTCATTATTATATTATTTTTTTCAGTACTTCCCAAAAGATAGAACTAATAATTATGTTTTTTTATGGTCCTACATAAAACTGACACTTGCCCATAATGAGACAAGGAGCTTCTAGTCACTATAGGTAGCAGTAGTGACAAGCAGTGCATGCTCTAGGTCTTAACAGCTTTTCAAGACCTGCAAATACTCTGTTTATATTTATATATACCCTTATAAATATAAGGGTATATATTAAACATTCTTTAAACCTATAATGTGGTAATGTAAGAGCTTAATTTGTTCATCTTACATGACTATGTTGCACATTAAATGCACATGTCATACAGAGAGAAAACAAGCTGCTAGCTGAGGAATACAATAAGGGGAGACTAAGGTAGTTAACTAGGGTGTCATGGCAATTTAAAAATCTATTTTCCATCAAAATTCTGGATCTTTCTTCTCCACTTTCTCTCCTTAAAGCTCTTATCGGTCAGTCAGGAGACCACCTCTCACCCTCCCACTGCAAGTGTCTGGTAATTTCCTGGTATTTCCTGGGCTCTGACTACTAATGAGCCATGGTGCTCTCTGACCATGTAGGGCTGCATACATCCTCGGGGCAGGGACGGACGCAAAGGGACGAGGGAGCAAGGAGTGTAAACAGAGGTGTGGAAGGAAAGACAGAGTCAGGGTAGAGAAATGTAGGGCAAAAAGAGGGAGGTAGAGAAAGAGGCAGGGGAGAGACGGTCAGGAGATGGAGACAAGTGGAGGAAACGCACTAAGAGGGCGAGTACAGAGGATGTGAAATAAGGTGGAGGCTGAGTGTGGAGGGGCAAAATATAAGGAGAAAAAGAAAGAAGGGGCTGCATAAACTCTCTCCCATCCAGAGGCTTTGTATCAGTAATATACTCCAGACGTAGATCCGTATTTCTTTGTTGAAGGAAGAGCAAAGAACAGCACTGAAAACATTTCTCGATGGAAAAGATTATTTTGTGCTTCTCTTGACTTGCTCCTGACTTCAACTCTCACCTCCCTGTCTGTCTTCTGCTCTGTTGAGCTCAGTGTGCAGGGGCTCAGCTCCACCCGCAGTGAAACCACCTTGTGAAATTGCACCAAAAAATGGCTAACATATTTTCATGACACTTTGGAGATTGTGGTCTCTCATAAACAGAGGAACACTGAACATTACACCTTACTCAATTTATTATGGCCAAGCTATAGGAGACCTCAGGGTGTGAGAGGGGGGGCTGTTAAAAGGGACGCAACCATAGAGAGGGAGGACGTGGATGAAGGGCAGGTAGTGAATTTGTACCTGTCATTTCTTTCTGCACTTGCAAAGAAAGATTTTTGAACAAAACGAAAGAAAGAAGACAAAACATTTATAAAAAACCTTATAAAGCATGCTTTGTCAACAGGAGAGGAGAGATTTAGTGCTGCACATTTTGTCCTCTCTTGTTTAGGTTTTTCCCCTTTCTCAGAACAAATTCCAGCCGAATGCTGAATGTGTCACTTTTGTTTTGTTTAAACCAACTCACAATCTTTCTCCTTTGCTTTCCTTCACATCAGAATATCCCAAAGCCTCAGCTCTTCAGTGGCATGACCATCTGTACACACACATATATACTCGTCTTTCACTCACTCACACTTGTACAACTGCTGCATCTTTTCCTAAACCAATTTAACTCCCCCTCTGCCAAGAGCTGGACTGACAGTACCATGGGGATGTGACTCGTCATTACTAGGTCAAAGCCAGTCACTGTGTGCATGTGCATAAACACACATCTGTGGCGACTGTGTTCACATGGGAAGCAGTTTGAAATGATTAAAGGGCAGTGCATTAGCCAATAAGGCAGCCAAAACACATAGAAACTACAACAACAAACACTGCTGAGTAGCATGACAGACAGACCTGAACTCTGTCAGTGACAAAAAGCCTGTCGGCGATTTGACCAAGACTGATTGAACAGAGGATTAAATGACAAAATGTGTATTATAGTAGTTTGAGTTGATTCAATTTCTTTTTGAAATTAAGCCCAGACACATTTGGTAAGTCTGTCAGCAACTCTTTGCTTTGTCCTTAAGAAACTCCTGTTGCAACCCCCCCCCCCCATACACACACACCCACGCCCACACACCCACACACACACACACACACACACACACACACACAGAGGCTGTGCTCCTGACTGTGACGAGGCCATAAAAGAGGGAAGATACAGATCAAGGGAGGAGTGCAAAAGAGGGAGAAGGAAAAGTTTCTGTCTGCTAGAATGAGGTCACCATGAGCTTATGTGAAAAACTGTGTGTGAGGGAGAAAAGGAAAGACATATACAGACAGTCGAATATAAGCGAATCAGAGTGGGGAGAAGGGAAAAAGGAACAAAAGCTACTAAGAGCGGTTGTAAAATACAGAGACAGATTGGAGGGGGAGGGGAATGAAAAAGAAAATGAAGGCAATCTGGAAAACTCTCACCCAGTATTTCAATGTGAACGCAGGAACACACAAACAAGAGAACATTACCTAATATGGAGAGGCAGACTGACTGAGCAGCAGGCAGGGAAGGAGGGAGGGAGGCAGCTACGTAGTGCAGTGTGTATACTCAACAAGCAGCTGGCCAAAACAGAGCTGAGAGAGTGAGAGAGGAGCAGACAGTGTTACCTGTCCAGGTGCGGATCAGCGCATCGGAATTAACTGGGATGGATGCGCCCTCCTTCAGGACTGAGCTCTGATAGGACACAAGGAATGGCACCGACTCCCATACCTGAGAGAGAGAAGAGACAGAACTTTGGTTTCTGGTGCTAGCTTGTGGTGGGAATTATACAATCATGTTTGTAATTTCCTGGACTCAATTATTAATTATTACAGAAATAATTAATAGATGAATTGAACATTTAAATGGCTAGTGGTTGCAGCCCTACCTTTGCAGCATTGACGAGTCTCCATGCATTTAGCAGACCAAAGCCGTGCTGGTGGCTGTGAGTAAAACCGGCTCCATTCATCTTCCAGTCTGCACTGTCATCACACTGTTAAAAGAAATACAGAGATGTAGTGAGCTTTAGAGGGCCCAGTAGTTATCCGGGCTACTTTATGCAGTTCAGCTATACTAACTGGCTGCTGCAGATATAAGAGTAGTATCAACCTTCTCATCTAACTCCTGATAAGAAAACAAACAATCATATTAGCCACAATGATTTTGTTATTCCTATGTTATCAGTTTTATTCTCCTATCTAGCACTATTGCTTGGAAAGGACACAAAACCGCTAACTGAACGAAATGAGACATTATCTGAAATACAACAAACATTACACACCGGTGATGTCAGTACTGTTGAAACAATTCAGTTATTATTAATTTATCATATTATTTGATAACTGATTAACAATTGTAAAAGTAATTTATGAAGCAAAATCATTCTCATTCCCTAACTTCTAAAATGTGTGGATTTACTGCTTCTTTCTAACATATGTCTATCTTCAGGGTTTGGACTGTATGTTGGACAAAACAAGCAAATCCAAGAAATCTGAACACACCTTTGCCTCTGTGAAATTGTGATTTAAAAAAAACATATATTTAACATAACACACAATTATTTAGTGAAAATAAACGGCAGATGAATCCACAATGAAAATAATCAAATAATAAGTTCAAGCATTCGTTTAGGTTAAAGCTACCCAGTCGAGTTTTTGACCACCAGAAGTGCTATAGAGCAAACACAACGGCAATGCCATACACAGTCCTGCTGCAAGTTTCTGCACTGTTCTGCACGACAGCTGGTGGCAGTGACTCAAAAGAAATGATATAATGCAGAATATGAATTAATTAATTCATTTTAATTGTTGAAGTTTATCGGGACGGAAATTCGTTTAACATTTGTATCTATTTACGTCTTTGCATTGATTTTATATGTAACTGGCCAACCCGGGAGGGAAGTTTACACAGGCCTGTATACAGTAATAACTGATGCAGTAAGAAGTTTCATCAGGCCTACCTTTGTGGCGGTGAAGGTGACAATGTGCTGGACATCCCTCCAGCTGAGACAGGGACGGACCTGCAGCATGAGGGCCACCATTCCTGCCGCCAGGGGAGCCGCCGCAGATGTACCGGTGTGGCCCTCTGTACAGCCCGTCCCCTCCTGCATGGACCAGTCTGACGTCACCTGCAGAGACAGACAGATGGGTTGAGTGTGGAGGATACGACCATGGAGATTCATGTAAAGAATAAACAGTGCCAAGGCGGTAACCGCTCGGGCAGGAGGCCAAACACAAACACCCACATACGAAAGTATACATTAACACTTGAGTGAATACAGGCACATACTTGACAAGGTATATCCAACAAAAACTAAGTCTTTAACATTAAGGTTCTATAACTAAACTAGCAGCAAAAAACTGTTCATCAGGCACCAGCATCATGGAGCCATCATTGTAAAACAACATTTGCTTTAATGCGGGTGGCCAGAGTTCAATACTGTTTTTGTACAGGGTTTAAAGCCCTTGGGGAGATTCAGCTTTTAAAGAGATGAAAGGTAGAAAAGATAAAAAGAGTAGGCAAATAAAAATGTATATACACAGAGAATGGAAACGAAGAGAAGTTTAAAATAATGACGTTAATGTTTGACCAAAACAGAGGTAGGAGAGGAAGGATTTATGGAGAAGATTAACTTTATGAGCAAGCAAAAAAAGGCCAATATAATATTGGTTCTACAGCTCTGTCTCTCATCACTATGTGTGTGAGATCTAGTAGACAGTCAAATTCATCCATATGCAAAGCGGACAACTGCAAACATTCCTCCTATGTCTTCCATGTCCACCACCCGCTGCTACACACATTAGGGACAGCCTGCCTGACAGAGGGACTACAGCGATGTGGGCTGAGGAATTCCCAGCCCATCCGTGTTTACATGAGGACGACATGTTGGCTTTTTCCAACAGCTGTTCGGGCCATGTAGAAGCTCTGGAGCTAATGTACAGTGTTGTGAATGCACTGGGTTTCCCAGCAGGGGTTGTGATGTTCATCCGGAGCAGCTGTCTATGTGGTGAGAGTACACAAGCATCATCTGGAGACAAGTTATGTACCTCAACATGCTACACATTTGTGTTGTGAGTTTCAACGTCCATTAGTAAAGGGGCGCATTAAAACCTGAATCTTTTGGGGCAAATGGTTGACTCTATAATCTATAATCATGATTCATGTTTTGGTTAGCCACAGTTATTTTTAGGGCTCGCATAATCAAGAATCCCCGACAAATCAGTCCATTGAATAACCTCAATCAATCAGCATTTAAACCATCTATAAGTAATCATAGAATTTCCCATCTTGTGACTTTTCCAGGCCCTGTGATAAACACTGTGATAAAATACATTTGTGAAGGCAGCTGTTCTTGGTTGACTCTAAATGGATTCTCCAGAATAATACACTAATAGGCAGTGTGTGGTAAGCACTTGGCCTGTGAGTATACTGTGGTCAGTGGTGGATCTGTCTTTTCCAGAGAGCCAACCTTGGCTAAGCTCTTCTCCCCAAGGCGATGACATCCCTGGTCCAAACTTTGTTGCCATGGTGACACCCGCAAACAGCGGCAAATAGAGGTCAGCTTCAATGGGCCCTTACTTCTGTCATCATTCGTCATCCTTTCGGATGAAAATAGTCTCTGCTTGTCCTGATGTGGAGCTACTCTTTGCAAGCTTTCAAACATTTGTCACAATAAATTCTAAATTCTAAGTTTATAGATCACTTGAAATCCTCTCAGAGTGTAGAATATGGTATCTGCAGGCTTCAAGAGAAGGTCCAGACAAAAAGGGAATTCACGTGTTTTTTCCTACATATTGTACAGCTCAGTTATCAAGGTAATATCAACAATTTGAGTCTCTCCTTAAGATGAGCAGTAAAGAGTCAGACTGTGTCTCCCATGGAGTCCCACTGGAATCAGGTCGAGACTTTTCAGGTGGTTAGAGAAGGATTTCCAGTTTTCATATCAGCCTAAAAAAAACAAATCACTACTGGCAAACACACCAAAGTTTTTTGAACCAAACCAAGTAGGTTAGGTGTGAAGGCTGCCTGATTCATTGTGGTTGGACCAACTCCACAGTATGATGACATCATCTTTCATGTCTTTTTCCAGCTTTGGGTAGGTCATCATTGACTCCCTGCTTTCCTGTTGTTCCTTATGCTACTATTAATCCATTCTCTGGTATAGTCATCATTTGTGTGTGTGTGTGTGTGTGTGTGTGTGTGTGTGTGTGTGTGTGTGTGTGTGTGTTGTGGTAAGACCTACAATGCTCCTTAGCTGCCCACCCCCGCTGCTGAAGGTCACAGCCAGCATAGATGCACACTCCTCTGCATAGAAGGGCATCTTGCCTTTCTCATCGACTGCTCCTGCAACACACACACGCGCACACACACACACACACACACACACAATATATAATGTTTTCTTATGTTCACATGTCCACACCAAAACCACAATTGAACTTACAGAGGCACACACAGACACACAACTCTGTATCTCACCGACTGTGATGGTGTAGATGGAGTTGGCGTAGCCGTCATAGTTGCAGTTGTCATTGTATTGACCTCCATTGCCACTGGCAACCACAAAGATGCTGCCGAAGCCTTGTCTGCCTGCAATCACCCCGTGCTGCAGCGCCGCCTGTGGAAGAAAAATAAATTGATGATGATGATATGATAAAAATAGGGAATATTATACTTTATGCAATCAACAAAAGGACCCAATCAACCAAGTGAAAGCACTGTACTTAGTGTTTTTATACATGTCTGCACCACATTGTTGTAATGTACTGCCCCCTGCAGGACAGAAATGGTAGCCCACACAAACTGTCTTTCTCTTACCTTGCCCAAGGGATGGGGTCCATCCACAGTATGTCCGTCATCATCTGGACCCCAACTAGAGCAGACAAGAGGCTAAATCAGAATCCAAAACACTTTCACAATGAAGTATTATGGCACTGCGAAATTACCCAGGAAATATAGCCACACAATGCACCCCTAAACATCTGAGATATTTGACTTTTTATAAAAGCTACTTTCCTAGAGGAAATACTTCAGGACCAGAAAGAGACCTGTTTGTTACCTGCAGCTGTAGATGTCATTGACCTGGTAGTGCTTGTTGAAGGCTATGGCCTCCAGGCTGTCTGTCAGCGGGCCATCCAGAACTCTGATACCTGAACAGAGCGAGAGATGTTTCACCACACACATTTACCCAAAGTCTCAGCTTCTGACTCAGTGGCATATGCAGTTCCAAATGAAAAAATCTTGTCTGTACCTGCCACCTTGCTGCCATAGGCCACCCCTACAGCACAGAAGCTGTTGTTGGGAACAGCTGCAATCTCACCGGCACACCGCGTCCCATGGTGGTTGTCGCTATGGACATCCGGGTGGGGCATGGGGTCTGGGTCGTTGGAGTTCAGGTCATAACTGCCCTCTGGACTCTGAGAGGGTTGAAAAATGATTGTTGGAAAACATGTCTATGAGGTGAGACACACAGTTCATAGATAAATAGCAGGACATATTGACAATCCATTGATCATACAATGGAGCCACTGGTTGACTTACATAGTTGGGCTTGATGTCCTGGTGGGTGTGTTCGACCCCGTCATCTACCACCACCACGGTGACTCCTCGGCCAGTGATGTTGCGCTCCCACACCCCTGTTACGTTGATGTCCATACCCTTATTGAGGTCATTGTGCTGCAAGAAAAAGGAAGAGTAAGGAGAGGATGAGATCATCAAAGGGGAAGGGATTCAAATCATTGACCAGTGCAGGTAATTTTAAAATCCCACAACAAATAAATCTGAAGGGGGCTTAAACGTTGCCCCTGCCAGCCACAGTGGACTCTCACTGAAAAGTAAATTAAAGCACAAAATAGCTCCTGACTGGCTGCCTGCTAGACTAGTTGTACATAAAGTGCTAGTGTTGAAGAAAATAAATAAATAAAATCAATGATGACTGTTACATGCAGATTCATTTTAAGCGCTAATGTAGGGCAAGACTAGTAAATTAGTCTTGCAAGAAAGTAACAAAGATACACAATAGTACAGATTCTCACCAGGTGCCACTGTTTAGGGTAGCGGGGATCGTTGAAGGCCATTGATCTCTTCGAGCGGCTAAGCACTCTCTCCTGGGAGTGCCACAGGACATGAGGGTGTGCTGCCAGGACGTCCCCAGGATGGACACTCTTGCTCCAAACACCAGCCAGAAATCCAGTTCTGGGCTTGACAGAACAAAGCAAGTAGTGGCCTTCCAGCTGTCCAATTTGGCCATGGTTCTGCAGCCCAGCCTGCTCTGCTACCTGGGATGGAGAGAATAGTGATGATGAGTACAAATTTAACTGGGACAACACTTCTAAAAGTGGGCAACTTGTGTTTTTCCCCTGACCTAGGCAACTTTAAAACAGATTAGATGAAACTTCTGTGATCCCTGCAGAGAAATGGGGTTGCTGCAGAAAATAGGGTACAAATGGGGAGCATTAAACATAAAGCCAACAACTAAAACACATGTTGGCTTTAAAAAAAAAACTAAATGACAGTTTACGTCTTATGACGTAAGAAACAAGGCCATACCAAATGTGTCATTCTCCCAAATCACAGTCTCTCACAATCAGTACCAAGTAAACAGATAATGTAGCCCTCCAAAATTCTGTCTAATTTGGAAAGTGTCAGAACATATTTCTTCTTTATAGACGAAAATATCAGCAGAAAGTGTTCAGGAAGTTTTGTACCCTGCTGGCTATAGCATCCAGGTGCACAGAGCTCTGTTCACCATCTTCTTCCTCATGATGTGGCCCAGCATGGATCCGGACAGCCCAGGACTGACCCAGGCCACAGGACGGTGACGGCCAAGGTGAGGGAGGAGAGGAGGAGGAGGAAAAGGGAATCGATGGGGCAACGGAGGGCAGGAGGGTCAGAAGCAAGAGGGTGAAGGAGGACAGAAAAAGGAGGATCAGGAACGTGGGAAAATATGGCGTTGCCATGGCAACGCAGGGCGACACAAGGGGTCAATCAAGCAAGCCCTCCTCATCTGAACAGCAACCTGGACGTGAGACAAAGACAGGAGAAAAGAAGGTGTTGTTAGTAGTGAGAACAATCTGAGAACGAGTGGTTGGTTACTTATCATCTGTGTGCTGCATTCAGAGAGTATTTATTACATTCGCAGCATCACGCTAACTGGACGCCAGTTCAGAGAGCTGTGGCTGCAGCACATTCGATTAACGCTCCATGGTTACATTGAAGCTCCTGCACTGACTACTGTGAATAGACTTTCACACATGAATGCTATTCTATTAGCACTGTTAGCCTAGAAAATTAAATAACAGAACACACATACCCCCGAGTTCAAGTGAAACATCATAACATCGCTTAGTTTCCCTCCCTGCATGCAGGATACTTAACCTGTGATTTTAGGAGAGCAGCCAATGCAAATTCAAAGTCTACCTGGAGCTAAAAGTGAAGCAGGATCAACCTGTTATTCCCAAGAAGAGCACACGCAGCAAATTATACATGGCAGATTCATTATTTACCCAGAAACCAACCAGTACACCTGTTGTGGAACACTACCTGACTCCAGGTTTTCTGTCTGTCAATAAATGGGGGTAATTTACCTAAACAGTTTTATTTTGGGACATGCACCGTGTGAGCCTGGGGATCTCTGGCCCCGAAGCAGCTGCCTGCTTTGGCCAGTTGGTAATCCAGCCTTGACTACAGACTACAGACTGCATTCAGTGCAAGTAAATGTAAATATAATAATCTGTCAGTTAAGTATTTCTCCTGGTAGTCAAATAACCTGACTCTGAACACTCAATTAAACAGGGGAATGATAAGATCACAATGAAGTCATCTAGATTTCAAAACTGCCACACACACACACACACACACACACTGAGCTGGAATTAAATCTTAAAAGATCTTTTCAGAGAACACTAGTTTTTCCAGTAGGTTTCTTTATGAAAACGACCCATTAAATCAAACAATTCAAGCATCACATCCAACGCCCACCTGTCCTTGAACAAAACACCGAACCTCTGCCAGATGCTGTGGAGGCAAATATCTGTCCCTGTCCATAAAATAATAAAATAATAAAATAATACCATACGTCCATATCATCAGAAACACATAACGTTAGATGGTAGTGTTATCAACAGATGGCCCTTCAACACAAACAGCAATAGCTCCAGACTATAATGCCATTCACCTACGTGTGTCCTTTTCATGAGGCATTTGATATGTGCTCGAACTTGCGGTCTCTGCTATAATCAAACCTGTTAAGCTCCATGGACAGCTAATGTCAGCTAGCTTTCAATTTTGCTGATTGCTTATTTTCTATTTAGCCAGTACGCCTGCTAGCTAGTTGGGCAGCTAACTGAGTTTAACGTTAGTCATTTAATGAGCGACGGGGACAACGTTACAGCTGTAATAAAGTAAGTAACGTTAACATAACGTAACAAAGTGAGAACAACACGTTAGGAGTGAGACTCGAGTTTCAGCCGCAGCATTGTTGTTGTCATAGTAAGTTAGCTTTAGTGTCCGGACGCTAACTAACGTTACTGAGATCGTTGTTCTTCAGTGAAATATGACAGTACGAAGAAGTAACCGCGGTAACCTATTGCGACTATAAAGTGATATCTTACCTTTCCACTGAATTTATTTTGCTCATCTGCTCTTTGTGTCATTTATGAGTAATGTTAAGTGGAGCTTGTCATCTCATTTCCGTAACATACAAGTCTCAACCAATACGTACTACGTCATACACTTGTGACGCAGACGTCCGCCTGCGTGCCAGATGATTGGCCCAGAGCCATAGCGGAACAGTATCAACACAGTAAACCCCTGACCGTGCCAGTGGCTCCCAACCTTTCTCCTTTAGGGGCCCCTTTTATGTCATTTAGTAAACTGACGACCCCTGACTAAGTCACATATTTTATGCATGCTTCATATTGTATTAACCCAAATAATGAACTCAGTAACTGCAAGAAGTTTGTGTAAAAAGAGTGATTTGGATGAATTTTGAGCACATTATTTCCTGTTTAGAGAGCTTCTTACACAATTATCTGTCTGTATTATATTTTTTGAATAATGTTTATTTTTTCAATGTTTTCTTGTACCTGACGTTGTGCCATTGTTCTATACTTAACATTTACTTTTCTTCACAGAAATGAACCAAATGCCAAACATATAGGTCTACTGTGTATATTATTTAAGTTTTCTAGCATACCTTAAAATCAAGAAGACCTTGTGCCCCCCATGAAGTTTTGGCAACTCCCAGGGGGGGTCCCCAACCCCAGATTGATTTAAACTGCGGGACATATGTCTATATATAGACATATATAGTTAACAACAGAGACTAAAGGTTAATGGAGGACCCAACTAAATATCCATCTACTTTAAGTTGATATTGGAATTTGCATATTTTCAAACAAATATCCAACTATTCAAATTACCACAAAGCAGTAAGTAATAATCAATAATCCATCCTTGAGAACAGCATGAGATGAAGGCAAACAAATGAGAAATGTTGGGAAAAAAGGTGGAAGAAGTGATTTTAAAGCAGGGTCATACTGAATCACACTGAATGGCAGAAAATATAACAATGGTCTTTCATCTTCATCATACTCCTTTTCTGGGATCTTAGTTTGAAAGACATGTACTGAACAGCTATACCATGCCCTAAATATCACCAAGGATTATTAATATTGTGGAGTTTCTGGTATACAGACTACTGTATGAATTTGATGTTTCATTATTTTTGAACACAGAAATGGTACATTTCAAACTATAGACTATATGTCAGTCTATAACTTAGTTTAAGTGGGAAATAATAAAAAAAAATCACATCACATGTTACAGTTACAATACTTTATTGGTTCAACAGTGCTGCCAGCGCCTGACAGATAAATATACAGTTCTGAGTTTATCTATTTACAGCTTGCTAAGGGACAATATAAACTGTCCCTTGTAGACATACATAGTGTTCTTCAGTGTATAACATAGTTTGGGCTGGTTTCCTTCTCCAAGCATATATGGTCCCCATTGAAATATGTAGTGAGTCAGGCTGTCTCTGAGTCTGTGAAAGAAGCCCTATGAAGTCTTGGTTTGTTAACATGTAATGTGTTGTCACATGTGCAAATCATCAGATGGTGCAGCAGTAGGATAAGCAAAGTGTATTCTGTATGTGTGTGTGTGTGTGTGTGTGTGTGTCTGTGTCTGTGTGCGCAAATAGAAGATCTGGAATGCACCAATTTTGTGTACAATAGATATATTTAAGCTATCAGTATAAGAAGAAAAAGTGACATCTGATATTGACTGTGTTCAGTGGTCTCAGTTTCACACAAAGCAAAACTGATTGTATGCAGTAAATGCTGTTATACAATCTGTTATTTCATCAAATTAGCTTCTTTATGCTTTGCAATTTGCATTGCAGAATTCTTCGCTGGCATTTGCAAAATAGTGTAACCTCATAGACGCTATTCATTCTCAGTAGTATCATTTCCATTAAATCTTCTCTTTATACTCTTCACTTACAGTACAGCTGTGCACACATACAGGCATGCTCATACATATCAAACTTGCTTCATTCACTCACAAGCCACGAACAGTAGATCTATAAACACACACGTAACCGCACACTCATATGTTCAAATCATACCATAGCAAACTAGGTCCGACTACATGGTGAATTCTCATCTTGTGTCCAGCTCATGAGTTTCTTCATTAAGCCACATTTGTCTTTTTTTTCATTATCTGTGTGTGGAGCTCTTCAATATTAAGAGATTCAAAATTCCAAATCCAATCCATCTCTGTGGTCTATTTATACACCATTTATAAGAAATAGCTGATATTTTTTTGTTTTGCGTTTTTCCCACTTCAGTTCCTCTAGCCATGCTGATCTGCATAGGTAGCTTAAACAGGCAAAGTTGATGCTGATGACACCAACTTTCTCTTGTTTGTCCTTCAGGTTAGTAATGGCTCTAGTTATCCTCAAGTGCTCTCCAATTTGAGGGCACCACTGTTCACTGTGTATTCACTGTATGTCAGCATTTTCTATACTTTACATATTATATTCCCGGAGTAGCTCTCTTTCAACAGCGGCAACATTTCGTAACCACGTACATCCCTTTTACCACATTCCATCTCCGTTTCAAGTGTAGATCTCTACGACTCCTTTTGTCCGCTTCTCCCCACCCCCCCCTTTTCACTTAAGGAGCGATATATCATCAGCAAAGTCCCCATGTGGGTGGAGGCAGCGGGCAAAGCGCCACTGGCACACCATGAGACAGAGCGGAAGCATGAAGAGAGCGCAGATTCCCGCCATGATGTAGGCGATGGTCATGAGAGTGGACTCGTCTGTCTGAGGAATGTTGTAGCCGCAGTCCTCCAGGTCCACACCATGGAACGGGCCTTCCACAGAGGCGGTGCGAAACTCATCATGCACTACAAACAGGAGAATAGGATTGTTTGTATATGTGAAATACAAAGATCAGGTTAACAGATACTGTGTGATATTATTTATGTAAATAAGTCTTAAGTGAGATATCCTTAATGGTCCAGTGTGTAACATTTAGGAGGATCTACTGGCACAAATGGGATACAAAATTCATTAGTCATTTCATTAGTGTATAATCACAAATAAATAATAATAACAAATAATCAATTTTCCTTTTTCTCTTTTACATGTTAGACTATAAAACTCTCTGATTCCCTTCCTCTTCCACCCTGTCCTCCTCACCATGGCAGGTGCTAACAGCAAAGCCGATGCGTTTCTTTTCTCGGTCGAAGACCACATAGAAGCCTTCCATGATGACAGCCCCCATCACTGTACCAGTGCTAGACTGGGACACAGCAAACTTATAGCAGTCCTCCTGGGCGGAGGCCACATCCTCTACTGGCCGCAGATATTGCTGCAAAATACATAAATGAAAAAGAAAGATCGAGTGGAGTTAGACAAAGAACACCACAAATAATACAGGGCCAAACACACACGAACGCAGGGGCGGCTCTAGAACGTTGGTATAAAATGCTGACAATTCAAATATCTTTTCAGGGCTTTTTCAAGCAAATACTGATATATGTAAATTAATTAAATCAGCATATATTTCTGCCACCCCTTAAAGTCTCCATGCCACCCTCTTGCCACCACATGAATATTTTTTTAGGTCCGTCCTTGTGTGTGTTCCACTTAATTATGAACAGGGCAATATAAATGGAAGTATTATGTGGACTTAGCAAAGATTTTTAAAAGGTACACTCTAAAACTTCCAGTGTTACATTTTCCTTGAGTGCGTCATATATTTTCATGTGAGTAGATCTGTTGAATGTAGAATTGGTGAACTTTACTAAAAAAGGGAATGTTCTGGGTTTTAACCGACTTTGTTTCATGTTTCCATTAGCACTACTTCCTCTTTTGATTGTGTTCTTATTTAACTAATTTGACCTCTTTGGGGTGGCGGTAGCTCAGTCTGTAGGCACTTGGCTTGGGAACCAGAAGGTGGCCACTAAAGTCCAGCACAGACCACAGTGTGCATTCTATAAGCCCTGTGTGTACATGATTGTGTTTCATAATAAAGTATATCTTCTTTTTTATTAGGTATTATATGAAGCTAAGTTAATTCACACAATCGTAAAGTGAAAGTATTGGTATTTTCACATTTTGAAGCTAATACATAAATGTGCTAATCAGAAGAGAAGACTGTTGTTGTAAGATCCTACAGACATAATGTGTTTTGGTTATTTATTTATTTACATATTTATTTTTGGAGAAATGTATTTGTGTTTTGTATGATATTTATGCAGCGTTACTATGCTATTATGCTCTCTTCCTTCCTTGCTTTTGGTTCTGGACCTTTGCCTGGTAAGTCACAGAGAGTATTTGTGCAAGACAGCATTGTTTCTCTACAGTTTCAGGGTGACTGTGCCGTTGCCATGTCTGGAGCCGGAGGTAGAGTGGGTCTTCCACAAATTGCTCCTGATGCTGTGTCATTGGTGTGTGAATGAGTTAGTTTCTGTTTGGATGGACTTTGAATGTGGCATGTAGTGTTAAAGTGCTTTGAGTGGTTGGAAGACTAGAAAGGCACTATACAGGTCCATTTACCATTACTGAGTTTTGTTTTTCCCTTGAGGGGGCTGCAGGCTTGAATCAGTTCTGGCCCCGGGCAGTATGTTCCCCATGAGTGAGTTAGACCCGCTCTATATAAAAACTGAATGGCTTGCAGCAACAGCGCCAGTACTGTACCTCACACTCCCACATCACGTTACTCAAGGCCCCTTGGGGAGGAAGGTTCAGTGGAAGGTGGTGTTATAAAGAGTTCGGTCTAGACCTGCTCTATTTGAAAAGTGTCCTGAGATAACTTCTGTTATGAATTGGCGCTATACAAATAAAATTGAATTGAATTGAATTGAATTGGTGGTAAGGAGCTCCTCTGTGTGTTCTTTGTAGATACACTGCCATGGCTGATTTTAGTTTATTACTGATACACATTGTATTGGCATATAGTGTCTGCTGGCTGATGAATTGCAGTGGATCAATGCCAAAGATGTTGTGCTGTCATTACATAGTTTGTCCACCAGAGAGCACTAACATGTTTATTTTCCATCTGTAAAACACCCCACTCAGCACATATCTTGGTCACAATTTATAACAAAGTTAGGGATCCTTATCAAATGTTGTGTTTGTTGTAAAAATATGATCATCAGCTGATATATTATCAGATTCCTTAAACTCTCAAACAGTGAGTACAGTATCGTCCTCAGATCTGCTAGTTCATTGGAATATCTGTATGTTTAACT